TTAACCCCATAGAACCCAGTTAATGCTGACCCATAAAGTTCTGCTGTGCCCAATTAATTCTGTGAGCTAGCCTTGAAAAGCCGGGTCACCTCAGTAAATTGGCCATAATTTGTTAGTTTGCTCTTATTACCCATACAAAGTATACATTTTTAAAAAGCCAATATTTCAAGCTAAATGAAAATAGAATTATATTTAAATTCAACATGCAGTACCAAGAGTTATGGCCGGTTAAAAAGTACATTTTCATTTGGTAATGGGTGAAATAAAACAAAGTTGATTTATCTTATGCACATTAATTTTTTATTTCTCCAAACATTTGCCTGAAAATTCACAGAGATGATGTCAATTAAAGTAACTTTCAATCCAGGAAATTTCAGCAAGTTACCTCCATTAATTTCCAAGTTATGCTCGTTTTGCTATCAGGTATACATGAGCCAGCTTTTCAGCTCACCTGAACTTCGTGGCCAGGGCTGAATAGAAGTCAAATTTTAACACCATCTATGACAAAAAACATCTATAAAACTTATATCATAAATAAAGGAATATCATCGTCACTGTCTATATCACTGTCACTCAAAAACACCTTATCAGTGTCGTAGTTTTCAATCATTTCAATACAAGTATCCATTCGCAGGCCCCTTCCGTAGTGAGAAGTCGCCATTTTGATTTTACTTTCTCCAGCTAAGTCTAGAAAATCGCCGATTTCTCGCTCATATATATTTCTATCGTCCTTTATATCATAAATAAATGAATATCATCGTCACTGACTATGTCAATGTCACACAAAAACTTCTCATAAAAGTCCGGGTTTTTAATCATTTCAATAACAGTATCCCTTCGCAGATCCCTACCGTAGCGAGGAGCCGCCATCTTGATTTTACTTTCTCCAACTACGTCTTGAAAATCGCCGTTTTCTCGCTCATATATATTTCTATCGCCTTTAAAAATGGTGGCAATGAGAGACAAGAAACATACCCGGATGTTAAACTATATATCATTTCATGACTCACGATACAAAAGAGTACAGAAGCCGGTCTTTCCCAGATACGCACATATGCGGTTCTGGGCGTTTGGGGTAAGCGATAATTGAACCGCACATATGCGGTGACGGGCTTTATGGGGTTAATTTTAACTGGGTACTTAGTGATTATTTACATACAGATAACAGGAATGAATATTGCATTGTCTAATAGAATAGAAAAATGCTTACTATTTTTAGATTACTTTTTACATAATGAATTATTTTGACAAAAAGAACCAAAGAAAAGCAATTTTTCCATCACACTGCTATAAAATGTACCTTTAAAAAGATGCAGACTCTAAAGATATTTATTAATCTCTCAGGTGGGTATTACATTTTTGTGGAAACCTCCAACCCCAGGAAAACAGGAGATGCAGCACAAATTGAGAGCCCTACAGTGACACCTGGTGGCCAGTGGAGAAAGTGTTTGCGATTCTGGTACCACATGTATGGAGCCCATGTAGACAAATTAAATGTGTACACCAAGAGTGTTTCCTTGTCCAAACCAATCTGGACCAAGCAAGGGACACAGGGGAATGCTTGGAAATTGGCTGAAATACAACTTGGGATCACTGCCCAGTACACTGTAAGTTCATGAATTGAGTGATTTAATTAGAGTATTGAATTTTTTTGAAAATAGCAACATATATTCAACCTTCATTGCGGTATTGTTAGTTTTGTCTTTGTTGTAACAGTTTTGATACAACCAAATCTCAACGCTGTAGGAGTTTAGCAAGTTTGGTGAAATAAAAACATAATAAAATATTTGGATAAATAAAGAATTTTGTTTCTCCGTTATTCATGTGATGTGGAGTCTGGGCTAAAATTATATATGCAATTCTTTTTGTTGTGTCTCTTCTTTTTAATTTATTGCATTCTATAACTATAGTGGCCTCTTGCAGGTTGTTATAGAAGCCCTGAGAGGTCCTGGATGGCAAGGTGATATAGCTATAGATGATGTCACCCTGTCTGATGGAAGCTGTCAGCCAGGTAAGATTATGCTTTATACCAGTAGTCATCATGCTTGTTCCATTGTAGCATTGTTCTTTTGTTATAAATATATCTTCCACAGTCTGAAACATTTAATTTTGTATCATGAAATTGTAATGGGCATTGTGGGTACTTTTTGTCTTGGGACAGTGGTATTTGACATAAATGCACCATGTACATAAAATTTCCACTTAACTGTTTACTTTGTATCTCTATTTTGATGAGTTCCTAAATCCAGTATCATAACTCCCTTCTGAGATCATCACACTGATATAATTTCATTATTAAACCTATTTCGTGGCTCAAATTGTGTGCCCTTTTCTTTGATTAGGTGGACCTATCAAGTTCAGCACACCAAACACTTTTGGCTACAGGAATGTTTTCCTGGATCTTAGTGGAGTGACCTCGGTGAGTTTTAAGCTGAAGGCGTGCAGTGACGGTCACATCCAACTACAACCAACAAAGAGCAGTCCCGAGCAGATGAATTATGAAGCCGTCATTGGGGGATGGAGCAACACCCAGTCAGTTATAAGAGATTCCAAAAATGGCCATGTTGTTACCACCAAGTCCAAGGTACTTGAGTGTGGAGCACTCAAACCATTCTGGATCAGCTGGGATGGTGGACATATCCGTGTTGGTCAAGGCTTGGCCACCGGTCAGGGCATTTTCCTAGACTATATAAACCCAACTAAGTTTGTGGTAGGAGGACTGGCTGTCTCCACCGGATATGGTGCTGATGGATACTGGGAGATAAATGACCCCACAGGTGAGAGGTTAAAGGTTTTGTGGTCAGCTCATGCCCATAGGTCAAATGTAGAGCATAAAGTTAACTGTGGAGGATTTATTTATGTTTGAGGCTGATATTATATTTCAGAATGGCTGTAGTGGTCAATACAGATATAAGTGTATACATCAAAATGTTTCTTTCAAAAAAATAATTAAAACGGTGTTTTTATTTCAAGGTTCTGGTACCAAACCCCTGTCCACCTACTGTACATTTGAGAATGGCACCTGTGGCTGGACACAGGACACGACTGGTGACCAGTTTGACTGGATACTGCTGGGTGGTTCCACAGGGTCTGGAGGCACTGGACCTACCACTGACCACACTTATGGGACTGGAGCAGGTAATTGGCAAAACAGGTGTCATTTAAAGAGTATACGCAAGACTATGATGCCTACAAGCTAAAGCAGATACTGAGAAGATGGTGTAGATAAATAAAACAAAAATATGGCTATTTTCACATTGGTTTATTTTTCTTGATTCCAATGATGTACATGTTTGGATTGAATATCATTTTGTAACATGTTAAATATGAATTTGAAACAAACAGACTTTATATGCTGCATTTTTTAATGTACTTTTATATTTGGAAATTATAATTATGCACATTTCTTCAGGTCGCTATGTCTACATAGAGACATCCAGCCCAAGAAAAGTAAATGACACTGCAAACCTAATATCCCCAACGTATCCAGGACTTAGAGGTGGGAAGATCTGTCTGACATTTTGGTATCACATGTATGGTGCACATATAGGGACACTCAATGTTAAGGTAAATCATAAGGAACTCACAAGGTCACATGTATTTTTAAGATCTATGCATGTTTTGATACTTGCTTGTCTTAGAAATGGAATTATTTGAAATAACAAGCTTGGATGTCTAAGGCTAAAACACACATCAGGCTATCATAAAAGTATCAAGAGTGATTAAAAGAATTTTGAAAAAATAGTTTGGTTTATGAATACATATGGTTGTCCTTGAAGGCAACCTTTGAAAACCTGTCACATTTCTCCATTCTGCTTCTTCAGTATAAAATCTCATCTTAAAACATTCATTTTCCAGCTGAACACAGTAGGCAGCAGCAGCACCACTATTTGGTCTTTGACTGGTAACCAAGGCAACCAGTGGATCATCAACCAAGTTACAATAGCACCAACTTACAGCTATCAGGTAGATAGCACGTAAATAATTTCTATTTCATCAACACTGTAAATCTGAAAGGAGTAATGCATGCTCTTTTATGTTTGGTATTGTAAATCATCTGTTCACCCTTTCCTGCTGTGATGTTTTCATTTCCATGTGCACTTAAATCTGTATTTCAGTTATTGATCCATGAAAAGAACAAACCACGTGTGGTATTACTTGGTACATAATATATAATCATACAGGTATTTTTGAGTAACCTATTTATGCCCTTGTCATTTTGTGAGGGATATTAGAGAATCAAGTAGTACTAACTGTTGTAAGGTTACTTGGATGTTGTTGCTCTGTTTCTAGATTGTATTCCAAGGTATACGAGGCACTGGTTACCAAGGTGATATTGCTGTTGATGATGTCAGCATCAAAGATGGAGCTTGCATAACACCAGGTTAGTGGGGGTTTGAAATTTATTTCAAGCATTTTGGTTTTGGTCAAAGATGTGTATCATCTTAGAATAATATCCTTCTAGTTCATATATTTTTTAGTAACTCTACCAGATTCAATTTTAATAGTTTGTCTTAAGTGGATTTTTTTATTTTTGAAATATGATTTTATATGATGCTTAATAAATTATAATTTTATGTTTATTTCTGTTGCCATTGTTGTTGTACTGTGCAATGATTTTTCTTTTCTGTCATTCAGGAGCTTGTACCTTTGAGAAAGATCTGTGTACTTGGGTGAATGATCTTACTGGAGATGACTTTGACTGGGTAGAAGGGAGTGGAGCTACTGGAAGTACAGGCACAGGACCATCCACAGATCACACTCTAGGAACAGCAGCAGGTAGGAAAAGTTTTTCACCTATGATATTTGTATGATGATTTGAATTTTATATTGTATAAAGTATATTTTCTCTTGACTTACATAAACTGTTTTCATTATGGATTCCTTTTTGTGTGTTTCATATGGGTCTATTAATGTACATTAATTCACAAATGAACTGATTTTAATGACTTAAGCACATCTTTAATATACTAGTCTCATAATCCAAATTAAATCTCTATTCAGGAAAGTACCGCTATATTGAATCATCTTCACCTCGTAAGCTTGGAGATGTGGCTCGCCTGAGAAGTGAAGTCTTCACAGCCAACCCACAGCACTGTGTGAAGTTCTGGTATCACATGAATGGCCAGCACATCGGCACATTGAATGTCATCAGAGTGACCAGGAGTGGACGTAACTCCACTGTGTGGACACTGTCTGGAGATCAAGGTGACCAGTGGCTGTATGGTCAAGCACCTGTGGGCACTTCTTCTGAGTCATACAGGGTAAATATATATATCCATTTGCATGTTCAACTTACTATCTGTTTATATGTTTTTTTTTAATTACTAGATATTTGTAATAATAAATAATACAGTCTTTACCATAAATACAGTATTTTTCAGTTCAACTGTTTTTTTATCAAAGAATGTATATGTTTATGTATGTCTATATTTAAACAAACAAGTTTTACCAAACTTTAAACTTCCCTCAGATTGTGTTTGAAGCCATCAGAGGAACAGGGTACCAGGGGGATATTGCCATTGATGATGTGGACTTTGCCCAGACTGCATGTGCAGGTAAGTAAAGTAAATCCCTCATGTTTTCACTTCAGATTATGAGAAATATATAGAAACAGTGTTCTCTATGTCTTTAACAAATTTTACAAATTGGATGCATATGACAGCTTAGAGCTGAGTCACTTCAAACCGAAAGATTTAAGTATACATATTTTTTTCTGTTATTGATATTAATCTAGTTAATCCTTGAACAGAAGTAAATTTATATTACCGTGGCTGATTTTTGTTTTGTAACAGCGACATCTGGGTCTACCCAATCCACTGTACTGACTACAAAGACGACCACAACCACACCCACACCAACCCCCTCTGTAACTCCCACACCAACCACAGGTATGTTTACAGGAATTTTTTTTCGTGGAAATTGATACTAACTTAAGGAGATTTGATAATGTCAGTGTTATGATAAAATATATTGATGCTGATTAAAAAATTGTTATCTGCCTTGGTAATGTGGTGCATAACATGTACATGGCAAGAAAATGACCTTGTTTTACATTTCTTAAGTTATCTTTTTAAGAACAGAACTACAAAGCTGACGTTATTCATTTCTAGACAAACTTGTTTGCCCAAGTGCAAATAGAAAATTTAAATTAGATAAACATTTTAAGTTAAATGATTTTCAATACTACATTTCCTGAACCTTAAGTTATCACCATACACTGATACAAGTTGCCTGCCTTTCCAGCTCCTGGATCATTCAATTGTTCCTTTGATGTGGACAGTTGTGGGTGGACACAGGACAAGACGGACAAGTTTGACTGGACCAGACAGTCCAGCGGGACAGGGTCATTTGGTACTGGACCCAGTACAGACCACACAACTTGTGAGTGAACATCATGCAACAAAAAAGCAAACAAGTTAAATCAATGAAAACTGTGATAATTCAGAAGTTTCTCATTAAAAAAATTTTTTTTAATGGTAGTTGGTGAAGTAAATTTTAAAAGGATTAATAATGATCTGTTTTATTCTTAGATTACACCCACTTTTGTCTGTTTTAGAAATTGGCATTATTATATTGTATTTGATGGATTTTACACTGTCATTTATTGAAGCCAATGAATAAAATATGTCAAGTTGTACTGAAAACTATATGATAACAAATAACAATGTGGCATATTTTCAGAGTTATTCAAAGTAACAATTTTAAATTACAGCTGCACCTATTAAAGTAAATACACCAGATGCCTATACCTACCAGAACATCTTCCTCGACTTCCGTGGTGTGACCTCAGTGACCTTCAAGGTCAAGGCCTGTAATGATGTCCATGTCAGCTTGTCACCAACCACAAATAGTCAGGACAGAAAAAAATATGAGGTGGTCATTGGTGGATGGGGTAATGGACAATCTGTTATACGTGAAAAGGCTCAGGGACAGAATTTGGTCACCTTGGTCCGTCCTAAGATGGTGGACTGTAACATCCTTAAGCCATTTTGGATCAGTTGGGATGGTGGTCATATCCGTGTCGGTCAAGGATTGACTGTTAATCAGAGCATGTTTTTGGACTACAAGGATCCCACACCTTATGCTGTGAGGTCTATGGGAGTGGCCACAGGGTTTGGTGCCAAAGGAGAGTGGGAGATATATGATCCTAGAGGTAAGTTGGTTGTTATAAGAAATATGTGATTTAATGGAGCATTGCATTTAATGGGGGTCTTGTTGTATTGTTGTTAATGATTTTGATGCAGTTCTTATGGATTTGGAATTAGATCTGCTTGAACAACTGGACATGTAGCTGATTAAATAGTCAAGTGTGATATTGTGTGAAAAAAAAAGAAAATAAAAAGAAAACAAAACATTATGAATTAGATGTGCCACAGAGAAGTAATAATTTTATAAACACTTATCCTACTCCAAATTAACCATTTATTTCGATCACTTATTTTTTACAGTTGGCTTCTACTACTACATTGAGACCTCCAGTCCAAGAGTTACAGGAGACATGGCCAGACTGGTCAGTCCCATGGTCCAGGCCAATGGAACCAGCTGCTTGACCTTCTGGTACCACATGTACGGTGCCCATGTGGACAAGCTCAATGTGTATGTGATGAACAGACCCACCCTGGGGAACCCAGTGTGGACCAGGGCTGGAACCCAGGGGGATAAGTGGGTGCAGGCTCAGGTGAACATCAGGGCGCGTGGCAGGTACAAGGTGAGTGTTTGACATGATAATTGAAAGTAGGTGATGTTTTTGTAAAAATTCTGAAAAATGTTGTGAAAGTGGTTTATTTTAATGTCTTTATTGATGTTGAAATTGAAACTGCCATGATATCCATATCATGTTATGGGATATTGATACAGATATGTTTTTTCTAACTTTCAGGTTGTTTTTGAAGGTCTAAGGGGTGCTGGTTACCAAGGTGACATTGCTGTGGATGATGTAACTCTTTTATCTGGAACTTGTGCTGGTAAGCTGCTTCACTTAGGTTGGACTGAAACGTTCTGTTTTTCTTTTGAATTTATGAACAATTATTAGTTAATGGGATTATGTTAAAAGGCTGTTAATGTGTTCCTTTTGCAGGAACGTCAAAACAAAATATATTTTCCTTGCATTCAGAGCTTATGAAGACAAAAGTATTTTATCATTATTTAACATGTGCATAAATCATAAATGCTGGATTTCTGACTTTTTTCCTTAACAGCTGTGGTCACCCCAACAGTAACAGTGAAATGTGACTTTGAGAAGGATGTGTGCAATTACACTCAGGACAATACCGACCAGTTTGACTGGACACGGAAGTCTGGAAGCACTTCCAGCTCAATCACTGGACCTACCAATGACCACACCTATGGAACTCCTGCAGGTGGGTCTACGTTTCTTTAAGTATACTTTTAAGAGTTCTAAGAAAAATATTGTACCCAGAAAATCTTTTGGAATAAAACTCACAAAGAATAAAAGATTCATTCATAGAAAGAAAATTACGAGATAACAGATACAAAATGAAACAAAAATTTAGGTTTTTTAGAATGCTAATGAAAATCAATCCAGAAATTAATCCTTGGTCAACAAACATATTAAAACTACATTGCAATTGAGACCAATTTTCTAAGTTGAGGAAGGAATTGTATTTACAGATTGATAACATCTCTTCTCTTCAAGAAACTGTTTGTTATTGATACTTGATGTCATTTTTAAGTCTTCTACCATCGAATGTTATCTTTTAACACTCTTTAATCTGGTGATAATTCAGGAAGCTACATGTATGTGGAGAGCTCTTCCCCTAGGGTCCAGGGGGACATAGCAAGGCTCATTACAACCTCTATGGCTGTGGGCAGCAGTGACAGCTGTATTCAGTTCTGGTACCACATGTATGGGGCAGACACTGGCAGTCTCAGAGTCTACAAGGATACTACTGCTAATAAACTGTGGGAACTCTCAGGTAAAAACATTGATGTAATATATGTTTTAGGTGTTATAATTGCAGTTATATTTATTCAGCGATTTTTTAAAAGTGCAAAACAATAACTTTAATATCTGTTGGAGATAAAAGGTTTTATTTTACAAGCTATGATTGGAATTTGGACATGTTATAAAGATAAATTATAGATGAGAAATCATGATCTATTTGATTACTTAAATTATATAGAATTGTATAAAATTGCTGTATTTTTGTTCAGGTGACCAAGGCAACAGCTGGCAGAGAGCAGAGGTTGATGTTCCAGCTGGTGCTCCCTATAAGATCATCTTTGAAGCAGTGAGAGGAACTGGTTATCGAGGAGATACCGCCATTGATGATGTGGTTGTGACAACTGGAAAGTGTACTGGAACATCACGTATGTGTATAAATACCTTTATATAAAATTGTTCTAGCCAAAAAGGGACTTCCAGGAAAATAACAGAGCAAAAAGGGGAGGGGCAAAAATATTTTGCGGTGCTCATAACATCATTTTCCCCCCTTTTGAGAAGAGGTTAGAACAGAATGAAATAATTTTACATGTTGACACCCTCTCAGTAAAGCTTAAAATAGACACAGATTATTATTTGATATTAAAACACATTATATTTCTATTTACTTTTACAGTCTTTTGTGACTTTGAGAAAGATTTCTGCACGATGTCCAATGCCCAGTCAGGGGATGACTTTGACTGGACACGAGGGTCTGGAAGAACCGGCAGCTCTGGCACTGGACCATCCATTGACCACACTCTTGGAAATGGAAATGGTAAATTATATGGACAATATATTATTATATCCACACCCATCTGTGTGTGTGTGTGTGCGTGTGTGTGTGTGTATGCGTATGTGTGCATGTGTATATATGGGAAAAAAATATGTTGTTTCTCGCACATTAAAGTTATTTCAGAAGTACATTTTTTGTTCTATCAAAATAATTAACCTTGACATTTATGAGTTCTTATATGATACATATTTTACCTACCTTGTAGGCTCCTATGTCTTCATTGAGTCCTCCAGTCCCCGTAGTCCTGGCGACACTGCCCAACTGGTTAGCACCACAGTGACCCCTAATAGTGCAAACTGTCTGGAGTTCTGGTACCACATGTATGGTGCAGACATTGGTACCCTCAATGTAGTATACTCATCTGGTGGTACCAACAAAACAATATGGCAGATGAGTGGCAACCAGGCTGATGCCTGGAACACTGGAAGGATCAGTCTCAACCAGGGAAATACACCATTTAAAGTAAGAATAAAGGCATAATATTTCACTTTAGATTTTGCTTTTTTATTATTATTATTGGGAAGTTTCCTCAGTATGCTGTTATAATGACTTTCAGTAATTTTCAGAATTGTTCTTATTGTGATTTGACGAATAACATTTTATAAATGTACAGATTTTCATTGCTTGAAATATTTTGGCCTGCAAAATTGTTTCATGGTCACCGTAAAGTAAAGGTTAACATATAATTATGAGAAAATAAAATTTCAAGAAAGAATGCTTTACCTATATAATTCAATCATATATATCAATATATATTTGAAATTGAATACGTTTATTTTCCAGGTCATCTTTGAGGGTGTCAGAGGCACTGGTTACAGAGGAGACATAGCACTTGATGACATCAGGATGTTTGTAGCTAACCCATCTGGCCCATGCTTAACCCAACCAGCAGGGGCCGTACCTACCTCACCAGCACCCACCACTGCCAGTACCACACCCACATCAACTGCACCCCCAGGTAATTACCCATGTGACAAACCACACCAACACCCACATACACTATAGTGTCACCCACATACACTTTAGTGTCATACCCACTACAGCTAGCACTGCACCTGTGTCAAACTCAGCCCCAGGAAAAACACAAAGAACAAACCCCAAAGGTGCACCCACATATTGTCAGTGCACCACAGCCTGCACTATACTTTCATTGTTTATACCAATTCAAATTGATTGATATGTTAATATAAAGTTTAGACTCATCATAGCCCACCCCTACCTACACAAGTATAGTACACAAGTATAGTACCCTAACCCACTAATAAACCACCCCCAACCTGCACATTTGAAACACCCACACAACCTCCAGCTCCTACGCCAGGTTGTACATGCATTATACATGAAATAAACTTGAAGGTAACAATATTGGTTGTGTGCTGATCTAATAACCTGGATATCTTTTCCAGTTCAAGTCAGTGTGAATGCTGTGACTGTGGTGAAGATCACCAACCTTCAGTGGAGCAACCAGTACCTGGACAAGACCTCAGCTTTGTATATAGCTCTCAACAGGGACCTTATAGCTGCTGTAAGTAGTTTGTAATTAACATCTAATAGTCAATTTTTATGCAGAATAAATATCACTCAGAGTTATTAATTTACTGATACTATGACTTTCTTTCCAGACCCAGAATATTCTCTCCAGTGTGGCAGGCTCACACACAGTCACACTTCTGTCACTGCGAGCAGGAAGTGTCATGGCGGAAATGGGGATCGCTTCATCCATCCCATCTGCCAACAAAAACACACACAAGACCCTCTTGCGTAATGCTTTGACCAATGCAGTAAGGAACAACCAGTTTGGGAGGTTCCAAGTTGATCCCAACGTAGTGGTCTCTGATGTCAGCGCAGGTCAGTGTTTGTAAAGATACCTATGTTTATTGTCTGCTGTAGAAACAAGTTTTTTTTTCAAATCTTAAAATAATATGGAAGCTGGTGAAATATGTGGTAGTGGTGTACAGGCATTTATATGTTTACTTTACAGCAAATTTTGCATTTATTCATGGCTGCATTGGCCAGCTGGCCTAGTAACTGGGTTATCCATATATTTGGCTTGAACCAAAGGAATAAACTTGAATAATATATTGTTTTTAATGGTTTTGTGAAAAAAAGAAACCTGTGGATCAAAAACATCATCAACAGTATCGTCATGGTGGAGACATTGTCATGGCAACATGTTCACTTTTCCTTATTGTATATGCCACTGATGAAGAGATAATTTCTTCAGTGGCACATACAATAAAGAAAAGTGAACATGCTGATAATTTGAATATTCTTTGTGCCCGATAATTTTTCAAATAGTGCTTTTATTGCTAGTGGTATTTTAAAATTTTTGTAGCAACTTCATCTCCATTAACATCATCATCATTTATTATTATTATTATTATTATTATTATTATTATTATTATTATTATTATTATTATTATTATTATTATTATTTTTAAATTCTAGCCAACTCCTTTGACTGTACCTTTGAGGCCGACACATGTGGTTGGGTACAGGAGGTTGGAGACACCTTTAACTGGACAAGGTCCAGTGGTGCCACTGGAAGTACCGGTACTGGACCTTCCTTTGACCACACTACTGGAAGTAAGAAATACTTCTCATTGAAACAATGAATGAATTCTGCTTGTCAATAAATATTATTTGGTTAAACAGATAAATCATCACATCAGTTGGTTTCTTGTATTTTTGGATTTGTAGGTAATTGACAGAGATGCTGATACTTGATTTATACTGTTTATTCATTTTGAATAATATTGTGAAGTTATTGGTGTTATGAATTTGAAAAGGAAAAATGAGAAGACTGAAAGTTGATCAGAAAATTAAGATCAAACTTTTAGTATGGTTTGATCCAAGATAATTAATTAGTTATCTGATTTAAATGAAGATTGGACCTCTTTTAAAACAAGAAAGAACTGAGTTCAGTTGTAACCAAAAGTATTTGGATATATTTATATGCGCTACTGCACTTTCATCCAGAATTAAAGTAGACCAAAATTTAATTGTAAATTGAGGACATTTTTTGGTTGAAAGTTCTTTTGAAAATTTGAACTATACCTAAGAATTCTTAATGTCAAAACTATTTCTTAAATTTTTCTGCAAATGTCTTTCTAGCTGGATATTACATGTATATCGAGACATCTTCACCAAGGGTCGACGGAGACAAAGCTCAATTGAGCAACACACTGGTACCATCTGGAACCGCCTGTATCTCATTCTGGTACCACATGTATGGCCCACATGTTGACACCCTTAATCTGTACTATGTCAAAGGCAGCACCCTGGGGACCCCGGTGTGGAGTAGAACAGGCAGTAAGGGGGATAGGTGGTTGCAAGCTCAGGTGCAGTTCACTAACCAAGCGTACACCAAGGTAAGGTGATCAGGGAGATAATGCTGATTATGTGCATGGCATGTTGATATCTGTAATTAAATGTTTATATTTTGCAATATATGTACCATTTATCAAAGCATAGATACCCATGTAGATGTTAATTCACTAACTTGTGTTTTATATCTTATTGTACAGGATAAGAAGTGCACATTGCAACTTTTAGTCACCTGTAATATTGTTTCAATTTTTTTTTAATACACTAACTCAAAAATGTTCTTTTTGTAGATCTCTTAATTCTAGTCATGCATGGTAAAGTTATGTGCATCTTGCTTCATAATATATATTTTTATAATTTGTTTTTACAGATAATGTTTGAAGGTGTCAGAGGTAAAAGTTACCAGGGAGACATTGCCATAGATGATATCACCATGACTCCAGGATTATGTCCAGCAGGTACATATCTTTTTAAGCATATGCTAGTATTTCCTCTTTGATTTTGAATTCTTAACTGGGGCCTCTGAAATTATTATTTTCTTTTTTGTCCTGCTGGATTGAATAAAATTATAATTAGATAATGAAATATGAATATTTGGCTAGGTTTATTGTGTAACTGCTTTTCTTTTCTGTTTATGAAGCTGGTGTAATGTTTTACTTACAACTTTACTAAAAAACTACTGCTTATAAACATTTTAAGTCTACCTCATTTGTGTATAGTGAAACTAAATGTTATGTTATGTTTTCATTAATCACTTATCCTTTCTCACAGTTCACAATCCTGGTACACTTTCAACTTATTTTTGTTTAAATGTTTCATTTTTTGAATTTAGTTATGATTTTTAAAAAATGGTTATATTGGACAGTATTAAGAATTCTTACTGAATCTGGTCTTTGTAGCCGCTGGAGTGAGCTGTACTTTTGAAGATCAAAATGTCTGTGGCTACACTCAGGACCAGGCTGATACATTTGACTGGACAAGGACTAGTCTGTCCACTAGCTCTACAGGGACTGGACCCACTGCTGACCATACATATGGGACTGCCAAAGGTAACTTTTGATATATATTTGTCAAATTCTAAAACCCTTGTGGTTGTCTTCTGTTATTCAGTATTTATCTTTTAGTTATTGCATGTAAAATGCCAGAGTATAATGATAGACTCAATTACAACCTGCCAATAGCCAAATAATATATTTTAAGGCGAATGCTGTGTTTTTAGTACAACTCGTATAATTTATCATTCTTTTTCATTAATTTGTATTTTACACTGTGAACATAAGTATATTTTACTCTTAATGCATGTATTATTGTTATTATTATTATTTTTATTATTATTATTATTATGTGATGATTCTTGTAACCTTTGGTAATTACTTAGATGCCAGAGTCATACCATAACTCTGGGGTGATTTTAGTGTTCATGAGATGGATAGCGTCTTTCTGATGATATGCGCACTACCAAGCAAGACTATTTTCTGCAGCTCTCGGACAGGTGGGCTTCCTGGCATTTGCTGAACCTGCCTATCCAGTCCTTTCTTGATAAGGCCCACTGTTATTATTATTATTATTATTATTATTATTATTATTATTATTATTATTATTACACAGTGATTATTTCCTTTACCAGGCTATTACATGTACGNTACGGTATGTGTATACATGCTTTTATATATAATTGTCCTAGCCAAAAAAGGGGCTTTCAGGATAATAAGAAAAGGGGATGGAGGGGAGGGGGAAGAAATAATCTATGGTGCTCAGAACAGTATTTTTCCCTTTTGAGAAGAGGTTAGAGCTGAATTTCAACATATTGACACCCTCTTAGTGAAACTTTAAATAGGCACAGATTATTATTTGATATTAAAACACATTACATTTCTATTTACTTTTACAGTCTTTTGTGACTTTGAGAAAGACTTCTGCACACTGTCCAATGCCCAGTCAGGAGATGACTTTGACTGGACACGTGGGTCTGGAAGAACCGGCAGCTCTGGCACTGGACCATCCATTGACCACACTGTTGGAAATGGAAATGGTAAATTATATGGACAATATATTATTATATCCACAACAAGCTGTGTGTGTGCATTTGTGCATGTGTATATATGGGAAGAAAAAAATGTTGTTTCTCGCACATTTAAGTTATTTCAAGAGCACTTTATCTTTTGTTCTATCAAAACAATCAATTTTGTACTTTATGAATTCTTATATCATATATGTTTTACCTACCTCCTAGGCTCATATGTCTTCATCGAGTCCTCCAGTCCCCGTAGTCCTGGCGACACTGCCCAACTGGTTAGCACTACAGTGAACCCTAACACTGCAAACTGTCTGGAGTTCTGGTACCACATGTATGGTGCAGACATTGGTACCCTCAATGTGGTATACTCATCTGGTGGTACCAACAAGACAATATGGCAGATGAGTGGCAACCAGGCTGATGCCTGGAACACTGGAAGGATCAGTCTCAACCAGGGAAATACACCATTTAAAGTAAGAATAAAGGCATAATATTTCACTTTAGATTTTGCTTTTTTTATTATTATTATTGGGAAGTTTCCTCAGTATGCTGTTATAATGACTTTCAGTAATTTTCAGAATTGTTCTTAACATTTTATAAATGTACAGATTTTCATTGCTTGAAATATTTTGGCCTGCAAAATTGTTTCATGGTCACCGTAAAGTAAAGGTTAACATATAATTATGAGAAAATAAAATTTCAAGAAAGAACGCTTTACCTATACAATTCAATCATATATATCAAGCTATGATTCTTTTTGAAATTGAATACGTTTATTTTTCCAGGTCATCTTTGAGGGTGTCAGAGGCACTGGTTACAGAGGAGACATAGCACTTGATGACATCAGGATGTTTGTAGCTAACCCATCTGGCCCATGCTTAACCCAACCAGCAGGGGCTGTACCTACCTCACCAGCACCCACCACTGCCAGTACCACACCCACATCAACTGCACCCCCAGGTAATTACCTATGTAACAAACCACACCAACACCCACATACACTATAGTGTCACCCACATACACTATAGTGTCACCCACATACACTTTAGTATCACCCACATACACTTAATTGTCATGCCCAATACAGCTAGCACTGCACCTGTGTCAAACTCAGCCCCAGGTGAACATCCCACCAACAAACCACTCCAGCACCCACATATTGTCAGTGCACCACAGCTTGGATGTTCAGCTTCATTGTTTATACCAATTTAAATTGATTGATTTAATAATGTAAAGCTTAGACTGTTTCATAGCCCACCCCCACCTACACAAGTATAGTACACAAGTATAGTACCCTAACCCACTAATACACTACCCCCAACCTGCACATTTGATGCACCCACACAAACTCCAGCTCCTACGCCAGATTGTTCATGCATTATACATGCAATAAACTTGAAAGTAACAATATTGGTTGCGTGCTGATCTAATTACCTGGATATCTTTTCCAGTTCAAGTCAGTGTGAATGCTGTGACTGTGGTGAAGATCACCAACCTTCAGTGGAGCAACCAGTACCTGGACAAGACCTCAGCTTCGTATATAGCTCTCAACAGGGACCTTATAGCTGCTGTAAGTAGTTTGTAATTAACATCTAATAGTCAATTTTTATGCAGAATAAATGTCACTCAGAGTTATTAATTTACTGATACTATGACTTTCTTTCCAGACCCAGAATATTCTCTCCAATGTGGCAGGCTCACACACAGTCACACTTCTGTCACTGCGAGCAGGAAGTGTCATGGCGGAAATGGGGATCGCTTCATCCATCCCATCTGCCAACAAAAACACACACAAGACCCTCTTGCGTAATGCTTTGACCAATGCAGTAAGGAACAACCAGTTTGGGAGGTTCCAAGTTGATCCCAACGTAGTGGTCTCTGATGTCAGCGCAGGTCAGTGTTTGTAAAGATACCTATGTTTATTGTCTGCTGTAGAAACAAGTTTTTTTTTCAAATCTTAAAATAACATGGAAGCTGGTGAAATATGTGGTAGTGGTGTACAGGCATTTATTTGTTTACTTTACAGCAAATTTTGCATTTATTCATGGCTGCATTGGCCAGCTGGCCTAGTAACTGGGTTATCCATATATTTGGCTGAACCAAGGGAATAAACTTGAATAATATATTGTTTTTAATGGTTTTGTGAAAAAAAGAAACCTGTGGATCAAAAACATCATCAACAGTATTGTCATGGTGGAGACATTGTCATGGCAACATGTTCACTTTTCCTTATTGTATATGCCACTGATGAAGAGATAATTTCTTCAGTGGCACATACAATAAAGAAAAGTGAACATGCTGATAATTTGAATATTCTTTGTGCCCGATAATTTTTCAAATAGTGCTTTTATTGCTAGTGGTATTTTAAAATTTTTGTAGCAACTTCATCTCCATTAGCATCATCATCATTTATTATTATTATTATTATTATTATTATTATTTTTTTTTTTTTATTATTATTATTATTTTTAATTCTAGCCAACTCTTTTGACTGTACCTTTGAGGCCGATACATGTGGTTGGGTACAGGAAGTTGGAGACACCTTTAATTGGACAAGGTCCAGTGGTGCCACTGGCAGTACCGGTACTGGACCTTCCTTTGACCACACTACTGGAAGTAAGAAATACTTCTCATTGAAACAATGAATGAATTCTGCTTGTCAGTAAATATTATTTGGTTAGCAGATAAATCACATCAGTTGGTTTCTTGTATTTTTGGATTTGTAGGTTTATTTGACAGAGATGTTGATACTTGATTTATACTGTTTATTCATTTTGAATAGTTTTGTGAAGTTATTGGTATTATGGATTTGAAAAGGAAAAATGAGAAGAGTGAAAGTTGATCAGAACATTAAGATCAAACTTTTAGAATGGTTTGATCCAAGATAATTAATTAGTTATCTGATTAAAATGAAGATTCGATGTCTTTTAAAACAAGAAAGAACTGAGTTCAGTTTTAATCAAAGGTATAAATGTTAATTGAGACCATTTTTTTGGTTGAAAGTTCTTTTGAATATTTGAACTATACCTAAGAATTTTTAATGTCAAAACTATTCCTTAAATTTACTGCACGTGTCTTTCTAGCTGGATATTACATGTATATCGAGACATCTTCACCAAGGGTTGATGGAGACAAAGCTCAATTGAGCAACACCCTGGTACCATCTGGAACCGCCTGTATCTCATTCTGGTACCACATGTATGGCCCCCATGTTGACACCCTTAATCTGTACTATGTCAAAGGCAGCACCCTGGGGACCCCAGTGTGGAGTAGGACAGGCAGTAAGGGGGACAGGTGGTTGCAAGCTCAGGTGCAGTTTACTAACCAAGCGTACACCAAGGTAAGGTGATCAGGGAGGTAATGTTGATTATGTACATCGCATGTTTATATCTGTAATTTAATGTTGACATTTGCAATATATGTACCATTTATCAAAGCATAGATACACATATAGATGTTAATTCACTAACTTGTGTTTTTTATCTTATTGTACAGGATAAGAAGTGCACTATATTAATGATATTTCAGTCACCTGTCATATAGTTTCAAAACTTTTTTTAATATACTAACTCAAAAATGCTCTTTTTGCAGATCTCTTAATTCTAGTCATGCATGGTAAAGTTATGTGCATCTTGCTTCATTATATATTTTTATAATTCATTTTTATAGATAATGTTTGAAGGTGTCAGAGGTGTAAGTTACCAGGGAGACATTGCCATAGATGATATCACCATGACACCAGGATTATGTCCAGCAGGTACATATCTTTTTAAGCATATGCTAGTATTTTCTCTTTGGTTCTTAACTCTTAACTGGGGCCTCTGAAATTATTATTATTATTATTCATTTTTTTTTTTTGCCTGCTGGATTGAATAAAAAGGCAGATTTTCCTTTTGAAATTAGATGATGAAATGTGAATATTTTGCTTAGGTTTATAGTGCAATTGCTTTTCTTTTATGTTTATGAAGCTGGTCTAATGTTCTACATACAACATTCTAGTGAACGCCAGTCAAAATCTGCAAATAGATACAAAACTACTGCCTAAAAACATTTTAATCTGCAAATAGATACAAAACTACTGCCTAAAAACATTTTCAGGCCCACTCATTTGTGAATTGTGAAATTCCAGTTATATTTCCATTAATCACTTATCTTTTCTCACAGTTCATAATCCTGGTATACTTTGGACTAATTTTTATACAAATGTTTTTTTTTATTTAGTAATTATTTTTTTAAAAATGGTAATTTTGATAGTATTGAAAATTCTACTAAATCTGGTCTTTGTAGCCACTGGAGTGAGCTGTACTTTTGAAGATCAAAATGTCTGTGGCTACACTCAGGACCAGGCTGATACATTTGACTGGACAAGGACTAGTCTGTCCACTAGCTCTACAGGGACTGGACCCACTGCTGACCATACATATGGGACTGCCAAAGGTAACTATTGATATATATTTGTCAAATTCTAAAACCCTTGTGGTTGTCTTCTGCTATTCAGTGTTTATCTTTAAGTTATTGTATGTAAAATGCCAGTGTAATGATAGACTCCATTACAAAACCTCCAAAAGCCAAATGATATATATTTAAGGTAAATACTTTGTTTTTTGTACAACTCATATAATTTATCATTCCTTTTCATTAATTTGAATTTTACACTGTTAACATAGGTATATTCTACACTCTGAATGCGTTATATTATATATTATAATTTGTTTTTATCCTTTACCAGGCTTTTACATGTACATCGAAGCTTCATCACCAAGAAGTGCTGGTGACATAGCTCGCCTGATGACTCCAAATGTTAAACCCAATGAAGGGAAATGTCTCAGCTTCTGGTACCACATGAAGGGCACACACATTGGTACCCTGAATGTCAAGTATCAGTACAACACAAGTGCCTTAGCTCCACCATCAAGTAGCCTACTGTGGAGTAGATCTGGGGACCAGGGTAATCAGTGGCAAGAGGCCAGGATTTCTGTGGCCAACAAACCTAACTTCTATGGATCACTAGTAAGTAATGGCCTAAGGACTTTTGTAAAAATATATACATGACAATGTGGTCTGCATCTGTAAGGAAACATATTCAAATGATAATATCAGCTTTCTAACAAGATCTTCCCTAGCTGATGTTCAAGTTTGAAGTTGTGTTGTATATTTTCTGTAACATGCTCATTTGCATTGTTGAATCGTGTAAATTTAGAGGGTATTTTGCTCCAAGCAGACTGGTGATTTTAATATATAAATGACCAAAATTGGGTTCTTCTCTGCAGATTGTGTTTGAAGGCACTGTGGGTACTGGTTACCAGGGTGATATCTCCATTGATGATGTTCAACTACTGCCTGGAGATTGCCAGAGAATTGGTAAGTGTTATTCTTATTCTTTCATGTGCATATGTGTACAGTGCCAGTTTTGCTGCAGCAATGTCAATTGTCATTTGCCTCTGGACTTTGTTGGCCAATGGATGCCATAGTAACCTTTTTGCTGTGTCAGCTGTCATGATGCCTTCTTGAAGCTCTACAAAGAAGACGTGATGGCATCTGGCCCAGCGAAGAGAGGAAGAGCAGCAGCACCAGATAGCTCAATACTAACAGGAAGACAGTCACCAGTTGTCCCTGCATGTTATCTGAAAAAGAATATTTTATTGGTTTCAAAATATCAGGATGGCAACCATCTAGTTTAAATTGAAAAATTCATATTTACATTTTAATATTTTTATTTTAAAATTATTTGACATAAATTCATTGCAGTAAGCTAAGAAGCATTGTTTTAGAAGGTGTATTTGTTCTTTACGCATTTGTTCTTTACTCAAAACTGTACTGGAGGGCACAAAAGATGAGAGCGTTGCCACATGTCAGCTGTCATGATGCCTTCTTGAGTGACAAACAAAGAAGGTGCAATGTCTGCTGGCATGTTGCATTGTAAAATTACTTTGTGACAACATCTGGTGGAACATCATTGTCTTTTGAAAGAATAATTAGCAGACAAGGATTTCCAAAAGGAATACACCTAGATGTGAATGTGAAGAATTCCTCTGGTGGCCCTCAGCTGTCATGATGCCTTCTTGTTGTTGAGACAAAGAAGCCATTATGACAATTGGTGGACAGCAGAGACACAGACTAGCTGTTCCATCAAGAAAGGTTTCTGTATTTATTTTGTATTTTTGTATTCTGCATGCATTTCTTCATAGTAAGGCTAAAAACTGAAAATTGCAGCCTACCACAAATCAAGGTAAAGCTTAAGCTACCCACTGAAACAAAAGAACTGAGAGTAAATACAGCATTGCTCCAGACACAGATACCTCTTATAGTATATTTGGCAACATCCAGTGTATTGATCTAAGTTGAAGAAGTTCATTTAAAGTGTTGTCAGTAATTTGATTGTAATACAAGTATGCATGTGTATCACTCATTGAGGCTGCCAAAAGGACATCCACTCATTATCTGATGGTACAAAAATTGATATTATTATGATTATAAAAAAAGAAAGAAGAAAACAGGTCCCAGATTTGGAAACAAACAACTTTGAATCACCTCTCATTTTATCAGTATTTAAACATTAAGTTATGCATTGTGTAGCAGAATGTATAACAGAACATATCATACTAATAATAAGTGCCGACTTGCACACTTTTTTTACTGATATAATAATTTATGAATGAAGATTTTACAATTAAGGAGATTATGAAATGACTTATGCATACAGAAAAGAAACAGAATACAATGAGCATGCCGATTTTCCTTGGAGAGATGTTTTCGATCACACTTACATAGTACCTGCGATCAAATGTAAATCAAGAAGGAATCATCACTGAAGTGTTACAGTACCTATATATTTCATTTCAGGTAACTGTGACTTTGAGAACAGACTGTGTGGCTGGAGTAATGTCCAGACTGACCAGTTTGACTGGACCCAAAGAAAGGGCAGTACAACTAGTGGTGGGACGGGACCATTAGTGGACCACACTCTTGGCAATTCAAACGGTAATAAACCTAGTAATGAAAAACTGTTGCCATTGATTTACCATAACCAGCATGTTTGTTCCTATTGATAGTTACCCAAAAAGAATTCATTCAGTTGAATATTTTTCTTGCTATCTGAGGTGCAGTTTATGTCAGAGAAATAATTTTTTATATTTGCTTTCAGTGGCTTTTACAGCTATTGTAATGGACAAGATCAAATAGACCTACCATTGCTTCTTTATATATTTCTTTTTAAAAAAGGTTCAGGTTTACTTTTCTTCGTTACATATTTGATAGAAAAGTAAATTAATAGTTTTTGACAGTAAAAATTGTTGAAAATTAATAAATTGAATAAACTTGATGTGAACTTTTCTGTTGTTTTCCTTCAGGCACATACATGTACATTGAGACCTCGTCCCCACGTAAGCAGGGTGACACAGCCCAGCTGATCTCCCCGTCTCTAACGGCCACCAGTGGATCAGGCATGTGCATCCATTTCTGGGCCCACATGAAAGGTGCTGGAGTTGGGGCACTGAATGTCTACAAACAACCAGTAAGTAGAGAGAGAGATTTATTAGGGATGAAAAGAAGATTTATTTTAAATTTACCTATATCTGTTGAAAATTATGAGAAAAAGTAATATCACACTTATTTTTGCACCACATTTTTTCTCTCTATGTGTAGATGTTATGTACCAAAGAGGAAAATTTTTACCAAGGTACCACTGTATTCCAGTTGTAATCCTGATTGTAACCCTACATAGCAATGCTTCTTCAAACTCTTTCAGTCAGACTGTTTATCAGCATGTGAGCATAAACAAACACTTTTAATAGTTTCTGTTCTGTTTTTCTCCAGACTGGGGGCAATACAACATTGCTTTGGCAGCTGTCCACTGAGCGTGGTGACAAGTGGTTTGATGGACAGGTCACTCTGTCCAGTTCCACAACCTTTAAGGTCATCTTTGAGGGTGTGAGAGGGGGTACCTACCAGGGTGACATCGCAATAGATGACATCACCTTTACACAGGGGAATTGTCCAAGTTAGTAGTAGTTTTGGATAATATATGATTAAAATTCAAATATGAATCTGTTGTTCATATTTTGCTGTTAAAAGATATGAAAGTGTTTTGATTAAATTTATTCCAGAGAAAAGTGTTTTAGTTATACCAAGAAGAATTTACAAAGATTTTTTTATTCAAAAATTATAGACATGTTGTTAAATGTGGCCAATATGTGAATTTAGTCCTTTCTGTTAGCTTGAAGAATAAAGCAGAGGATTGTGATACACAATTAGTACTTTTATAACCCCATGGTCAGATGGCGACATTATAATGCAAGTGGTGCTACATAACATCTGTGCTCTTTGCTGCTTTTTGATTGAATAATTAGAGATGGTAAAATGTATGTATTGATGATGTTGCATGGACTGACCTGATGTTGTATGTTTACGTTCTCTATTTCTAGTCAACCCACCTGATGCTCAGCCAGCAAGTGCTACTCCTCCTCTGCCAACTGCTACAGTACCACAGATTACAACCACCCAGGGTAAAGCTCACTTTGTCATTATGTTTAACCTGTACCTGATTATTTTTACTTTCCTTGCTTTATTACAATGCTTTTTATCAAATGGACATCTATTGGAATGAAGTTAAATCTGTTATGCATGTAGTAAAGTTGAAATATAGATAAAACCTGACCATTATAACTATTTTTATATTAAAACAATTGTTCTATATTTTCTTTTACCTTAGAAATGTTTACATTGTCATTTGTTCTATATTTTCTGTTACTCTAGAAATGTTTACATTGTCATTTTTCTTTTGTTAGCTGGATTGAAATATTGTTCCTTTGAGACTGGTCTCTGTGACTGGACACAGGACAAGAATGACGACTTTGACTGGACTCGAGCCAAAGGGTCAACTTCCTCCACTGGGACTGGTCCTTCAGCAGACCACACCTCTGGGACAGGTTAGTAAAAGAACATATATGCCAGTATGATAATTGTTATTTTCATACTTTAATTGGACTTGCAAAAAAAAAAAAAAAATCAGTATTACAGGTGGGAGTATAAGAATTGGATTTTGATGTGAGGCTGATCAATTTATAGAAAACTGACTTTTTCCATACTTATTAATTAACAGGAGTTTCTGATTCAAAAAACAAGATGTACAGCAGTAAATTTTTGTTTCAGTTGCACCTGATTTTTAAATGATAAATGGATGAGATTGATTTTCAATCTGTATATCAATAGCATGCATTATTTTAAGCCTTATTTTTATCTTTGCAGGCTTTTACATCTATATTGAGACCTCCAGCCCCAGGCGAGTCAATGACACGGCTCGTATTGAGAGTTCCAGCATCACAGCAAGTGGCTCCCTCTGTCTGGAATTCTGGTACCACATGTATGGTCCTCATGTAAACACCCTCAATGTCCTGACCAAGCAGGGTGGCGCCTCCACAACCATCTGGAGTAAGACTGGTACCCTGGATGACAAATGGTACCAGGCTAAAGTGACCCTGAACAGACCAGTTCCATATAATATTGTGTTTGAGGCTATTAGAGGGACAAGTTTCAGAGGAGACATTGCTTTGGATGATGTGAAGTTGTCAGTTGGCTCCTGTAGTGGTTAGTATTTACTTCTTTTAATGATTTTAATTCCTTTCATTTCATTTTAATTTATGTTTTTATAGTCTCTGAATGGTTGGTGGTTTATAGTTGATCTTCTTTTTTTCATCAAATTTTATTTTGTTGTGATTTAAGCCTATTTTAAAAAATCTTGAAAACAAATATAAACAAAAAAATATATATCTGTATTATGTTTTAGCCCAAGTCACAAATGATGGCTCTTGCACCTTTGAGGATAAGAAACTATGTGGCTACATTCAAGACCAGACCGATGTATTTGACTGGACACAGAACAGTGGGTCAACTGGGTCAACTGGTACTGGACCTACTAATGATCACACCTATGGTAGCCCAGTTGGTGAGCAATACTGTTATACATTTTATATCATTTAATTTAGAAGTAAATGTACACTTCTGAATATTTCAAAATTACTGTTGTTAATAATGAAGTCTTTTCTTGATCATTATATTTGTATTTAAAATCTATAAAAAGATGAACTTCAAAAGTGAATTGATTAAAATGTGATTGTAAATGTGCAACAAATAGTTTGCTAAAATTTGCGAAAGTTTTCCAACAAAATGAAAGACCACAGGGAATCTTTAAGAACCAGGTCTATTATTTTTATTATTATTATTATTATTATTATTATTATTATTATTATTATTAACTGATTTATTTTGATATAATGCCAATCCTTACTTTAGGTCAGTACATGTACATCGAGACCTCATCCCCAAGAAGGGCAGGTGACACTGCTCGCCTTATCAGCCCTGTTCTCCAGTCCACCAGGGGGAGCTGTGTACAGTTCTGGTACCACATGTTTGGAGGCGATGTGGACACTCTCAATGTTTATGTCAAGACAAATGGCCGCCTGGGTTCAGCAGTATGGAGCAAGACTGGACCACAGGGATCTGCATGGATACTGGGAGTGGTCAGTGTGAGGTCCTCTGGCACGTGGCAGGTGAGAAGCTGAAAAATAAAACAGAAGTAAAAGGTGTATTTTCAGATTTGCATGTTTTTGTGTCATGGAATCTGTTAATAGTTAGGAAAAAGTAATGGCATAATCGTTCTTCCATTTCTTACAGAAATAAATATTTCTGCCTTTAGAGTATAGTGCTGAAATTCACTTCACCTGCCTAAGTGTGGCTCAAAAATGAATGAATAAAAAGAAGTGTTATTTTTCTACTGCAGGTTGTGTTTGAAGGAACACGTGGCAACAACTATCAAGGTGACATTTCTATTGATGATGTCACAGTGACAAGTGGGGCATGCCCATCTCCAGGGGATTGTGACTTTGAAAGTGACACCTGCACGTGGAGTAACGTTGCAGCAGGAGATGATTTTGATTGGTTGAGAGGAAAAGGCGCAACTGGCAGCTCATTTACTGGACCTAGCACAGATCATACGAAAGGAACTTTAGATGGTGAGATAGTCATCTTTTGTTTGCAAAAAATGTATTGTTTTATAGTAGTATATAAGCCATGTAAGAAGTTTAATTTTCTATCACTCAGAATGCTGAAATGAATTTGTGCATGGGCAATGAAAGTATAAATGAAAGCGAAACATTTTTCAACCTATGTAGTTGCAAACTTCAAGCTAAAATATATATTATTAGATTCACTATTTGTTATTTCTTTTGTAAGGCTACTTCATGTTCATAGAGACCTCTGCCCCCAGGGTGCTGGGAGACACAGCTAAGTTAGTGAGTCAAAGGTTTGATGCAACCAGATCTAAGAGATGTATTAGATTCTGGTATCACATGTATGGAAGAGGCATTGGTAAGTTTTTTTAATGGATATATGAGAGCATAGGATTCTGTTATTAGTGTACATTTAAATTTTGTTTTATTGAGAAGTACTGTTTTCCAGTTTTATTTTTTGGTTGAGACTACCTTCTGCAGCAAGGTTTGAACTTGGGAATGGTACTATGGTACCAAAGTGTACCTAAATTAGATACTAAATGTGGAACAGTTGCAAATAATCTAAGCCAATGAGACAAAATGACAATTTTTCGTGAGCCTTGTTTAGAAGGTTAATTACTAAAGGCATTTCTTAACTGCTTTGTAACTGTTAATATAAAAGAAATGTAATTTTAATTCCCTAGGTACCCTAAGTGTTACCCTGCAAACCAACAGCTCTGAGACTCTTCTGTGGCAGCAATCAGGTGACAAAGGAAGTACCTGGCTGGATGGTCAAGTGTCCTTCACAAGCACTGACCAGTATCAGGTGAAGTGATACTTTGAAATAAAACCTTAACAAGCTCATTTCTACAGACAGAATCATGTTGATAGTCAATGTCATACTTGTTGTAGCAACTCTTCTCTTTTCACTTCAAAAATTATAGCTGCATGAAATAATAAAAAAAACTCATATTAATATTGCTTTTGACTTCCTTTTTAGATTGTATTTAAAGGCATTCGTGGGTCAAACTACCAGGGTGATATATCCATTGATGACATCTCTTTCACCACATCTGCATGTGCAAGTAAGAGAGCTGTGATAAATTTTTTTCATGTTTTATCACACATATGCAGTCCTTCAGCCCTTCATCAGTATATAAGAAAACACAAAACACCTTTTTGATTTTATATTTAATTTAAGATAACTTGTAATTGGATAGAGTTATATAAGGTGAATAAAAAGAATTGTATTTATTTTTAACTTCGAATGTACCTCATATTTAAAAAGATTTTTTGTGTATTTATGGGAAATATTTTTTCACATTTTAGTCAAGCCAGCTCTTCAAACCCTCAGCACAACCACAAGTAGCCCTACTGCTTCCACTACAGCATTCAGTGAGTACCAGTTTATGTTATTTTATTGGCTGGTGTTAATATCCTTTGTCTTTGACTTAAACCCTTCCCCAAATCTATATGCCAGGCCTGTAAAATTCCATACATTTCTTCTGCAATTGGTTATTAGCCCTTACTCTGCTTCATGCCAGTGAATTCGTAGACACCAGTGACAATAATGTCAGTTACTATTGTGTTGTACGTATCAGATTGCCTCTCATTATTGACTGTATTTTTCCAGAGCCCTCAGCCCCACTGGACTGTAGCTTTGAATCTGGACTCTGTAGTTGGACACAGGATAATACTGATGACTTTGACTGGACAAGAACTCAGGGCCCAACTGGTTCTGTAAGCACTGGACCAACTGCTGACCATACACTGGGCACAGGTCAGTATTACAAATTAAACAGAATTTTTTTTTACTCTTTAACTGAATATTTGCATTTGACTTTGTGAATTTCATGTAGGGAGGATAAGGGGAATAAATATGAGGTAAAAATGAAAATGAGTATGTCCAGATGTACAAGTCTTTACCATGTATATTAAGGATAGAAATGTATAATATCAAGTATGTTATTTGTATAATCTATCTTGGGTTTTTAGACCAAGGTTATTATGTATACATTGAGACCTCTGGCAGAAGAATCAATGATGTTGCCCGCATTATCTCTGGCCAAGTACCCAGCAGCCAACAGTACTGTCTGCAGTTCTGGTACCACATGTACGGACCTCATGTCAACACTCTCAATGTCTACCTCAAGGTAAACCACAAACTTCACAGTCTTTATACATATAGTACTTTGAAAATCAAGGGCTGTCAATAAGTTTGAACTGTAATTGACATGAAAAATATTTTATACTTGATTTGATACATATAACTGCACTTTTTACTGTATTATTTCAATTACATGCATTTTTGTAATATGATCTAAAAAATCATTCTCTGTGTGGCTTGTTTTTGTCTCAATAAAGGAAATGAAACACTTGGTTAAATATTGTGCTATTAAATGAATATAGTTTTCCTGATAATCTCAGGTGTATATATTATGATAACTTTTGATAAATCTGCTACAAATGCCTGTAATTACAGCGTGGTGGTAATCTTGGTGGAGCAGTTTGGACAAAGAGCGGTGCTCAAGGTAACCAGTGGTTTCAAGCTCAGTACAGTATACCAGCTCAAGGAGTTGCCTACCAGGTAGTCTTTGAGGGTATCAGAGGGAATGGGTATGCAGGGGATATATCCATAGATGATGTAGCTTTGAGACCAGGAGCTTGCCAGGGCTTGGGTAAGAAACTTTGTTATTGAATGTAATTGTGTAAGCATTAGTACCAGTATATGTGTGTTACTATGTATGTACAGATTGTGATGTTATAGTTGTTTCAGTAATCATAAATGGTACCCTTGTCTACATCTAAATTCATCCAAAGTTAGCTACATGTAGCTGTTTCATTTGAAAATGGGAATTAACATAATTAGTTAGAAGACAAAACATTAATCAAATCAGTTTTAAGCTTTTTATCTATTTACCCGCAAATTTTTATTGGTGACAATTTTAGAGTTGTTAATTGAAAATGCATTTATTATGGGAAAAAATAGAAAAGAATAGGAAAAACAAGTGGAAAACAAGGAACAATTCAATGATATATTTTAAACAAACTTTTCGTTTATGCCCTTTAGCAACAAGTCAGTGTAACTTTGATACTGACCTATGTGGCTGGACACAGTCTACCAGTGATGACTTTGACTGGACACAGCAGTCTGGGGCCACTGGCAGCGCTGGAACTGGACCTATTAATGACCACACCCTGGGAACTGGAACTGGTCAGTACTTTATTTTAGTGGTTGATTCTTTGAAAAGAAAAAAAACAAAAACAGATAAATACCGTTGTTATTGGGTCAAAACATTACTGGTTGCCATAGATGCTAACCTGGCTAACAGGCTTCTTTTAAAATTACAATGGTTTTCATATAATTAACTTTACTTACTTATGATGTTGAGTTATGGTTTATGGCAAAAAAACTAGTATCTATTGAAATGCTCTAAGAATTGATCACCTAAAAGCACATTTATGAAGTACCAACGCTATCTTTTCAATAAGTTAATTACTGTTCCAGGCAAATATATCTACACTGAAACAAGTTCCCCCAGGAAGCCAGGAGACAAGGCCGTCTTGATCAGCCCTTCACTGCCTGCGCCCTCTGGTGCCCAGTGCCTGCAGTTCTGGTATCACATGTATGGATTCCATATTGGCACCTTGAATGTATACACTCAGACCCTAGGGTTTAATACCACTATCTGGAGCAAGAGTGGTTCTCAAGGAAATGGCTGGCTGCTTGGTCAGGCTACTGTTAAGTCAGCTGGACAATTCCAGGTGAGTTAATTAAGCATGGCAGGTGGTGGACGGGTCAGCCTAATTACTTAATTGAATGTTTTGGTTGACATGCCATTGATTGTGGTTAGCTTTTGATTATAGTTTACCAGGTAGGTGTAGACTGTGAACTGTGCACAAGGTATGTCATTGTTGATTAGAAGATTATTTTTCTCTTGTGTCACTGAATTTTACTCAGTGATGACAAAAGATTGTCGACAAAATGAGATTGATCTGAAAGTATCACTGGGAAGTTTGACAAACCAAAGTTAGGCCCAGGTAACTCTTTACAACTGGGATATATATCTTATCAGTAATCTGAACTGATTCTTCTTGTTGTCAGAAGGTGCTCTTAGCATCAGTGCAGTGTGACTAACACATGCCTTGGGTGGAGGGGGGGGGGGGGGGTGAGTTGATAGTACAAATCTTTCCACTGACTGCTGTGTAGGATCAGGTGGTGGACATGGTTATTTGTTGATTTATAGTGCCTGCTGAATATACTTTACAAATATTTGGGTTTTCAGATCCTGTTTGAAGGTATCCGTGGTACTGGCTACCAAGGAGATATTTCCATTGATGATGTCAAAGTTGTGAATGGGGCTTGTCCCTTACCAGGTATATATACATATGTGGCATTTAACTTTTGCCCATGCATTTCACATAAACTTCAAATGTCTTTATAAAAGCAAAATGTTGCTAAAAAAATGTTGTAATGAATTCAACTGTTCTTTTGCCAAGAAGACCACTGCATCCATTATAAGTAGATGCAATAAAAATTATTTAGTCATGTTATATTGTGCCATATTTAAAAATTTCAATTTCATTGTGACCTTTCTTTCTCATTTAATTGATCTCTATTTACCAGGTGATTGTGATTTTGAGACTGGCTTCTGCACATGGACCAATCCTCAGAGCGGGGATGACTTTGACTGGTTGTTGGGGAAATCATCCACCAAGTCCAGGTATACAGGACCAAGTGTGGACCACACCACTGGCACTGCACAAGGTAATATTATCAACATACACTTGACAACCTGTGGAAACTCCCTAATTAAGTCATTGTTTATTGTGACTGTTAACATTGGTGGTTTAAAGCAGAGATGGCCTTAACTGTGTGTCTGTAAACTAGAATTGATTTGTTTTAACATGGAAATTGATAGCATAAGCTGCAGTGAGAGTACCGATGTAATGTGATTGTCTGTTGGTATTCCAGTGCAGTATCTGTTGAGAATCCTCAGGAAAATTACTCCCAAGTCAGTTTTTTTTTTATCAAATTCAGACTTCCTCCATCTTATATTGACTAACCGTGTAGACTCTTTGTTTTATATAGAATTAATATTTGCAGGACAATATGCCTTCATTGAGGTATCCTACAAAAAGAACTTCGCTGTTGCTCAACTGCTTAGTGAGCGTTTCCTGGCCACAAGAGGGCGCTGCATGTCCTTCTGGTACCACATGTATGGTCAGGATATTGGCACACTCAGCGTTAAGATCTTGGATTTGGTGTCAAACACGACCTGTCTGGTTTGGCAGCTCAATTCGGATAGAGGAAACACTTGGTTCAATGGAAGGGTGCCTATTGTTAACAGCAACCAATACCAGGTAAAAGACTCCAATGAGTTCTATGCATTAAAGAACTGATTTTGATATTAAAAGTTTTTTGTCTTAGCTCTGTGTCAATGAACTGAAGCAATTAATGTTGTTAAGTTGAAAGAATATAACTTACACATATATTTTCCAAATTTTAGAATGATAAACCGGATGCTGATATACACTTTTTCAAATCTTGCTTATTTTTTTTTCAACTTCCTGATGATTAATTTTCTAAGTAATATATTAAGAGTTACTTCAGGAATATATAAAGTAACTTGATTACAATTTTTATGGTATAATGGTCAAAGTGTCCATGTGTGATCTTATCAAGTGATACTTCTTGGGGTTCTTTACTATTGCAATTTTGGATGTTGAATTTTCATCATGAAAGGGTGCATTTTAACTTGATGCATGTTCTATTGTTTTAGATTGTGATAGAAGCTGGTAGAGGCCCAGGAAATGCAGGAGACATTGCCATAGATGACATTTCATTCACATCTGGCAGTTGCTCCATAGCACCATTTGATGCCAGTGTTACTCCTACAGCACAGAACTGCCCTTCATCAGTCAACGCTACTCTACCACCTCTGTTATCATCAACAACCACACCAAGTAAGGGTTTTTTTTTCATGTGAAAGTTATTGAAAAGCTCTTTAAAAATTAAGATTTGCAGGCTTGTTGTCTCTTATAATATTTTTTAGATATAAATTGACTCGTTAGAAAGCTTTTTGGATATGTCAAAGGCAGTAACAGAAAGTGGTGCATTTTTTTTTTCAACATTATGATATTCATTAATAATATATTCTCATGCATATCTACACTCCAGTACCTAGCAGTTATGACTGTAACTTTGAGAGTGGATTCTGCTCCTGGACCCAGGCTCTGGATGACAGCTTCAACTGGACCAGAAACAGTGGTAGCACTGGATCACAGGGCACTGGACCTTCTACTGACCACACCATAGGAACAGGTAAGTTGGATCTATATGTGAAATATTGCACAGGTTAAGGATTTCCTCTCAACATGAGCGATCTTGCTTAGAAAATATCCAGATTTGAATTTAAATGACTTTCTTTTAATTAATTTCTGTACTTGAATAGTTATAGGAAGTTTTTTGTAATTTTTGTACATGATTTAAGTATTAAAACTGTTTTATTTTGAATAAAGGCTTGCCTAGAAAAAATATAGATATTTCATTTCAAAATTTAAAAAAATTGTCTTTCTTTTCATGTATAGGAAGTGGTTCCTACATCTTCATCGAGACCTCCAGCCCCAGGCGTCCTAACGACACAGCCCGCATAGAATCCACGCCACTAGGCCAGAGTAACATCTATTGTCTAAGGTTCTGGTACCACATGTATGGACCCCATGTGGACACACTCAATGTGTACCAGAAGACTGCAGGCACCCTGGGGACCCCGGTGTGGAAGAAGACAGGGACACAGGGCACCCAGTGGAACTATGCTCAGGTTACACTGAACACTAACAGGGTATTCCGGGTATGAGCTTTCAAATTTTATATATTATAGAGATACTTTTCTGGCAAAAATGCCACAAACTAGTTTTCTAATATCAGCTAATGGACTGGTACTTTGTCAAGTGAAAGAAAAGATATACCTGATATAAATTTTTAACACTACTTGTTTCTTCATTTGGCTTAATCTGAATAAGTGGTTACCTGCATTCTTTATATTTTCACAATTCATAAAGTATAACCTTTGAACAAGTGTTGTAAATTAATTACCTTACAAAACAAATATGCTTTTAGACAATGGTTTTCATGATATGATAACATACATCCTGAAATACCAAAATTTATGTAAAATATTAAACAGTATTTGAAAAAGCTATAATTATTTTGTTTTAGATTGTGTTTGAAGGTGTGAGAGGCACCAGTTATGCAGGAGACATTGCTCTTGATGACATCACTGTGTCACCGCAAGGATGCTTTAACAACAAAGGTGAAACAAAATTTAAATTATTGCCAATGTATTGATTTTTTCTCAAATTTACACAGTCTAATGTACATGCATCATTCCTATAACAAAATTTGGAGAGATGTGTTTAGTATAGTCATTCTTGTAATTTGGTGTACTGGCATATTTTGAATTGGAATATGTGAGACTTCATTCCAGTATATTTATATTGAAAAATATAGCAACACAGGTAGTTGAGACAGGAAGTTATCCTTCTTTTGTTCATCTGTGGCCATAATTTAGTTAAATTCCTATTTATCATTTGACATAACACAAGTGGTAAGTTCTGGGTAGTAAAAGCAGGATAAAGCTAACCACTGTTTCTTCATTCCAGCCTCCAAGTGTGACTTTGAGAACAGTAACTACTGTGGCTATGTCCAGGACACCAAAGATGACTTTGACTGGACCTGGTCAAGTGGAGCCACAGGCAGTGTAGGAACTGGACCCAGCAGTGACCACACCTATGGAACCAACAATGGTAATTTAATTAACACCACATAATGATATATTCAAGCTAATTTAAACCCTGGCCTTTGAGTCACTCTGTGTACAGCTGCAATAAATGATTGTTTTAGCCCATCATTGAGAATATATTATATTCCCAGAGACATTCACTTTATATTTCCTGTAATGAGTATTCATATGTAATTGTATCTCCCTGAAGGTCACTACATGTACATAGAGACCAGCAGTCCCCGCGTACCCGGAGAGCAGGCCCGTCTTTCCACCCCAGTCCTTAAGGCCACCACTGGACAGTGCATGGAGTTCTGGTACCACATGTACGGAGGCACTGTGGACACTCTTAACATCTACCTGTCCAGTTCTCTGGTGACTACCAAACTGTGGAGCAAAACTGGAGACCAGGGTAACCAGTGGCTAGCTGGTAAAGTCTCACTGGCCAGTGGTACTGACTTTAAGGTGATATTTGAAGGCATCACTGGACAGTCTTACCAAGGGGATATTGCCATTGATGATATTACTATTTATGATGGAGCTTGCAGTGGTCTGCCAGGTACATATAGAATTTGCATAAGTGTCCATTTGGATAACTGAGACTAATATACATCTTGTAAATCCCAGACATATTTAATAGACTAGGCTAATTTGCCTAATATTGCTTTTGATAACTGGCATATTAAGACATATTTTGTCTATAAATTGATTTCTAAACCTTTCTGCGCATTAGTTATATTTTCATCATCTATAAAAGCGAAATGATCAGTGACTGTAAAGAATGAATGCAAAAACCATATCTGATTTGTCTCCAGATCCTGATTCTGTTATACAAATAGTAATCTTTATCTTGAACTATTAAAAGGTGATTGCAACTTTGAGCGCAATCTCTGTACTTGGAGGAACATCCAGATAGCTGATGACTTTGATTGGACGTCAGGTACAGGTGCAACAGCCAGTCAGTATACAGGACCAACTTTTGACCATACCATGCAAACTGCCACAGGTGAGATAAGATAAAGGCTTAATTGAGGCCTATTTCTTGAAGGCTATTTATTACTAGGAACAATTATTCATTGCTTAATTTTATTGCATTCCTTATGATAGGTGCATTGGTGTTAAGATATTTAATTAATAAATTGTGTTTATATGAGCATGATGGTTTTCAGTAATTGAGAGAGGGCATTTTTAATATTCTGCACAGATGGAAACAATTTATACAAAAATTTACATATCACCCTGAGATTGTAATTTCTTTCGAATTAATTTAAATGCTTATTTCACATGTAGAATTACTTTTTTTGTGTGTGTGCTCCTATTTTCACTTTTGACTGTATGTGTAACTTAATCAACCTTTACGTATTTCACTCTGTCTCAGGCAAGTACCTGTTCATAGAGTCCAGCTCTCCTCGAGTCATAGGAGACAAAGCCTGGCTGGAGAGCCAGTGGTTTGATGCCACCAACAACCTCTGCCTCACCTTCTGGTACCACATGTCTGGGAGCAGCATTGGGTCTCTCAATACTTACATCAAGCTGGGTGCTGCAGGAAAACTGACCCTGCTCTGGTCACTGTCTGGTAATCAGGCTGACCAGTGGAGACAGGGGCAGGTGCCCATCAACAGCGGATCTAATAAATACAAGGTACTCAGAAGTGATGAGTCTGATATTATTTCTGATATTATTTTTCATGTCATTCTTTATTTTAAACATTTTGTGCATTTTTATAGAATAAAAACACAACATTTACTTGGTTCAGTTTTTAAAGGTGGTGACTGTGATATTGTTTTCTTTCAGATCTACTTTGAAGGTGTCCGTGGTGTAAGTTACACAGGAGATGTAGCAATAGATGACATTACCTTCACTGTCAGCAGGAGGTGTACAAGTAGGTGTTCAGCCATCTAGTTTTTATTTGAGATGAAAGTGGAAGTAGACAGACATAAATATAGATTTAGATATGTAAATATTTAGATTTAGGACTAATTGTGCATTTTAGATCATGTAAAAGATGTAAATGTTATGATTTATCTATTTAGTTTAAAAGTATAGATGTGTTCAGCCTAAAAAAGTTAAGAGTGACATTGGTTCTTGCATTTTAGGTCTAGATTTTTTTTTGTTTTGATTTTGATATAGCCAATGAAGCCCCTGTCAATATCAAATACTGCATATTAAAGTCCCATGTTTTTATTCTTATTGAGCAATGTTAAATTTATATCCTTACAGTCCTTCCACCCACAGCCTCCCCTAGCCTGCAGACCACCAGCACCCCTGCCTCCACCACTGTCACCACTCCACAGGGACCCACGCCACGTAAGCTATGTTAAAGATGCACTCTAGTAAAAATGAAGAACCTATTATATATATTATAATGAAAATGAAATGGTATTTGTTTTCCTTTTTTATTAAAGCAGAAACACTTCTTAAAATGGTGGTGATGTATATACTAGGTCACTTTATCTTGTACTGCATGATTTGTTGGGTAATGATGCTTACTTGAGTGAAAACTAGCAATATTTTGAAATTCTTAAATGATGACCATCTACTAAATATGTATATATGCAATAACTTGGTAAAGCTTTTTATAGGTAGACATACTTAGTCTGAGATAAAATTTTGTTGCAGCACCAACATCTTATGACTGTGACTTTGAGACCAGAACATTGTGTACCTGGGTACAGGGAACTAATGACCAGTTTGACTGGTCACTTTCACAAGGTCCAACTGGCAGCAGCCTGACTGGGCCTACTTCTGACCACACTAAGGGTACAGGTAAGTTGACCATTGTGTCATTATTGATAACTTTTTGAGATTGAAATGTGCTGCCTTGTTTATGACTTGCTTTTGAGACATTTTAATTAACATTGTGGTAGACAGTAAATGACAAAGTTTTTAAAATAAGTTTTTGTATATGACAAATTGTCAGAAGTGCATTGAAGAAACCCATGGTAATATTGTTCAGCATGTAAAAGAATGACAATAATAAGAATTTGGAACCTCTTTTTCATTATTCACATGACCTTAGTAAGCAGCTTAGGACATGATCCTACCTTATGAATTATTTGCCTCACTTATTTCAGACCAAGGATGGTATGTGTACATTGAAGCCTCAGCACCGCGCCGTCCTAATGACACTGCAACTCTCCTCAGTAACACCATCAACGACTTCCAGTCCCACTGCGTCAGCTTCTGGTACCACATGTACGGTACCCATGTGAACACACTCAATGTTTACACCCTGAATAATGGTGGCAACATCCTGGGTCTACCTCTCTGGACAAGGACAGGAACCCAGGGGAATCAGTGGAAGTTGGGACAGTTTACTGTCAACCAGGCTGGGGCTTACAAAGTAAGTTTACTTTTTCTGTTTGAATATGGTCATTTAATAAAATAGGTTTTCTTTCTCTTTGATGGTGAAAAAAGTATATATTTCGAATGAAATTGTGTTTTTAACCATTGAGGCAGATTGATTTGATGATTTATCATTTAGTCTCTTTGAAATTTAATTACATTTTTGCCAACATGGTATATATATATTTTTTCTTTTCCTCCTCTCTATTGACAGATGTCATACAACTTTTATATATCCTAATTATGACCTATTAGTCGGTGTGCTCTTCAATGTACATTTTTTTTTGCACCAGGTTGTCTTTCAAGCAATAAGGGGAACCAGCTACAGAGGAGACATTGCTCTAGATGACTTAAGAATATCACAAGGAGCTTGCCAGAATCAGAATGGTAAGTAAGAAATGTTTTGGACATTATGTCTTCATATTGAATATGGCAGATTCATGTATGATTACACACACCTTATCAAACAACAAATTTGTGGTTCATAAGATACAAATATGACACTCAAAATTGTCTGCTATTTCTACAAACTACTATTATTAACTAATTAGAAAATTATTATTTCCCAAGGTGGTACAGGCACATGCACATTTGAGGATGCCTCCATATGCAGCTACACCCAGGATACCACAGATAACTTTGACTGGACACGCAGCCAGGGGAGTACTGGCAGTGTTGGCACTGGACCTTCTACTGACCACACACTGGGCACTGGGAAAGGCTACTACATGTACATAGAGACTTCCTCACCAAGGAGAATCAATGACACTGCCCGCTTAGTGACCACCGCATTCAGTGGTCTGAATACCGCAAAATGTGCCTCATTCTGGTTCCATATGTATGGACGCCATGTTGGTACCTTGAATGTGTACAAGATGCCCACTGGACAACCAAATGCCAGAGGAAGCCCTGTGTGGAGTAGGTCATATAATCATGGCAACCAGTGGCGCCTGGGTCAAGTGACTCTGCGTGGCACTGGCAGCTATAAGCTTGTCTTTGAGGGCATCAAGGGTGATGGTTACCAAGGAGATATTGCCATTGATGACATCTCATTTGCAGATGGAGAATGTAATAAGCCAGGTAGGCTATTTTGGCTAATAAATAGTACTCATCTTTTATCATGGTGATTTGTACTAAGAGGCAAAATAAAATGATTGTGGACTAAACTTCACAAGTGGTATACCTCTGTATGTGAAAGAAATGAGATTTCACATGTTTAAGTGTATTATATTTACTACCATCTTTTTTATTAGGCTGGTGTGACTTTGAAAAAGGTTACTGTACTTGGACCAACCTACAGAGTGATGACTTTGACTGGCTACGTAGCAGAGGATCAACATCCAGTACTTTCACTGGTCCTTCCAGTGATCACACCTCTGGTGGAGCCACAGGTACATTTAGTATTTAAAAAATCTTGTTGTTTAAAAGGATCTTATCAAACCAATTTCCAGCAACTTTATCACACATGTATGAGTGTGCCATGGGCGCATGTATACACACATACATGATTTATAATCAATTTTTAAGAACCAGGATTGTTCACTTACTAGAAACACTTCTGCATTATTCATAGTTGTTTCTTTTTTAGCAGGATGACTACTTTACTTTTGACGCTGATAATTTATGAAATCAAGCTTAATTTCAAACATGCAAAATGAATTAGATGAAAAAAGTAAAATCATGCTGATTAAAAAACTTACTTAAACATTAAAACCTTATTTTTCTTCATCAGGTTACTATGCCTACATTGAGTCCAGTTCACCACGAGTGATAGGAGACACTGCCCGCCTTGGCAGCACAATCTTCCCAGCAGCCAGGCAAGACAAGTGCATGACCTTCTGGTACCACATGCTGGGAGCTGATATTGGTACCCTGAATGTATACGTCAAGGTGAACCAGACCAGGAACTCCATCAATACTGAATCTCTGTTGTGGCAGCTGGTTGGTGAGACAGGAGATCAGTGGCAGCCTGCACAGGTGCCTATACCACAGGCATATGGAGGTCGACCTCATCAGGTAGGTCATGGATGATGATAAGGTGAAGGCTGGGGCAGGGTCAAGGCTAGGACAAGTTTAAGGGTAGGACAAAGCCGTGTTCCTTGGGAAATGACTTAAATGGGCCTGATGTCAAAATCTCATTTTAGTGCCTGTTGAAATTTGAGAAAAGACATGCAGATATTTTTATGATTAGCTACATAACTAAAAGTTAGGTAATAAGCTCAGCATTTTTCTTACTTTCTTTTTGCGTTTGAAAGCATAAAATACATTTTCAATTCTTCTTTTTACCAGCTCGTCATTGAAGGTGTCCGTGGCACCAGTTACAGGGGAGACATTGCCATAGATGATATCCAGGTTATTGATGGAAGCTGTGCATTTTTACCTCCCTATGCTGATCCTGTACAACAAGGTGAGGGAGACAACAAACTTAACCTGTAATTTAGAAATATGATGGACATTTTCTATGTGAGCATTTAATATTTTGTTTGAATACTAAAAATGAATGTGTGAAGGAATAAAGCATTCATATTGAGTTACTGGTAAAGAACCTTATTGTGAATCTCATATCATATGACATAAAATGTGTGTTAACAATTGCACATACATATTTGCAATTACTGTGTCTTTGGCTCACCTATTAATTATTTGTTTCTGAAGGACCATCTAAAGTGGCATGCAACTTTGATGTGGACAACTGCTTCTGGCTTCAGGAGACCTCTGGAGATGATTTTGACTGGACACGCACTAACACCACCTCTCCATCCATCAACACTGGACCTCCAGCTGACCACACAGGAAGTGGTCAGTTTATCATCTTAATGAAAATAACACAGATATTAGAATATTAGAAATAAAAACCATTGCTATTTTGCATCTTTCCAATTATTATAATTTATCTCCTCATGTTTCATACTTTTTGGTTTTTAGTAAACTTAAAGTACCCACTTAAATGCAACATCCCAATTTTTGCAATTCCCTAGGCTACTACCTGTTTGTTGAGGCCTCCAGACCAAGACAGCCCAATGACAGAGCTGTACTGAAGACCCCTGTCCTCCCACGAACTGACCCAAGGGGGAACTGCCTGGTCATGTGGTATCACATGTTTGGAGTCCACATAGGCACCCTGAACGTGTATGTGCAACAAAATGGCCGCCGCACCCTGAGATGGACAAGGATTGGTACTCAAGGGAATGAGTGGAAGAAAGCGCAAGTGAACATCAACAGCTCCTATGATTATCAGGTAAAAAACAGTCATGATTATGTATTATGATCATACTCATTTTGTTGATCTTTGTAATAGCACTATTATTGGAGCTGGTGATTCATATTTCATTTTCAAAATCAAAAAGCAAGATAGCCTATCTATTTCTACTCAGCATGTCATCAATAAGCTTTGATTGAAAGGAGTTTTTAATCATGATGTGGCATAAAATTCTGCAAAACTAACAAATGCTCTCCTTACAGATCTTCGTTGAAGCTGTCCTGACCAATGGATTTGCAGGAGACATTGCTATAGATGATATGGACATGTTGATTGGTCCATGTCCACCCAGCAGTAAGTTCTGATGATTGAACAGCAATGCATGTTTGTTTTCAGGATAATAACAGTTGGTTACATGAGGTTAGAGGTTTAAAATGGGTAGAATTTTCTGCTTGTGCTTAGAGAAATTCTCACTGTACAAAAATATATGATATTGCATATTTCCAGAAAAGACATCCATTCTTGATAAATGTTATTACAAGCCTGGAAGGAAAAGATGAATTGAAGAAATAATATGAATTTTTTTCTGGTATAGGATACTGTGACTTTGAGGTAGACCTGTGTGGGTTCTCCCAGGACAGCCAGGACAACTTTGACTGGACCAGGAGTAACAATGCTACAGCCAGTATAGGCACTGGACCCAGCACTGACCACACCACAGGGACTGGACAAGGTGAGTATAACAGTCAGAGACTAGCAAAATTCAATCTGAAGCTCTCATATGCTGGAAATTGAAAGAGGGTGCCATCACAAACCAATAATTCAACTGAAACAATTCAGTTTCAACAATTTGATGTTAAAATGCAATGAATTGAAAATGAAATTCACTTTATGTTTTGTGATTTCAAATTCATGATTTATACAAATGCCAATGTTATCACTGATTACTATTTATGTCATCTCCAAATCTCAGGTTATTATGCATATATCGAGGCCTCGGCACCTAGACAAGCAGGAGACACTGCCAGTCTTATCCTGCCACAGCTCCCAGCAGCTCCAATTGGGGAGTGTATGTCCTTCTGGTATCACATGTATGGAGCAGACATTGGAGCACTGACTGTCTACCTTCAACCTGCTACTGGCAGCAAGTCACAGTTATGGAGTAAGAATGGTGATCAAGGAAACCAGTGGCGTCTTGCACAGGTCAATGTTAGGAGCATTCGGGCTTTTGAGGTAAGAATTTGAGCATTTCATTTTGTGGATTTGGGCTAGATATGTGTAGGTGTGCTTTTAAATTGTGAAGTTATTCTAGGCTACTCTATATATCTCGGGTAAAAGGAATGGATGATGATTATGACTTTACATATTTAAAATATTTCATTACAGATTTGAAAAAGTATAATAACAAAAAACATGTTATACATTGATTTTATCTCAGCTGAAGCAAAAGTTCTTAATATTGCACTTACCACTGTACATGAAATTCCTATTTTCTAGCTTGTCATCGAAGGCAGGAGTGGCAGTGGTTACCGCGGTGACATCGCCATTGACGACATCAACATAACTCCAGGGACTTGCCCACAACAAGGATCCTGTGACTTTGAGAGAGACACCTGTGGCTATCTGAACACACAGACAGGTGATCAGTTTGACTGGATACGCAGCAACGGAAGAACACCTTCCAGGTTTACTGGACCAAGTGTTGACCACACTACTGGGGCCTCTTCAGGTTGGATTTTTTTATTTTTTAAATTTAAAATAAGCATGTAAGCATGTATGACAAATGTGGAAATGCCTTGCCTTATGAAAGATATTCAGACAAGAACTACCTTTAAAGTGATTTTTAAAGAGCTTTTAGCTTTTTGTCATTTTTACTCTAAATTTTTATTTTATATTTTTAATAAATATTTTATTAATGATTTTATTTTCAAATCTTAAACTTTGATGATTTCATATATCAGTTCAAGAGCTCTGACAGATACCAATATCTGATGTGTATACATATATTAGCTGAATAAATGAGTAATAATAATAATAATAAATATGATAGTGTATTCTCATTTGTTTCAGGTTACTACATGTACATTGAGACCAGTGGTACTGCCAGCAGCCCAGGAGACAAGGCACTGTTGGTCAGTGAACAGCTGCAGGCCACCACCTCCTCATGTCTTACATTCTGGTATCACATGTATGGAGCAGGTTAGTATGGTTTCTCATAGATAAAATTAGTGGTCAGTGGTCAGTGCCAGCATGTCTTTTAATGTTGAATTACACGTATTCTGTCCTTACAGGCCAATTTATAGCACAGTGAACTTGGAAGTTTAATTTACACAATAAGTGCCAACACGACATACATTGTACAGTATCGTAGTGTTTCATTTTGAATATAACACACACAAGAGGTCATGATATTTGTTAAAAAATATTATCGATACTGTTTATATCCCCTTTACAACAAATTAACCTGATTAGCACCATCAGTGGTACCTTGCAGTTGAAATGTTTGCTGTATAAGCTGTCTTAAACATGTAAATCTGGGACACGATCACTCGTGTTTCTCTTCCATAATGTGTCTAGGTGTAGGCAAACTAGAAGTAGTCCAGAGAATTGGCAGTCAGTCCAGCACCGTCTTCACCCAGTCTGGAAACAAGGGCAATGTGTGGCAGGTGGCCCAGGTGCCTCTCACTAGTGGCAGCACCTTTGATCTCACATTTGCTGCCTATAAAGGAAGCAACTACACCAGTGATATAGCCATAGATGACATCAGTGTGGCCTCAGGAGCTTGTTCTCTGACCACGCCCACCACACAGCAGCCGTCCACAGTTACTGCAGGTAGAAACATTTAGTATGGTGATGATACTTCTGTATGTGTGGTCTTAAAGGAGAAGAGTGGGTGGGTGGATTGGGGGTGGGTGGGGGGTATGGGAGTATGATATGTGTATTGTAAACCTGGATACAACGTGATAATTTGAAATTTTACAACTGATAATATAAACAATTGATTATTTTCTTGCTAACAATTTTTGTGAACATAATTGTTATTTTTTTATTAATAAATTAATAATAATAAATATCAGGGTCATTAAGAAGTGACCAGAAAAAAAAGATATGTTAAGTTGAATATTTATTAATATATACAATCTAGAGGCATAATATTTTAACTCTTATTTTATTATCAGTACCATCCCTTGGCTGTGACTTTGAGACTGGAACCTGTGGCTGGACACAAGAGACCCAGAAGGACCAGTTTGACTGGTCAAGGACCAGAGGGTCCACTGGTAGTACAGGCACTGGACCACCTTTTGACCACACCCTTGGGAGCACTGGGGGTATGGAGATCATTTCTTTATACATAGTTTTATAATATATGTATATTATATGTTCATTTTAAAGTTTCAAGATATATTTATTCATTTGCATATATTCATGTGCATGTATGTGTTATTTCTCACATATAGTGCAAGTCCGCTATAGTTTGTAGATCAGATCTCATAAAACAAAAAAAATGATTTTATTTTTTTTTTAGATCATGAGATGACTATAGTTTTTTGTTTACAGATCCAGCAAATTTACTTTTGAATGTGTGCCATAAAACATCAATTAATTTCTAAAGATATGTATGATCAAGGAAGCGTTATGTTTTCTTCTGAATTATAAACTCTAAACCTCATTCTCAACAAACCCCAGGTTACTACATGTACATCGAAGCCTCGGGCAAGCAAGCCAATGCCACTGCCCGCCTCCTCAGTCCTGGCCTTCCTCGCTCCAATCAGTACTGTCTGAACTTCTGGTACCACATGTACGGAGCACATGTTAACACGCTGAACGTTTACTACAATGGGCGGTATAGGAGAATGATCAAGTTGTGGACTAAACAGGGGACGCAAGGTAACCAGTGGAAAGAGGCACTGGTCACTCTAAGGTCATCCAGTACAAATGGACAGGTCAGTGGTTGTATCATAATTAGTGTATTTTTATTTTGGTTACTTTGAAAGCAGTGTGTTCATCTATACATTGAAAAATGAGATTATCTTGAAAATTTTAAAAGAAAACAGTGAATTTTAAAAGCCTGTTCCATTTTGTGTCTTTTTCAGTTTATATTTGAAGCTCTCCGTGGACCAGGTTACCAAGGTGATATTGCTATAGATGATGTCAGGATCCTTCCTGGAGCCTGCCCACATCCCAGTAAGTGATGTCTTCATTATGGCAGTATGATACACTGGAAATATGCAACATGATTGGATGTTCATTTTATATATTTGTCTTGTCAAAATGAGTTGTTCATGAAAAAGTAAACTTGGTTGAATTAGTTGCTTCGATCTGAATTTATCATTTAGATGAAGTAATGTTAAATTGTTAATTTATCAATTATATAAGGTGGATTCATGATTTTTGTAGCAATTGGACCATTAAACAATTCTGCCTTTCACAATTGCAGAGATTTGTGACTTTGAAGACGACAACATCTGCAACTACCAGCAAGGTGTGACAGATGACTTTGACTGGTCATGGGGCAGTGGCAATACCACCTCTGTGGGCACTGGACCCCGAGCTGACCACTCCTATGGGACAGCTGTGGGTCACTACATGTACATTGAGGCCTCAAGACCTAGAAAGCAAAACGATGCGGCTGTAATCATTGGGCCCAGTCACCCAGCCACCACAGGCTCATGTCTCACCTTCTGGTATCATATGTTTGGGCCAGATGTGGGCAGTTTGAATGTGTACATAGCTGGTGTGAGGGGTACCAAAGGGCCAAACCTTTGGGCCCTGTCCTCTGACCAAGGTGACCAATGGAAGATGGCCAGAGTGAATATTAAATCTGCTACCAAGTATGGGGTAAGTGCTTTTGTTATTTCTTTTTTTGTGTACTTTTTAATAATAACTTGTATAAATAGACCCTCAGTGTAATGTAAAGACTAGTAGTTTATGTTTGTAAGAAATAGTAGCAAAGTGCTTTGTCTTGCCTGTATAAATGTGTCAGTAATGGTTTCTTAGCATTTAGATTTACTTCGTTTCACACAGGCCTTATGTACCATAACTGTTACAGTTCTATATAAAAACAAAAACATTATTACAAAACAATTTAGGTTGAACTATTTGTTCTGATTCCCTTGGGAAGAAAACTCAAAGTTAACCAAGAATGGAAAAGCATCTGAGATTGTTAATCTGAAATTGGCACCTTCTGTTTCAGGTTATGTTTGAAGGCATAGTAGGGTATGGCTACAGAGGAGACATTGCTATAGATGATGTGGCAGTCACTGATGGACCATGTGCAAAACCAGGTCAGAAAAAATACAATACAAAACAATGGCCAGTTTTATTTAGTAAAGCCAATTTACATATTCTAGTGATGAAAGATGCTCATAATAAATTTATATTCTATGAATTACACAATATATTTATTTTGTGTTGATTGGATATTTCAGCCACTTGTGACTTTGAACTTGACAAGTGTGGCTGGACACAACAGTATAATGATGATTTTGACTGGGAAAGAAGACGTGGAGTCACTCCTAGTGTGGGCACTGGACCAGTTACTGATAATACACTCAAGACAGCCCAGGGTAGGATTTGATTGATGTTTTATTATAAATAAAAATTCTGACAGTGTCTGTATATATGTATTCTGATCAACATGTATCTGTATGTGTCATGACCAGTGCTGTTGCTATGAAAGTGCGGGAAACATTGGTCATTCACCCTGTTATTGCCAAACTGTAGTTTTGTTTTAATTGACATTTACTGAAAGTTTTGTTTTTGATAAATGCATACCAAAATCAGCAGAATTAGATCAATTCCAACAAAAACAATGCACTATGCTAGATGCTTAATTTTTCAAAAAAAAAAGAGAGACAGAGAAAAAAACAATAATATTGATTATATATATATATATATATATATATATATATATTTTTTTTTTTTCTTTTTTTTTTTTAGGTCATTACATGTTCATAGAGACCTCTAGCCCAAGAACAGCTAACCAAACAGCTGTCCTGGTCTCCGAGTCCCTGTCCCCTAACCCTCTGTCCAACCAGATGTGCTTTACCTTTGCCTACCACATGTATGGCTCTCAGATAGGGGCACTGAATGTCTACCTCAACTACCGCGGGTATCCTACCAACATACTGCTGTGGAATAAGTCTGGAGACAAAGGAAACACTTGGCAGCAGGCTCAGGTCACCATTGATAACCCATACGATAATTATCAGGTAAAATGGTCTCTTAATTTTCTTGATATATTTTGTACTATTTTCTTTGTATGCTGTATTGTCTTTATTGAATGTGGAGGTTCTGTAGTTGCAATGTCTACTAGAATAAAAAGCAACACATTGTAGGTTATGTTACCAATTGGTAAATTAAAGTTTGTTTTGGTTGGTCTAGCTTTGCAACTCTTTAAACTCCTTCACACAAAATGGAGACTGATTCAGTCATTCAAAGAATTTCTAACATTTCTTTATAGCACAGTTTGTAAACAAGATTAGCTTTAAAACAAATCGTGGTCTAAAACGTATATATTGCAATAAAGAATTTTAAAAAGGAATTTCAAGATTTTCAAGTAGATTGATGCCTGTTTCTGTTAATAGTTTATAAACCTTGTTTAAAATGGGTTAAATAATTTTGGTCACATTTTATTCACTACTGTCCACTTCTTTTATTATAATTTCTATCAGTTTGCTTGCATGTTTAATTAACCAAACATGGATTGTGAATCGAAGTTTGAGTCATTTGTCTAAAGTGAATGTATGGTATCAAAATTCCCCGGTGAATATATTTTCAGCTATTGATAGAGGGCGTTGTTGGTAATGGTTACCGTGGTGATATTGCCATAGATGACACTGCCCTGGTGGATGGAGCCTGTAGTGGAGGTAAGATAAGATTTTGTTGAATACATGCAAACATTTGCCTTTAGGATGCAATTTAAAATCATGGTGGCTAAAGATTTCTTTTCTAAATATGTGGTCAAATAGTTGTTGTTGCATTTTGATTCAAATTTTTTATATGTTGTACCAATTTATTGTTTAAAGTATTAATATAATATACTTCAGACTATGTAATGATCATATTAATTTTTTAATTCTAGGAGGCTTACCTCTATCTTATTTCTGTGGTGACCCTCAGAAGACTGTGATCTCTATCAACAAGACGTGTGACTTTATCAAAGACTGTTCTAATGGAGCAGATGAGTCTTTATGTGGTACGTACCTCACACACACACGCATGCACGCACGCACGCACACTCACACACACACCACCAAATTTAAACAAATGCTCTGTAGATAAGCAAGCAGGCATACAGGAAAATATTTAATTTGATTTATTTCTTTTCATAGTGTGGCATCATCATCATCATCATCATCATCATTTAGAGCCTATAGTGTTCCACTGTTGGACAAAGGCCTCAGCATACTTTTTCCATTGTTTCCTATCCAGAGCTTCANATATCTGGTCTAGTGTGGTGAGCTCATTTTCATCTTTGTCTAGAAGAGTCAGCATTCTATCCTGCCCTAGTTGAAAGGATCTCTTTGCTTTTTTCATGCTCTTTCCATTTTCGATGGTCTCTGCTATCTTCTTCATGTTCTGCTTCCTGATGTCTTCCCTTGCCTTCTTCTTGATGGTCTTATCCATATAGTATGGCTTATATAGTGTGGCATGAGTGAGTTATATCATGGAAAGTTTTCATTCTTCAGGTTTTTCATTTATTTAAAAAATATTCACTGCAGCTAGACTAGATATTTTTTTCCATCTGTTTTGTATATGATGTGTACAGGTAGCTTTTATCTCTCCTAGGTGCTTGTGACTTTGAGGCAAACCAGTGTGGCTGGACACAGAACACTGTCAGTCAGTCAGGGACGGCCTTTGTGTGGCTGCGTGGTGGGAATGCAACAGCCACTTCCAATACTGGACCTTCCTATGACCATACCCTGCAGAATGCCTTTGGTAGGTGACTGTTTTGCATTAGTGGTTAGCGTTATTTTTCCAGCGTATCTAAATGTCAGATACTGTTAGATATTTCTGCCAGTTTCTGTGTTAGATACTGTAAAGTACAATAAATGTGCTATTAATGGGTTAGGTAAACATTTTTACATTTAATTTATTATTTTAAGGTGCACAGTGCACAGTTGGCTTTAAATTTTTCTTAATATCTTTAAATGATTCTATGACTTCTGTAAAGTTTTTTTTTTTTTTTGTAAGGGAAAATAAGGATGAAAACAATCCTTACAATATTGTGTGGTACATGTTTTCAATCTTGCCCTTCAGGTCATTACATGTACATTGATGCCAGCCTGGGTCGATCATTTGCCATAGCAGAACTGGTGGGACCTGTGCTTCAGCCTAGCTATGAGACATGTCAGCTACAGCTGTGGTACCATATGAGTGGAATAGGTAAGAAGAGACTTGTTGAACTATGCTGGAACTTCTCTTTTTTTCTTTCTTATTTGATTACAGGAGGTAATTATTATATCTCTATAAGAAGTGGTTTAGTATTATAGACAAGATATATGGGTGAATTTTATAAAATTTTAAGGCAATATTTTAAGGGGGTGTTTGAAATCAGATGGCACTAATGTTCACTAAATTTAAAATATTTGGTGCCACATTTCTCTGTACAATGTTCTATTAAATGAACATCTTTGCTAGACCAGTGTTGAAGTCTGCTTTGAGCAAGTCAGCACTTTGTAAACTTTGATATGCTTTTAGATTAAATATTTTTTTCAGTGTGTTTGCTCATAATTTCTTTTACACTATTTCTAGGCATAGGTCTGCTGCAGGTGGTGGTCAGGGCAGGCCAGAGGGATACAGTGATCTTTGGTATCAGTGGAGACCAAGGTAACAAGTGGCAGCAGGCGACTGTCAACATTGGCAGAGTTAGCTCGTCTTTCCAGGTAAGCACACTCCCTGTATTTCTTATTACTGCATTGGAAAAATGTTTTATTAAATTAGCTCTACACACTAAAAATCCTACATCTTCTCATGAAATATTTGAAGTTGAAATTTTTATTATAATTTTGTGATTGCTCTTTTTGGTCTAAAACTCATTTTAGCAGATTAGTTATTTTGTGGTTGATCTTTCAGTTTCAAATTTAGTTCAGCTGATGATGTTTTATTTTTTTATTAGATTGTGATTAAAGCCAGGAGATCCTTCAATGTGCTTGGAGACATTGCTATAGATGACATCACCTTGAACAACTGTATCTTCCCAGGTGAGTGTATGCGGTTAGAAATGTCGAAGACTTTTATCTTTATCATGGTTTATTAGTACCACAGAATTCCACGACATGCCAGCAGATACAAGTCACTGTTACCGCATCTCCTCATAGACTACAAGAACCTATGTTCTCATCTCTAAGAATTACATAACATATTATCTCAACTTGAACCCTCTTGTTATAGTATAAAATCACACATCATATGAAAGTTCCATTAACATTTTGTTTGAAATTCATCACAAAGCATTTTAATGTTGTAATGCATATCAGATACCACTGAATGACATATCACTGGTTTAGTAATATTAAATTAATAGCTTAGACACATTTTAACAAGTTCAGGGAAAAATTCATTTTGTTCAACCATTGAAATTTTAACAAAGAAAAAGGACTGTCTGAATTTTTACTTTGTGATTCTGTTTCTAAATCAGAACCAAAAACAACCTGTGGTGCCAATGAATTCCGCTGTGCCCGCGGTGCTTGTGTTGGTCTGGATCGCCAGTGTGACTTCTCTGATGACTGCGGTGATGGCTCAGATGAATACTCCACATCAAGCACTTACTGTGGTATTTATCAACTTATTTTGTTATATAAATATTTTATACTGCTCCCCAATTATGAATGGGTACCTTGTAGGATATTTTTCAGTTATAATTCAGTTAAAGTCTATCAAAAGTAACCTACCTGAAGTGTTATTCTTGGTTATTTTATGTCCTATTGTATTGTAATCTGTTTCATTCATATAGAAATATGCTATGCACCAATCCTATATTCACCACACTAAGATATATTTCATAACTTGACAATACAAAAATCAGCTGAAATATAGTACGTTTTTGTTTAAAATATATTCTTTAATGCCCTACTACCTTCAGACCAAACATTCCCGGGCCGTTGTGACTTTGAGACCAGTCTGTGCTCCTGGCAACAAGATAGGACAGATGACTTTGAGTGGACACGACAAAATGGCAGAACATCCAGCTCCAACACTGGACCTTCCAGGGACCACACCACTGGACTCAATACTGGTCAGTCATGCTAGTTAGAGGACATCTTAATATGGTTTATTTATTTAAAAACATAATATTCAGAACTTGAACTTCAACACCCATAGTTTGGTAAAATAATAATATATTGCTTCATAGTATTATCTCTGGGATCTGATAGCTTCAATCTGTAACACTACGACAGTGGCAATCAATAAAAAAAAAATGATTCTGACCAAAAGACAATGCTATAAAGAAGATACTTAAAGGTGAAGCTGTGAACCTTCGTTTCCAGGGAACTACCTGTTCATTGAGACTTCCAGACCCAGAGTGGCGGGTGAGAAGGCCAGGCTGGTGAGCCCAGTGTTTGCCCCAACCCAGACCAGGAAGAGGGCCACAAAGATCTGCATGGTGTGTGAACTGGAGATATTAGAAAACCATTTGTTTTTTCAACTTCTTAATTTTCATTGAAGCTATTTTAACATTATACACCAATTTATTTACAATTATTGTACATCACCAGTTGTCTGAAATATTCAAAAATTATAATTTAATTTAGTTTTTTTTTTTTTAGTATGTAAAATCTTTAGTTATGAAATTCCTTTTTTAATGTAGAAGATTTGCACATAGAGTTATATTGATTTTTAAATAAAATTTACATTCAATGCATTGAATGAAGAAAAAATAACTTATCTCATATCTTTTCCACATTACAGGTGCGGTTCTACTACCATATGTTTGGTAAAAATATTGGTGACCTGAATGTGTACACTAAACTTTCCACCAGTGGAGCACTCAGGAAGATTTGGGCCAAGTCGGGTAACATTGGAGACTTCTTTGAGAGGGCAGAAGTTCAGGTGTATGAATCTCAGAACTTCCAGGTAAGATTCTGATGGTATATTTTGACAGAAATTAAAATTTTGCTGTAGCATAGGTTGCTATTTCATAAGGTAACCATGACTTTCTAGTCATTTATAGCAAAAGAAGTTTTGTTTTTGCAAATTAACTAAAGGTAATTATCATGTAATTGAAGACGAAAGGAAAATTATATTGTTGAAATCTAACATATTACTAATCTACCAAAGGCAAAAGATATTAAGATAGATCATAGTAACAATTTTGAAAATTTGCTGTTCTTTATTATCAACGCTGCTGCATTTTCTGCTGTAAAATGTTGATATTTGTTGTTTCAGGTTGTGATAGAAGCTGTAGTTGGTAACGGTTACCAGGGCGATATTGCAATTGATGACATCTCCATGACCAGTGACTGCACTGCCATAGGTATGTCTGCTCTCAGCAGGGACTAAGTTGGCCTCATACTACTTTTTCTCAAAATCTTCACAACATTAAACCAGCATGATGAAGACTAACTAGCAAGACAGTGTTCTGATATTTTGCTATTTTGTATTTTTAATCGAAGTCTGTGAAGTAAGATCATATAAAATGCACAAATTACTGTAGCACATAAATTTTTTTTACAGTGAAGATTTTTAATATGTTACTGACTTATATCATTATTGCACTATTTGAAAGAGTGAGCATCAACATTGCAATGTTTTCTTCTAGGCGGTTCTGTCACCTTGCCCTCAGGTTCTCCACCCACTGTGACACCTCCCTCTGTCTGCAGATCTGACCAGTTTGCCTGTCTAGGAGGAAACCCCACTTGCATCCCAAAGACACAAGTCTGTGACTTTGCCACACAGTGTTTTTATTCCTCTGATGAAAGAGTCTGTGGTAAGGATACCAGTTACAGCTTTATTATTGGATATCATTGTGATTAATATTCACATATATATAAATGTAATATTAATATTACATTTATATATATATGAATATTAATCACAATATTCATATTCATATATATATATAAATGTAATAATTCATCTTAATCCCAGATAAAGTCCTCGTTACATATTTGACTATGAATCACTGTTCTGAATTGATCAATCACTGGTCTACTTGCTCATCCGACCGGCCACTTAATCATATATTTATCCTTCAATAAATTCTTGATCATACACCAGGAAAGAAAATTATAGACTTCCCGTGGTCATTGTAGGTACTTGTGACTTTGAAGTTGGTCAGTGTGGCTGGAAGACCATTAACTCTGGTCAGTTTGCCTTCAAGAGATACCAGGGAAGTTCTCAGACCCAGACTGGACCAACATCAGATGCTGATGGAAGAGCTCAAGGTATTATAGATTTGACTTTGTTACATGTATGCATTTAAGTTTTAGAATTTGCATTGTAGTCATAATGCATCAACAAAATTGAATATTATGTTTTTCATAGTTTTAGTTATTTTTTATTAATTCAAAAAAGTGGTGTAGAATATATCACAGATAATTGACAATATTTTCTAGTGTACAGTCTGACATATATACGGACATAAGTCAATGTTACAGTTATGTATATCGTGTATTATCATCTATATCCAGGCTACTACATGTTAGTGGAGGCCTCTACAGGTTTATTCCTGACGTCAGCCAGCATTGAGACCCCAACACTTGGAGCCACGGCACCCAACTGCAGGATTAACTTCTATTATCATATGAATGGACAGAATGCAGGTACAGGAGGGAATAGGGTGCTGACGGGAGGGGTCATTAGTTGCAGGGTGGTAATTTATGAATCTGTAGGTTTTAAGGAATAGAATGAGGGTAAGAGGAAATGAAATCAGGCAGCAAACACTCTCTGGATTTTGGCCCTCTTATTTTTGTGCTCATAATTTAGAAATTTCTTTAAAACTGAATTGTGAATGAGTAATTTGGCAGTAACAATATGGAAAGCGACCAGAGACATTTCATACATATGGTTTGTTATTTGAAGAATTGTGCATGGGGTAATGGTCTGTATTTTGTAACTGGTAACAAACGTTGATATTTTCTGTTCCCAGGCACTTTCCGAGTGTCGGTTGTGAATGGCAATGACACCAGACAGTTCACCTCCATCTTCAACCGCATAGGTAGTCAGGGCAACCAGTGGAACAAGGCCAGTGCAGACATTGGGCCTCTGCCTGCAGGGTACAAGGTTAGTGTGCTTGGATGCCCCTGCACAGGGCTGAGATTTTTTCGACTATTTGGGGATTTCTGGCGTTTTTGGTGGTGTTGGTGCTTAAAACAGTAATGAGATTTTTCTGACTATTTGATGAAAGTTTTTCTGACATCAGAACTGTGTCTAACAACCTTATTATTGTGCTTAGTTATTTACCCCAACAAAATTTGATTTCATTATTGTCTATTTTGCAACAATTAAGACTCTTAAGAATCACTTGTTTACTCACATAAGAAACAATATTATTTGCATAGAGCAATTCATCATTGACTTTTCTTTATCATCTTGAATTACAAGAAAATATGTGAACTTTTAGGTGCGTATTGATGCCTTGCCAAACAGATCGTTCTTCCCAAGGACCTCCTCAGACATTGCAGTGGACAACGTGGACTTCCAAGACTGTGACCCTACACAGGTCTTCACGGATAAAAGTAAGTTTGATAGAATATTGGTATAGAATTTTTTTTTAATTAACCTACAAAATCATGAAAATGTGGGACTATATAAATTGAAAAAGAAGCCATTCATAAGGCCATTGCTTGATAGATGGTGTCATTTTTTTGCATACAGTTCTATGGTATATAGTATATTCATAGCAAATCCTTATGTAGTTATTTCTAAAAAACCTTCTAAATGATTCATTTTACTTTGTGCCACATTACTTTAGGTTTGAACTGTACATTTGAGTCTGGCTTGTGTGACTACTTCCAAGAGACAACAGATGACTTTGACTGGACCAGAAGTAACCAGTCCACACCAACAGTGGGCAGTGGACCTTCAAGGGACCATACTTCTGGAAAAGGTGAGCCTAATATTAACAGTAATGAGATTTTTTCACCAACTTTTTGCAAGCCAAAAATATCACTTTTGAGATTGATGCAGGCAGCCCCCCATGCTATACTTTTCACTAAATGGCTGTATTTAGCTATCTGAAGTACATAGGCATGTGAATCTGACTTACAGCAGAAGATGCGACAAATTTGACAAATATTATAATATTTTCAGGAATAAGAAAATTTTAGTGTTTTACTTTTTCCCCACAAAGAATTGCCTCCTTTAATTTACAAGATTAAGAATATTAGGGCTTATCAATTCGTAAACAAGAATTTGAAATTATTTTTCAGAGGGGTTAAGTTTGACACTTATTTATTTATTTTTCGCACTGTTCTCAGGTTACTACCTATTCCTGGAGACTTCCTCCCCAAGACGTCGTGGAGAAAGAGCCCTGCTGACCTCCGGCACCATCAGCTCAGTAGCTGCACCAGGAAAATGCTTCAGCTTTTGGTACCACATGTTTGGTTCCCACGTCAACACCCTGAATGTATACATCCAGTCTGGAGGCAGCAGACGACTGATCTGGACCAAGATGGGAACACAGGGTAATGTGTGGAGGCAGGCTCAGAGGACTGTGTCTAACCCAACTAACTTCCAGGTGAGAACTGGCATTGGTTTTTTCACTTTTTTTGAGAAGGGATGGAGTTGTGCTTGTATGTTAATTGTTCTATTGGGGTAGTTTTCATCTATTGAAAGAAATATCTTTCTCATGTGAATATTATATATATATATATATATATTGCCTTGTTGGTCTGATCCTTTCTATTTGTCTTGGATATATAATTTTATTTTCTCTCTTTATTTTTTTTTTCAGATTGTGTTTGAAGGTTTGGTTGGAGACAGTTGGCAGGGAGACATTGGCCTGGATGACTTCATGTTGACAAATGGACCATGTCCAACAGCAAGTATGTAGTCAATGTTTTACTTTTATATATTCATTTATATTTTTTGGAAATTGAAAAATCCCAACACCAAGCGTTGACATTTCTGTACCATTGTCTTCTAGTCTATTTTCAATGTTATTCTAAATGGATGTTTGATATAAGCATGTGGTATAACTGCTGTTGAAGATAAGCAGTTGGCCACATAACAGAATACTTTCAGTTGTTTGGAAAAGAGGGCATCAATTTTCATTCTCATTGTATCTGTAGGGGAATGTGACTTTGAGGCAGATTTCTGTGACTTCACCCAAGACAACACAGACAACTTTGACTGGACACGCCAGAGAAATGGCACTTCATCTAGCAGCACTGGACCACAAGTTGACCACTCTACCAGGAGCCAGTATGGTTAGCATACACCTTGGGCCACAGCCTAATAACTTTATTACTTGCCTATTTGTTTTTGCAACAGAGGAGCTGCTCTAATCACAGACCGCTTTTGGTTGATCTCTGTGAAGTATTTCACTATTTTTACCTTTATCTATTTAAAACCTGAAAGTTTGATTAAGTAAAAAGTGATTTAATGAATTCCCCAAACTTTAGCCGGCAGTTTAAATTGTTTTCGCATTTCCAGGTTATTACGTCTTCATTGAGACCTCGGCTCCTCGCCAACCTGGACAAAAAGCTCGCCTGATCAGTAAATCCTACCCAGCAGGCCAGACAGAATGTCTCCAGTTTGCCTATCACATGTATGGCAATGCCATAGGTACACTGAATGTGTATGTGGACACCACAAATAATCCTGCTGGTTTAAGGAACCCAGTGTTTACTTTGACTGGTAACCAAGGCAACGTTTGGATATACCAACAGATCACAGTGCAAGCTCAGTCTGCCCCATGGAAGGTGAGTCTGGGTTATTATTATTATCACAGAGACTGTGCTGCATGTATTATTTCATTTACGTTGATGACAAATGAAGTTCTGTTATTAGCTGAAACATTGCCATTGATTACCTATGTTTTTCATTTTGTGATTTGAAAAATGTGTGGGTAAAAATCAATATGCAATGCCATCAATTTAGGTTTCTAATTGGCATATTTTTATAATAAAACCAATATCCTTCAAAGACAAAAGGAAGTTAAATTTTGTTAAAAATGAGGTGGATTTTTGTTCCAGGCCATTTTTGAAGGTATCCGTGGCAACAGTTACCAAGGTGACATTGCCCTGGATGACATCAAGGTTGTACCAGGTGCCTGCCCACCACCAGGATCTTGTGACTTTGAAAAAGACTACTGCGGCTTTACCAATGTGAATATTGATGAATTTGATTGGCTGAGAAGTGCAGGAGCAACTTTGTCTGGAGGCACTGGACCAAGTGTAGATCACACCAGCAACTCTGATCAAGGTAAGACCACTTAACCTCTGCTGTTATGTTTGTCTATATTGGATTCACCTTTTTTACCTTTATATGATGCAATTGTTTTTAACAATTGAAAGTAAACCTGACAGAGGAATGAAGTGCAATTTGGCTAGTGTTTTGATAAATAACTGTGTTTTGTTCTAGGATTTTATGTATACATGGAGGCATCAGGTCGTACCAAAGGAAACCGAGCTTGGTTGTACAGTGAAACTCTGAAACCACAGCCCACAGGAGCTTGTCTGTCCTTCTGGTATCACATGTTTGGTCGAGGTAAGTATACAGAGTTCCTTTATCTTTGATAGTACTTTAAACACTGAATTTTGCTTGTACATTCTAAACTTTCTCTACTTTTCAGCATTTTTGACATTTTTTTCTATTCTTAAGTACTTTATTCTATGGTTTCCAGACATAGGTACTCTTCGTGTATACTTCCTGCAGCCACAGCTGTCCAGACAGGTGTGGAATGCCACAGGTGACAAGGGAAATATCTGGAACTATGCACAGATAGACCTGAGCAGCACCTCCAACTGGCAGGTAGGTGAAATAATAGTCTTTTAAGTCCATTTTTGTTATGGAAAATTACAAAAAATCAGATTTTATAGCATTAGATCTGAAATTTTGAGAAGTGAAATGGTATGAGTCATAAGTCCATCCGTTTGTTGAATAAGTCAAGAAAAAGCAAATAAAAATTGTATTTAAATATGCAAATTTTTTATGTAGCCTGTTGGTTACAAATAATGTTGCTATTCATTTTAGGTGACATTTGAAGGTCTTCAGGGTGGAGGACCTCAGGGTGACATCGCATTAGATGATATTAACTTGGTACCAGGGCGCTGTGGTGGCATCACTTTACCTGGAACCACCACTCCTAGCGTTACCAGAGTGACATATCGTGAGTGTCTGCTGCTCCTTAGGTCACTTTTTTTTTTGCATTAAAATCGAAGATGTATCACCTAAGGCAGTTTTTTTCACTGAAAATATAAAGTTATATCGATAGCAAAGTTTGCTACATATTTATGAATCCACAAAATGCTCCATGAAATATTGTGACCTTTCAGTTTTTTAGCTCTTCATGTTTCATATAATTGTCACAAGGCACTTTATAAAATAATAGTAACATATTTTTACAAATAAAAAAATTAACTTCTTCAACGTGTCTTATTTTCCTTTTATTACAGCACCATCTACATTTGACTGTAATTTTGATAAGAACAATCTGTGCAGCTGGCAACAGGATGGCACAGATAATTATGACTGGACGCTGGCTACTAATGGCACTAACTCCCTTGGCACTGGGCCAAAGGGTGACCACTCAACACTCAGTGCTAGTGGTAAGTTAGATATCTGTTAAGTCTTTAAACTGAAAAAAATTATCAAGCTTTTTAAATCTACCTTTTTTGGTTAACAACATGCACGTAATAAACAGTGCTACTATTGAAAATAATACTGTTGAGTAGTACTTTGATAGAGAATAAAAAAGTGAATAAAGTAAATAGAATTGTTGATTGTTCAACTTTGTCCAACAGTTCTTTCAACTGTATATTAGATACATTGATAAATGATTGATATTTTTTATGATTTTCTTAGGCTATTATGTGTACATAGAGGCATCAAACCGACAGGTGAATGACACAGCCAGACTTGTGAGTTCAGGGATAAATGTTGGTCCTGCTGGCAAATGTATCAAGTTCTGGTACCATATGTATGGTGCTGATATTGGAAATCTGAATGTCTATGCCAAGCAAGGTATATTATAGACCAGTATTTTTTCTTAATGAGTACGAGATTGATTTATCATTTGGGCACATAATGGTGGTTGTGGTGTTTGTTACATTTTTAAGATTTTCACCTCTATAGATGTTACTGAAAATTATGTAATGTTAGTTTGAGAGTTTCAGAAAATTATGGAAGATGAAATTGAGAAGCATCCACTTACAGGTTGAACATTTGAAAAAATTGTGGTTTAATTAAAAAAGTTCATCTTGCATCACATTTCCACTGGAAAATGTTCTAAAAAAGACTAAAGCATATTCAAATATGTTGTTTCACCAGGATCAACGTTTGGCCCAGTTTTGTGGCAGAAGCATGGCACCCAGGGCGACTCTTGGAAGTATGGACAACTCTGGCTCACAAATATAGGAGCTGCACAGGTGAGATAATCCTTGTGTTTGCTATGATATGTGCTTTCTTTCAAGAATTGGTATGTTAGTTACACACTCACATTCATGTACCCATGCATGCATGCACATATCACACACACACACACGTGCACGCGTGCACACACACACACACACACACACACACACACACACACACACAGTCATAGAATCTACTTTTTAGTAAGAAGTAGTTATTGGTAATAGTTTTATCAAATTTGATTCTTTGTTACAGATTGTTTTTGAGGGTGTGAGAGGCAAAGGCTATCAAGGAGATATCTCACTAGATGACCTGTCAGCCAATGATGGACCCTGCCCATCTACAGGCACCTGTGACTTTGAGCAAGCTGACAAGTGTGGCTATACTGATGACCCTACTGGTCAGTTCACCTGGACCAGGGCCAACAGTCAGACAGGGTCAGTGAGCACTGGACCTAAGGCTGACCACACCTATGGGACATCTTATGGTAATGCACATTTATTAATAGATGTTAAGTTTTCAACTGGCATATTATTTGAAGTTTTTTGACATTTGTATGAAAGTTGTCAAATTATACATGTTTCATTTTGTCTATGGCACAGAAGTGGAAATTAGATTAAAATAGCTGTGATAACAAATTTTTTAAAACAATTTTTAGTCACTGACATAACCCATATTAGCACAAAAAACTGTCCACAATGATAAGCTGCTTCTTTATTATAGCTATATTTTATTTATAAAAATGTCTATGTTCTAGGTTACTACATGTATACTGAGACCTCTGCTCCACGACAGCCTGGGGATAAGGCCAGACTGCTCAGTCCTGTTTTCCAACCAACAACAGGCAAATGCCTCAGGTTCAATTACCACATGTATGGTGACCACATAGGACAACTGAAGGTTTATGTCAAGCAGCAGGGAACTCTGGGATATCCTGTGTGGTCTGAGCTCAGTAACCAAGGTGATAAGTGGCTTGTTACCCAGGTTACAGTTAGCAGTGCCAGTCCATTCCAGGTGAGGAAGTAGATGATCTTGAAGTGGATTTGTGTTTGTTGCACTTTTGTGTAAAACAATGACCATGGACTTATGTTAACAGGTTTTATAATATGAAGGAAATTAGCTCAGAATATATCATTTTGAAGCAGTCATGCATGATGATTAATTCAAACATTTGTTAAAATATTATTTCTAATGTTTTTTTAAGTTTCAGTTAGTTAAAGCTTATGGCCCTTAAACAAAATTACTGTGTTACTTAAAATTTTTTTCTTTCACATTAGGTTGTATTTGAGGGAACAAGAGGCAGTGGTTACCGTGGTGACATAGCCATTGATGACATCATGTTGATGGACGGCTCCTGCCCACCTCAAGGCAGCTGTGACTTTGAGAGAGACACCTGCACCTGGCAAAATGATAACACTGGGGATGACTTTGACTGGCTTAGGAATAGAGGAACCACTTCCACCTTCTCTACTGGTCCTAGTAATGATCACACACAAGGAGATGCCAATGGTAAGGGAATTTCCTGCATTTAATTTTATTTGTTAATATTATCATTTATTTATTTTTGTATTAATTTTTATTTAGTTAGTTTTAATTTTTTGTAAAAATGTTCCAATTATTGGTGGCAATTACATGTAATTTGTTACTTTTTTACCGGGTATCAATATTATATCATTTCACACGATACATGTGAGATAGAAAATCTGAGAAACTGGCTTTCAAGAAGTGTGTCATGAATGTCACTTATATTGTTTAAGTACTTCAGTAAGCATATATATAATAAGTTGCATATTTTTTCACTATCAATATTCAAATATCTTGCAGGTTACTACTTATATATAGAGGCTTCTGCACCAAGGCAACCAGGTGACAAGGCACGCGTGAGATCAGAAGTGTTCCGCACCTCCCAGGACCGCTGTCTCTCCTTCTGGTACCACATGTTTGGACGTGGCACTGGCATCCTGCGTGTTTACCTTGAAACTGCTACAACATCTAGCAAGCTGTGGGAGCGCAGCGGCCCCCAGGGTGACCAGTGGTCAGCAGCCCAGGTAATCCTGAGCAGCACAGCAGAGTTCACAGTGGTGTTTGAGGGTGAGAGAGGCAGTGACTACTCCAGCGATATCGCCATTGACGATGTGGTGATTACTCCTGGTGCTTGCCCATCAATTGTTCCACCATCTGGTCAATTTGGTTGTGGTAATGGTCAGTCTGTCCAACAGTCCCAGGTGTGTGACTTTGTCAAGGACTGCTCTAATGGAAATGATGAAGTGAACTGCGGCAACTGTACCTTTGAGAATAAAAATACCTGTGGATGGTCAGAGGTCAGCACTGGATCATTCAAGTGGACCCAGGGCACTGGTGGTACAGCCACATCTAACACTGGACCAAACAGTGACCACACAACACGCAGTCCAACTGGTACCTATCTCTTTGTGGATGCCAGTAATGGTCAGTTTAACCAGTTGGCTACTCTTCAAAGCAAGACCCTACAGCAAGCAAGTGCCACCTGCCAGATGAAGTTCTGGTACCACATGTATGGAAGAAGCATAGGAAAGCTACAGGTTTACATCAAGGTTGGCACCAGAGAGGTCCTCCTCTGGTCCAAGAATGGACAGCAAGGAAACCAGTGGATTCAAGGTGTGGCAGACATTGGAAGAATGCCTCAGCCTTTCACAGTTCTTTTAAAAGCATCTCGTAGCTTCTCTGTGTTTGGAGACATTGCCATTGATGACATCACATTTGAGAATTGTTTCCTGCCACCCCAGAGACAGTGTGTGGCTGGGGAGATATCATGCAATCGAGGCTCTTGCTACACGCTAGACCGGCAGTGTGACTTCACTGACGATTGTGGTGACAACACAGACGAGGACATCAACAAGTGCAGAGTCTACCCATCAAGGTGTGACTTTGAGAAATCTCTGTGTGACTGGACCATTGACTCCACGGCAGACTTCAACTGGAGACGAGGCTCAGGTACTGTCCCCTCTGGCACCACTGGCACAACTGGACCCTCCAGAGACCACACCACAGGGCTGAACAGTGGATACTACCTGTATTTGGAAACCTCCAGCCCCAGAGTCAAGGGAGATGTGGCTAGAATAATCAGTGCTACCTGGGCACACCCAAGAGCAGCAGCATGCTCCATGACCTTCTACTACCATATGTATGGCCCAGATATTGGAACCCTGAATGTGTATACCAGATCCCAAATTGGAGGCAACCTGAACCAAGTTTGGACCAAGACAGGGCAAGTTGGCAATTTCTGGGAAAGAGCTTCCATCAGTTTTAACATAGCAGGGACTCTGCCTTTCCAGGTTGTAATTGAAGGAGTGAGAGGTGATGGTTGGGCTGGTGATATAGGACTTGATGACATCAGCTTCAGTACAGGCTGCTCCAAGTATGTTGGTGTTCTACCTACAGGTACTCCCTCCATATCCACAGTCACACCCAGTGGAGCATGTGGCAATCAGTTCCAGTGTGGCGATGGCAGCTGTATAGACCAGAGTAAGGTGTGTGACTGGACAGCAGATTGTTCTGATGGCTTAGATGAAGCTAAGTGTGGACAGTGTGACTTTGAGAGGGACAACTGTGGCTGGACGGATAGCAGCAGTGGACGGTACAAGTTTGAGAGACATCAAGGTGCAACACCCAGTAGTTTCACAGGTCCATCAACTGATCACACCTTTGGTACCCCTCAAGGATATTATGTGTATGCAGAGGGTGGGAATGGAGAGTTCTTTAGCAGGGCAACCTTCACCAGTCCTAGCCTACCACCAGCATCTAACCAATGTGAAATGAACTTTTGGTATCACATGAGAGGCAGACGTGTTGGGTCCTTATATGTAGCTGTTGTTGTGAATGGCACACAAAAGGTTATCTTTACTAAAACTGGAAACCAGGGATTTTCATGGAACCAAGGCACTGCCTACATTGGAAGAGATGTGGGTGCCATCAAGACTCCATTCACTGTTCAGATACTAGCAGCACCAGCTAATGGATTCGGATCAGCCAGTCAAGCTGATGATATTGCATTTGATGATATCTCATTCAAGAACTGTAATCCAGCCTTCCAGGCTCCAGATGTCACATGTGACTTCGAAAAGGATGCATGTGGAACAAAATGGAAGCAGGGTCAGAATGGTATAGATGACCAGTTTGATTGGACAAGATCTCGGGGATCCACGAGCAGTTTCTCCACAGGCCCAAGTGGTGACCATACCACTGGAGGAACCACTGGTTACTACATGTACATAGAAACCTCCCAGCCTAGGAAACAAGGGGACCGTGCCCAGCTTATGAGCAGTCTTCTCCCACCCACACCACCTGGTGGACACTGCTTGAGCTTCTGGTTCCACATGTTTGGACCTGATGTCAACTCTCTAAGGATTATCATGGAGAACAGAGACAACCGCACGCTGCTGTGGCAGAGGTCTAGAACTCAGGGAAATGCTTGGAAACAAGCACATCGAGGCATCCAATCTGATGTTAACTTTAGGCTCATCATTGAAGGAACATCAGGCCCAAGCTACAGAGGAGATATTGCAATTGACGATATAGAAATGATCAATGGGCCTTGTCCCCCTGAAACAACATGCGACTTTGAAGCAAACTTCTGTGGATGGACCCAAGCAAGTGATGATGAATTTGACTGGCAACGAGGATTTAATGGAACATCCTCTTCAGGTACTGGTGCACCAATTGACCACACCTATGGCACAGACACTGGATACTTTGCCTACATAGAGACTTCCTACCCTAGAAAGAATGGAGATACAGCCAAGATGATGACCCCAGTATACAGTGGTTCAGCCACCAGATGTCTCCAGTTCTGGTATCATATGTATGGCGCTGATGTAGGTACCCTCTTCATACAGCGCAACAATGCACTGCTGTGGACTAAATCAGGTGACCAGGGTAACATGTGGCGTAGTGCCAAGGTGACCCTACCAAGCACGTCCAGCAGCTATGCCATCAGCTTTATTGGTCAGCGAGGAGCTGGGTACAGGGGAGACATTGCAATCGATGATGTGTCCATTACAGATGGTGCATGTCCACCTGTGGGCAGATGTGACTTTGAGCAAGACACCTGTGGCTGGACCAATGCCATCACAGATGATTTTGACTGGCTTAGAAATAATGGAGGCACACAAAGTGTATACACTGGTCCATCTGAAGATCACACTACGGGAACTAATCAGGGTTATTACATGTATATTGAAACATCTGGAAGCTTCAGAAAAACAGGGGAGAAGGCCCAGTTTGTAAGTGAACATCTGACTTACACCCGCACCCGCTGCTTCACATTCTGGTATCACATGTATGGTGCTGGCACTGGCAATCTTACTGTCTATACAAAGACCACAGGTACCCAAGGTTCACCGACACAGCTATGGCAAGTAGTGGGTACCCAGGGAAATAGATGGATCCAGGGTCAGGTTAACTTAGTCCCTGTTGGGGAGTTTGTTGTCGTCATTGAGGCTACCCACGGTGGAAACTACACTGGGGATATAGCCATAGATGATATCAATGTACTGAACACAGCATGCAGTGGAATCACCACCCCAGGCACCACGCCTAGCACACCACAGATCTCAGTGGGACCAACATCTAGTGCCTTTATGAGCTGTGACTTTGAGGATGCAACAGCGCCATTCTGCACTTGGCAGCAAGATAAAGGTGACCAATTTGACTGGACCAGAAGAGCAGGTGGAACAATATCAGCAGGCACTGGCCCAGCTGGGGATCACACAACAGGATCCAACTCTGGAAATTATATCTACATTGAAGCTAGTGGCCAACAACCCAATGACACAGCCAGGTTGTCCAGTTTAGAAATTGACATCGGTCAGCAAGGAATATGTCTAGACTTCTGGTACCATATGTATGGGGCCAATGTCAACAGGCTTACTGTGCTCAGCAGAAATATTGGCAGCAGAGTACCAACACAGGTTTGGACAAGAAGAGGGAACCAGGGACCACAGTGGAGATATGCACAAGTACACCTACAAACTCAGGGTAAATACATCCTTTCCTTTGATGGAATAGTTGGAGCCAGATGGGATGGTGACATTGCTCTTGATGACATCAAGCTAACCACTGGGCCATGTTCATCATCCAAAGTGTGTGACTTTGATAATGGCTTATGTGGCTTCACCCAAGATGTCTCAGACAATTTTGATTGGACCCAGGCCAAAGGTGCCACCTTAAGCATAAGGACTGGCCCTCCAAGTGACCACACATATGGTACTTCTGAGGGATACTACATGTACATAGAAGCTACCAACCGTCAACCTGGTAGCAAGGCAAGATTGGACAGTCCCAGCTATCCAAGCACTCAAGGGTCCTGCCTAACATTCTGGTACCACATGAAGGGCACCGGCATTGGTACATTAAATGTGTATAGAAAATCTAGAGGCAGTCTTGGTTCCCCTGTTTGGACATTGAGTGGCCAACAAGGTGATGAGTGGCATGTAGCCCAAGTGACCATTACAAGTGCCTTGCAATATCAAATCACATTTGAAGGAATACGTGGTGCTACCTATAATGGAGATATTGCCATAGATGATTATTCCATAGTTGATGGTGCTTGTCCAGCTTTTGGATCTTGTGACTTTGAATCCGATTTGTGTACTTGGAAAAATGTTGCCACAGGAGATGATTTTGACTGGGAAAGAGCAAGCGGTTCAACAACGTCACAAAACACCGGACCCTCAGCTGATCACACCTTAAACACACGCTATGGCACTTACCTGTATATTGAGGCATCTGCACCAAGAAAACAGAATGACGAAGCCTGGTTTATCTCTCAGGTATTTAACACCACCCAACCAGGTTGCTTCTCCATGTATTACCATATGAAGGGAGCAAACATTGGAAGCCTCAGCGTAGCTACCAGACACACTGGGGAAACTAGACAGGATGAGCGTTGGAGGCAGGACACAGCACAAGGAGACCAGTGGAACTTTGTACAAGTCCCCACAACTGGATCTAAACCCTACCAGGTTATTATAATTGGTCGTGTAGGGAATGGATTCCAGGGTGATATAGCCATTGATGACATTAACTTTGTGTATGGTCAGTGCCCACCTCCGCCCACTGTTTCTCCTACATGTGCTTACACATGCACAGATAATGGTCAATGTGTGCCACAGTATAAAGTGTGTGATTTTGTCAGAGATTGTCCAAATGGTGGAGATGAGATTGACTGTGGCTACGACTGCACATTTGAGGATGGTAACAACTGCAAGTGGAATAGTACGGGAAGAACAGCATTCCAGTGGCAGAGGTACCGTGGTGCCACACCTGATTCCAACACAGGTCCATCAATTGACCACACCACCCTCAGTCCTTCTGGATACTACATGTATGTGGATGCAAGCAACGGTGGAGGATTTGCAAGCGCTAGGTTAACCAGCCCACTGCTGAGACGAGCCTCAGCTACTTGTCAGTTGACATTCTGGTACCACATGTTTGGTGCAAACATTGGGACCTTAGAGGTCAGAATTAGAGAAAATGGAAGAGAGACATCTTTATGGAACCTAAGAGGAAATCAAGGAAACAAATGGGTTCAAGCTGTAATTCCACTAGGTAGAATAGCATCTTCTTTCAGGGCTATCATTCAAGCAAGAAGAAGATTCAGTGTTTTAGGAGATATTGCCATTGATGACATAGCATTCCAAGGCTGTGGCCTACCACCCATTGTCACAGGATCATGTCCAACTGGATCTCAGAAATGTACTCGTGGTTCATGTGTGTCCAATTCTAGAATTTGTGATCTGACTGATGATTGTGGTGACAGTTGGGATGAGAACACAAACAACTGCCAAGGTTACTCCACCTGCACATTTGAACAAGGAATCTGCGACTGGGTGCAACTCAAAGGTGATGACTTTGACTGGACCCGCCAAACTGGAAGGACAAGTAGTTTAAATACTGGACCATCTAGGGATCATACCCTGAACAGCCAGACTGGGCACTACCTGTTTATCGAGACTTCAAACCCTGTGAAAACTGGTGATGTAGCAAGAATTGGAAGTAAATGGTTCCAGGCCACACCGGGCCAGACTGATTGTAAGATGAGATTCTACTACCACATGTTTGGTCAACACATTGATGCCCTTACTGTATACTACAGGACACAGGTGCATGGCTCATATACCCAGTTGTGGAGGAAGAAGGGAGAAATCGGAGACTACTTTGAGAGGGCAGAGATCACTTTGACCATACCAAGCAACTTCCAGATCATTATCCAGGCAGCAAAAGGAACAGGCTACCAAGGTGACATAGCCATTGATGACGTTTCTTTCACACCAGGTTGTCGAGCATACACAGGAGTCGTGCCCACCGTCACACCACAAACAACAGTGACAACACCAGGAACCACTGTTGGTCCTTGCGGGGCAGGGAACTGGCAGTGTGCTAGTGGACAGTGCATATTGCTGTCCAAGAGATGTGACTTCACCCAGGACTGTGCGGACAATTCTGATGAAAGTCAGTGTGGTACCTGTAACTTTGACACTGATCAATGCAATTGGGCGGATGGCAGCACTGGACGATATAGCTGGAGCCGCCATCAAGGGTCATCACCTAGTGCAGTCTCAGGACCTACTTCTGACCACACTACAGGAACCCCCAATGGTTGGTATATGCTAGTAGACTCTACCAAAGCAGCAGGACAGTTCTTTGGAATATCGCGTCTCAGTAGCACAGTGTATGGATCTGTGGCTACAGGCTGTGAGATCAGCTTTTGGTTTCACAAGAATGGCACTAGTGGTTTACTGGGTCTCAGACTTCTACCATATGGTAATGGAAACAATACAGGGCGCATAACACTGTGGAGTGTCAGAGGGAACCAAGGTTCTCAGTGGATACAGGCTAAAGCTGGTATAGGACGGCGGGCTGCAGGGTTCTCCTTGCAGTTCTTTGGTATTCATAATACAAGGACTGGAGACATGGCAATCGATGATATTACATTCAACAACTGTGCCCTGGGACCTGTGGGTCAACCGTGTCAGTCCAACCAATTCAGTTGTAGCAATGGTCGCTGTGTTGATGCTGATAGAGTTTGTGATTTTGCTGATGACTGTGGTGACAAGTCTGATGAACAAAATTGTGCCAAGTACCTTGGATGTAACTTTGAGAAGGACATCTGTATCTGGACACAGTTGAGCAATGACCAGTTTGACTGGACAAGGACATCTGGATCAACGTCCTCCACAGGCACTGGACCTTCACGTGACCATACTTTGGGAACATCAGCCGGTAGTTATCTGTACATTGAAACATCCAGCCCACGCAGACCCAATGATACAGCACGCATTGTCAGCCCAACCTTCCAACCATATACAGGCACAGCTTGCAGCATGAGGTTCTTCTACCACATGTATGGACCCCATGTAAATGCCCTTAATGTGTACATGAGAACTCAAGTAGGTGGTGCAATGAGACAACTCTGGTCTATGAAGAATACCAATAAGGATGAGTGGCAGAGAGCTAGCATTCCTTTGAGCAGTAGCACACCATTCCAGGTTATCATTGAGGGAGTGCGTGGAATCAGCTATGCTGGAGATATAGGAATTGATGATGTTACCTTCACACCTGATTGCCCACAAGGTGGTATCTTAACAGTGGGTCCAGCAACCCCAACGTCCACCATTTGTCCAGCTGGTCAGCTGCCATGTGCCAATGGAGTCTGCCTGCCAGCATCCTACTTCTGTAACTTCAGAGAAGAGTGTACTGATGGCTCTGATGAATCACAATGCCCAGCAACCTGTGACTTTGAAAGCACCACCAATGCATTGTGCTCCTGGACCAATAAAAACATTGGCGATGATTTCGACTGGAAAGTCAGCTCTGGTGGAACTCCATCCCAGGGTACAGGACCAAACCATGATCACTCCAAGAACAGTGTTACTGGTCACTACGCCTTCATAGAGGCAAGTGCAAAGAGACCAGGTACCAAGGCCAGATTGTTCAGTCCTACATATAACCAAGCTGGCACTACTTGCTCATTCAGCTTCTGGTATCACATGTATGGCATTCACACTGGGAACCTGAATGTGTACATCCAGAGAGGAGGTTCTGAGGTGTTACTGTGGAGTACAACTGGAGACAAGGGAGATGTGTGGCTCCAGGGTTTGGTCTACTTGCCAATATGTGCATCCCAGTTCACAATTATCTTTGAAGGTATGTTATTCTGCAATGGTTGTGAAATATAAATTAGATATATAGATATGTTATGTGGTAATTTTTTTTTCATCCAGAGAACCTTTTTGGTCTCTTGTAGTGGTTTATTCTGTGAACACTTTAGGACTGTGTAGTAATGTTAATATTTCTTGAAGTTTCTATTTTCTGCAAAAAATATGTATTTTTATAATCAGTATGGAATTTATACCTCAATATTTATATTTTAAACTTTCAGCAACTGTTGGTAGTGGATGGCAAGGTGACATCTCCATTGATGACCTAAGATTTGACAGGTGTGCCTACCCAACTGTTGCCCCCAATACTCCCTGTGGTTCCACACAGTTCCAGTGTGCAAGTGGCCACTGCCTGCCCAAGGCTAGTGTCTGTGACTTCCAAAATGACTGCTGTGATGGCAGTGATGAAAAACCAAGTGATTGTACTACAAAGGGATACCAGATGTGTAACTTTGATAACGGGGATTTCTGTGGCTGGCAGCAAGTGACGACTGACCAGTTTGATTGGTCCATGCAGCGTGGTGCCACAGCATCTGTTAATACTGGTCCTTCCTTTGACCACACCACCTTCCAATCCACAGGTATATTTTTTGTCTTTATTTTTTTTATTCTTCTTCTTCTTCTTCTTATTATTATTATTATTATTATTTATTATTATTATTTTTGTCTTGTTTATTGTGTAGAGCAAAAAAAACATTTTTTTTTAAATGAAATATATGTCATTTTGATGGCAGATAATTGAATAAAAGCATTGGATAAAAAACATAAAGAGAAAGATAACTTATTTGTGAATATGCAATTAGCTACAATGTGCCGAAATTGTTTCAGAATGGTAAACAAGATAGGAGACAGGAAATGTATATTTAAAACCTAAGTAACCATTGAAAGTTCTGTAAAATTACCATTACAGGTAGATACTTGTACATAGAGGCATCCAGCCCCAGGGTTAATGGTGACAGAGCACAGATTAAGTACACATTACAGAATGCTAAACCAGGCCAATGTGAGATGAGACTCTGGCACCACATGTTTGGTGCCCATATAGGCTCCCTCAACATTTACACCCAGCCAGCATCTAGTCGGTCAGCCACACTGGTCAAGGCAATCAATGGCTCACAGGGAGATGGTTGGAGACGCATATCTGTGCCACTGTCCAGCAGTGTTAAACTGGATATCATCATTGAAGGTGTTATTGGTCCTGGTTGGCAGGGAGATATGGCCATTGATGATTTGACCTTCACCCCAGGATGCATTCTACCTTGTCCGAATAACCAGTTCAGATGTGGAGATGGTACGTGTCTGCCGAATTCCAAAGTGTGTAATTCAGTTAGCGATTGCTCTGATGGATCAGATGAACAAGGCTGTGCTTCTGGAAACACCTGTGACTTTGAAACTGGAACATGCGGTTGGGCCGAGAGCACCCCTGACCAGATAGACTGGACACTGGGCTCTGGTGCAAGCACTGGAAACATCAGGCAGATGGCGCCAGCTGTTGACCACACTCTAAGCAGTGGCAGTGGACATTACATGTATGTCAGAGATAACAGCGGTGGACAAGGATACAACAATGTTGTTGAGCTGGCAGGACCAATCTTGAGAACTGCCCCAGCTTCCTGTATCTTCCAGTTCAACTATTACAGTTATGGACCAAGGACCCTTTCCCTAGGCCTTTCTCTAAAAACCCAACGCTATAATGTGGGGCTGTTCAGGACCAGATTTGGAGAATCCTTAAATGGCTGGCAACAGGTTAGAGTTGGTATAGGACGTCGCTACATCCCATTCCAGCTGGTCTTCAAGCAATACCAGTACGGCTCTGTACAGTTTAATGGAGCAGTTGCCATTGATGACTTGCGCTTCATTAGCTGCAGCCCACCACCCCCTGCCAGTTCCTGCCCTAACGGATTCTGGTGTAAGACAACAAGAGCATGCATTTCCAATGACCAGCTATGTGACCTACAAGATGATTGTGGTGATGGCTCAGATGAAGACAGCAACACTTGTGCCAACTACAAGCGGTACAACTTCGAACAAGGCTTAGCGGACTGGACCAATGCACCCAATGGGAATTTCAGCGATGACTTTGACTGGACAAGGAACAATGGATCTACAGATTCCATCAACACAGGACCTATACGTGACCACACCAAGGGCACACCTAGAGGTTTCTATTTGTACATAGAGACATCATCCCCAGTGCGGTACAACCAGAAAGCTTGGCTGGTCAGTCGTGTGTTTGCTGCTTCACCCAATGGTGCTTGCAGGATGAGAATGTTTTACCACATGTTTGGACTCCACGTGAACCGTCTAACTGTCTATTACAGAACAACTTCAAATGGTCCCCCTACAGGTCGACTATGGTCCATGATTGGCAGCAGTGATGACGTATGGCAGAAGGCCGACTTCCAGGTGCAAGTGTCCCAATCTTTCCAGATACTGATTGAGGCCGTGTCTGGTGACAGCTACCTGGCCGACATAGCCATAGATGATATAAGTTTCACTCCAGACTGTCAATTTAGCTCAGATATGTTACACACGGCTGCTCCAGTTCTGACCACAGCTACTTCAACCATGTCCACATTGCCACATGGATGTGATGCCAACACTGAGGTGAACTGTTATAATGGACAGTGCATTAAGAAAGAAGAGCTGTGTGACTTTAAGACAGACTGCAGTGATAGCACTGATGCCGACCCTAAGACCTGTGGTATGTTATACTACCAGAGTAAAAAAGTACTGCTTTTTAAGGATGCAGTACATTTATAAACATATATACACTGATGTCTTTGCTGTTATGCCTTTGATTAACTTACTAGTCAAGACAAAGGTAAAAGATAGGTTAAAACTAAATGGACAGGTTAAATTTTCGAAAAGAGGTCTATTGTGATTTGTATTTCAAATGTTCTTTTCTTTGTATCATTTTAGTCAAGCCAACATGTACCTTCAATTCTGGCGACATGTGCGGATGGACAGCCCAGACTAAGAACCAGTTCTCATGGACTCCAGCTCAGGGCAGCACACGCACATCCGTGGACTACAGACCTAGTAGGGATGCCAACAATGATGACTGGTACCTATTTGCCGACTCATCTAATGGTGGTTTCAGGGATGAGGCAGATTTGATAAGTACCACCATTTCAAAGACTGGTCCTCAGTGCGTTATGAAATTATCATATCACATGGCTGGACGTCGTATTGGATCTCTGCATGTGCTGAAGAGCAGCTTTGGAGAGCAGAGACAGCTGTGGTCAGTGAGTGGTAACCAAGGCAACAGATGGAGAGAGGTCACCATTCCCATTGGACCTGGAACTGATTTCACACTAACCATACAGGTAAAATGAAGATTTATGTGTCAATTTAAATTGAAGATTATGACAAACTGGAAATAATGTGTACATTTGAGGATTCATATAAAATGGAGATTAATGTTTAAGGTTAAGACAGTTTCAGCTGAAAAACACCTGTCATCCATTCTTTTCCTGGCATGTCTGTTATTTATCATTTTCACAATTAAGTTGTTAGACATTTATATTTGATATAGAATTTTCTATTTCATTTTATTTTATATTATTTTATTTTATTTATTTTTTTTTTTCAAGCATATTCACAAGTTGTAAAACGAGTAACCAATTTACTTAAAGAGATTAAAATCAAGTACAATACAATACAAATGTATTCTAGGCAAAGAGAGGTAGAACCTTCGTAGGAGATGTGACCATAGATAACATCAGGTTTGAGAACTGTGCACCTCCTGTGGTCCCCCTCCAGGGTTGTACCACCAACCAATTTACATGTACAAACACAGGCTACTGCATTGACAATGGACTTCTCTGTGATGGCCAGGATGACTGTGGTGACGGTTCTGATGAAGATGTTAGTTTTATGGGATTCCTGCACTTTGTTTCAAAAATTGATCCTATTCATAAAATTGCCTTTTTTTAAGCTGTAATTGGTTCCAGATTTCACCAACAATATGATAAACTATAAATCAGCTGACAAGAATACTTCCAGAAAAAAAAGATTTCTAAGTTTGATTAGTGAAAACCATTTAAATGCCCTACATTTTTGTCCAGATTTATTTGATTAAAATATAGGCAGTTAACTGCCTTTGTCATCTTTTTCTTTTTAACAAATTCTTGAAGGAGTTAAGATAATGTAATTTATATTAATATGAACAGAATTATCCAACACTGAATCCTTATAAACTTTGTTCCAGTACGCCACTTCCTCAGCCACAGTGTGCCAGAGCTATACCAAGTGTGACTTTGAGAACAACCTGTGTGACTTACTGCACAATGAACTAGATGACACATTTGACTGGTCCCTGAAACAAGGCAGTACTTCCACTGTGGGCACAGGACCTGCAGTGGACCACACCAAACAGACCAATCTCGGTAGGCTGCAATTAGAGATTTGCATTTATTAATTCCATTCTGCAATTCACCATTTTTCCCTTTTTTTTAAATTTGTGACTATAGTGGCACTGAACACCCATGACATTTTATATAAGAAATAAGACAGCAAGTTCATATGAGGTGTTTTTTATTTCTGACATATTTGTAAAGTGTGGTGTAATATTTTTGAATCATTACAAACTATATTTTTGTGGGAGTATACTTGTGTTTCAATTTCTTGACATAAATATTTATTGTACAATTCAGGATATTATGCATACACTGAGAGCTCCTTCCCAAGACAACCTGGAGATATTGCTAGACTAGGAACCAAAGTCATTCAAGGCAGTGCATCTCAAGGCTGCAAGGTATCATCTTTTTTTTTTATGTGAAAATTTTTGTAAAAATACAATTTACATTTAAAGCAGTTAGATGCTTGGAAAATTGCATCAATTAATATTTGATTTTTTTACATACAGGGGGCAAAAATGATTTTTTTATTTTAATTTTTATATAATTTTTTGTTTGCTTGTTTTTAGAAATGAGGCCCGTTTTTGACAAACTGCTTGTATGTACATTTCTTTATTCATAATACTTCAACCAAATTCTGTTCTGATAAATTACCATAATTTTAGGTACGCTTCTGGTATCACATGTTGGGAGATCATGTAGGCTCACTGGCCATACTGAAGCGTCTCCACTATGGCTCAGACGGTGTCCGCGTCCTGAAGAACATCACAGGTGAACAGGGCAATAACTGGATCCGAGATGAGGTGGACCTCAGCAGCCCCAGCAGTAATTTCCAGGACTTTGAGGTAACGGCTGTCATATTAAATAGCTTGGTCTTACATTTTATCCATAAAATGTACGTCTCTTACCATTTGAAAAAACATTCCATTTATTGTAAGACAGTTATGTTTTTACCTGACAATCAGGTATATAGGTAGTAAAATTAATCTTCTTCCATATTGCAAACCTAGGCCATTTACACCACAGGTTCTGCAAAGTCTGGGCCTTAAGCTTTTTTATGTCCATGTTTAATGCCAACCTCATCATACTAAGTAACAGATTATGTTTATTACTTATTATGATTATTTTTTCTGCATAGCTTGTATTTGAAGCCATGGTGGGAACTGGCTACAGAGGAGACATAGCTCTAGATGACATCACATTCACTCCTTTCTGTAAATTCACTAATGGTAAGCAAATATTAAACATGATATTATAAACAGTCATTTTTTCCCTTCAAACATTTTTTATGTTAAATTAAGTGAGTATAAGTATATATATATAATCTAACAAATGCATTTTGTTTTCCAAAACATTTTTTTTTTGACACCTTTATGTAATTCAATATGTTTTCAAGTCTGCTTGACTTAAAAATCTATAGATCAGTTTGCCTTATATAAATGACACATTTCAGCATACCTGCCTGGAGCGCCCACCCCGTCCACTACCACTCCCTCTGGACAATGTCCAGTGGGCCAGCTGACCTGTGCCAATAGCCGCTGCTATGCCAGGGACCAGAGGTGTAACTTCATTGACGACTGTGGAGACAACACTGATGAAAAGGATTGTGGTATGTCCATGATTCCTCATCTTCGTCACTTGTCTATGATTACAGAATCTCTGTTGAATTTGCTTCAAGTCAGGATATTTTAAGAACTAAGTGGATATCATAATCATTTTCAATGAAAGTTTAATTAAGAAGGTTTTATGAACCATTTTTAGTTTAAATCTGTAATTTTATCTGCAGCTGTTAATTACTAATATATGGACTTATTCTCTATGTTATTTAAACATTGCTTCCCATGAGGATACTTTCCAAAACCAATTAGCAAATCAGTTCTTACTGTCCCCTTCTAGGTGAAGACTGTGACTTTGAGTCTGGATTCTGTGGCTGGAGTAACTCTGACCGTGACTCACTAGACTGGACACGACAGAATGGCACCACACAGAGCAGAGATACTGGACCAGGCAATGACCACACACCATTAGCCAATGGTCAAGGTAAGTTAATACGCATGTTTTATATAGTATTCAATGTCTTTCATCCTTCTAGTACTTCATTATATGCATTGAACTTTTTAAGTTAAAAGTATTCTGTGCTCCTTTGCACAATATGCTGACACATAATTTTTACTTTCTGGTGCATGGTACTATAATACACAGAATGCACTTTAGACTGCCTTTTAAGCAGGTATATACTTTCTTATCCTTTTACAACAGGTAACTACATCTACATTGAAGCCAGCTCGGGCAGTACAGGCGACAAGGCACACCTTCACAGCAGCCTGTTCCCAAGCACCACCAGCTCTTGTCGGTTCACATTCTGGTACCACATGTTTGGCACCCACATCGGCACCCTGGCCGTGTACATCAAGACCAGCTCTGGATACAACCAGGTGTGGAGCATGTCTGGCTCTCAGGGAGACCAGTGGATACAGGCAGATGTTCCCATAGGCCAGCAGTACAACCTGGAGGTGGTGCTGGAGGGAGTCCGAGGCAATGGATGGGCTGGAGATATTGCTGTGGATGATATAAAATACGTGCAGTGTGACTCAAGTGAGAATGAATGCTTTGTTTTCTTACTACATTGGCGTGTATGTTATATTTATCCTCTGTTTGGCTGAAATCAAGCTCCGAGTTGCTTGCACAATATATCTGTACTTCATACTGCAAAAAAATGGATGTGTTTTTAAGTAACTTAACTGCAATAAAAAAATGAAAAATGAAAAAATGAAAAATGACTGTTACAATTTATTCAGACAGTATGTTTCTTTTTGCCAAGCCACGGTATTATTTTTTAACCTCAAATTTTGAGTGGATACTCTCTGAAAATTATGTGACACAATATATTCAATGAAGAGGTTTAATTTCATATTTTCAGATAATGGTGTTGTGAACTGTGATGAGAGTCAGTTCCGATGCGCAGATGGCACGCAGTGTGTACCCAGGCAGTTTGTGTGTGATAAACAATACAACTGCAATGACCAGTCTGATGAATCCCCTGCTTTTTGCTGTAAGTATTATCTTGTTGTATTTCAAATTGGTTGTCATTCATTGCTTCGTTGTTTTGTTTATACTTTGCTGTGTGCTCTGAATCATCTTTGTTTACATTGCATAGTTTTCCATTAAGACACATCTTTTCATCATTCACATTTTAAATATTATGGCAGCATTGACATGAGTACATATCCTTTGTGAATATTTTCTTAGTAGCTTAACCATAATATATTCGTGTATGAATACAAATGAACAGTTTAAAAATCTCTTTTATTCATCTTCCTGCATTTTACATGGGACAGGGATGAGGAAAAGTGTATCACTGCATGCAGTTCCACTAGGACTGACACAGAATGCAAAAGAAAGAGACTACCATAATTATTGCTTTGTATTTTTTTCCAGCGCGCCAACCTGGAGACTGTACATTTGAGAGAGGGCTCCCCACCTGTAGCTGGAGCCAGATGACAGACGATGACTCTGATTGGGTGATTGGTACACAGACCACAGCAGCCGCCTCACCACTGACAATGGACCACACCAGGGGGCAGGGAGGTCAGTACAAAACTATAAATGTTTGCTAGGTCAATATGTTCATAACATGAACATATTTTTTTTATGTTGAGAGCCAAAAATAAAAAAAATTTTGGAAATTCTTTTGATTTCTTGCCAGGCAGAGTTTGTACGAGTAGAGATAGTGACAAGGGACAGGTCCATGAAATTACCAGGTACTGGCTGCAAATGATAAATTTTTAGTACATTTTACTTTAGAAAAGCCAAATTTCATGCTTTTATGTAAGCATTGATTTTGAAATTTAGGCACACTTGTGTTGAGGATTTAAATTTCATTCTAGTGGCATATGTTCATGTCAGTGCATATGAGGACAGAATGATACAAAATCAGAAAATCTCAATGATTATACACTCGGTTGTCTTGGGTTCATTCCTTAATTCTCTGTGAACATACTTCAGGTTCCTTCCTGTTCCTTGACACCACAAGCACAGACCTTGGCGACATCGCTCGTGTGCAGACACCCATGTTCCCACCCAGCTCTGGAATCTGCTACCTCAGGTTCTACTACTACATGAATGGACAATACCTTCAGGGACAGTCTGGGACATTATCTGTAAGGCATCAAGCCTTTAGCAGCAAACTATATAGTAGATTAAGAGTGTTATATCTTCAAGATAAAATGTTCTTAGATATTAAAACATCTGCTGTATAGACCCCCAGAGGAAGATAAGTTTTGCCGAGCATGAATGTGGTTTATTTCCTTTAGATAAAATTTATTAGTTTTATTATATTATTATTATTACTATAATTTGAATCCATTTGATAGCATTTTAAGACCTGTGCAGATTTGTTTTTTCTTTGGTGAAATAAAAAAAAAAGGTTAAGTGTAACAATTTACATTTTTATAAGAAATATATCAAAAATACAATTTTTATCATCAAACTGTAGTTCTTATGTGTGGATTTAAATTTGCATGTGATTGAAATGATTCCATATTTAGGTGTACACTGAGGACACCAATGGTCAGCGCCTTCTGATGTGGACAGAGAGTGGCCGGGAGACTGACCAGAGCACAGTTTGGAAGTATGCCAACGTACTCCTGGGCAGTATGGTGAACTACACAGTGGTGTTTGAAGCCATGGATGGCAGTGATGTCAAAACACAGATTGCCATTGATGATGTTTTGTTCACACCGGAATGCTCTACTGGAGGTAGATAGATATACATGAGTTATATATTGATCTTGTATGAATTTCATCTTTAATAAGCCACTTAAAATGTTTATAAAAATGAAATTAAACTCTTGTTTTGTTTGATAATTGATGAGACTATGACACTCACACACTGTACCTTTTGCTTCCAGTATATTCTGCCAATGCAGCAACCTGCTCACCAGCACAATTCATGTGCGTGAACACAAAGACGTGTGTGCCTGCCAACTGGAGATGCGACGGTGAGGCTGATTGTTCAGATGGATCAGATGAAGCTGGATGTGGTATCACCAATACTCCAGGTAAGGAGACACTGCAGTAAAGAGTTGGTGTGGTATAAATTTACTGACCCAAACTTCAAGGGAGCCTTGACATTATCTTGTGATCATGCTGTAAATATTAAGCCGGATTTTAGTGTCTGGGTTAAAGTTGACTTAAAATGTTTTATCTGTTATTTGTCTTTTTTTATTTAGTTTGTTTTAATTTTTCTTTGCAGTATGTAATTGGTAACAAGATCAGTGTTTTTTGGTGACACATAATTATCATTCAGTATGTGCATTTATTGCTTTATTGTTGTCAGGCTTATACATGGTCACTAATTAATCATTTTAGCTTCAAAGCCCACCCTAGGCCCGACTTTGCCTCCTAACACCTGTGGGTTTGGTAATATCACCTGTCATGATGGTACCTGTCTGCCTGCTAACCTGCAGTGTGATGGCGTTAATGACTGCCAGTCTGGGGAAGACGAGGGAGCATGTAGTGAGTATCTGTGACCCAAAAAAAGGGTGGGGGGGCAGGAATAATTTAAGGAAAAGGGAACAAATTAAAAGTTTTAAAGAAGTTATGTAGCTCCTGAAAAGCATTAGCAAGCATCTGGTTTCTGTGAATAATTAAGAGATTGATTTTGAGCAGGACATTGATCAGGTGTACCAAACAAAATCCATTTAATTGCTTATTAATAAAACTAATAACTGTGAACATATTTGTACGCTACAGTATGAGGAGTTAACAATTTGAAAATTGATTAAAATTCTACTTTCATTTTTTTTCCTCTTTTTTAGACATGAAATGTCACCAGGGCTCCCGTTATTGTAAGAAGACAGGACAGTGCGTGTCAGTTCAAGCTGTTTGTGATGGATTCAGTGACTGTGGAGATGGTGTGGATGAAGTGCTATGTAAAGGTGTGCCTCTTCATGAATTATAAACTGATGGAAGGTCATCTAACCCAGCATGATACCTGTGAAGACTTTTGATCAAAGTTTCAAAATTATTTTTACTAAGTCACCTAGGGGCTGTTATAATGAATAAAATCAAGGAACCTTAAATTACCTACCTATTTGTTAGTATGGACAAGACTGAAGTTGCAGTGAAAGGCTGACATTTCATAAGCTTGTTTTTGTTGATAAATAAAATAATAGGTCACACTTTTTATGGTATGGGGTTGACAGTGACATTACACAAATAGACTCAGTTACACCCTTCTTTGCAATTTTTGTTGTTGTTTTTTAATGTATTACCCAAAAGTGTATATTTTTTAACTTATTATTATTCTAATGGCTAGTTTGCTCTCGTTATATTCTGTATCAAGTTTTTTTTATTGAGGGAATAAACTGTTTTCTTCTTTTATCAGCCACTTCCTGCAGTGAGTATGATGGTTTCTGTCTCAATGGAGGGATCTGCTCCAGCCCAGAGAGTGGCATTACCTGCAAGTAAGTATTGTCTTATAATCTTCCATGATTACCTCTTCAAGGCAATCCTATTACTTGGTTATCAGTATGTGTGTGTTTGTGAAAACATGCTTCTATTTATCTGCACCTGTATCGAGTATATGTGTGTGTATACATGCAAGTTTGTGGGTGTTCAAACCCTTTCCAGTACAAAAAGACATTGTTATCTGTCCCTGTTGTGTATTTTACAACTTATGCACGTGTATGCAGACAAGTATGTGTTCAACTTATTAATTTTCTGTAAATGTCAAAACTGATGTTAAATGTGAATACTTAGCATTGTCGGTATTGTGTGTATTCCAGCTGTACTGGCCTGTCATCTGGCTGGAGATGTGAAGCTCTGACAGCAACCCCACAATCTCCTGCAGCTCAGACTGGAGTCACTAGTAAGTTATGATCATTAATCTGACAACTGTGACATCTGTCAAGTTTTTTTTTTTAATTGAATGTTGTGTTTAACAATTGATTCACACCCACCACTGCTTTGAGTTGATTGTTACAAGAAGATAAGAGAAGCTGTTTGTTTCAAGACCAGATTCATCAATTTATGTAAATAGTCATTTTCTTGTTTCAATACTCTAAAGATAATTCATTTTTTGATACTTGAGTCTTCATAATGAAAAAAATCCAGGCTTAATTATTGCCACTTATGGCTCATTACAAAGTTTTATATTATGCCAGAAATTTGTTTTTTATGTGTTATATTAGCTGTTAATACAACTTCATTAACTAAATAATATGATTAATATTTTGTTATGTATTTTTAGCTGGAGGTTGGGTCGGCATCAGTCTTGCTCTGGTGGTGATACTTGTAATGGGTCTGCTGGCTTTTATCTATGTTTTCCTGCGGAGGAAGAATAGTCTGTAAGTAGATAGAAAAGTTGACCTCGACCTGTTCTCTATATGGTCTCTATAGAATGGCGACTTTTTTAAAGAGATTTATCAAATATTAAGGGATGAAAGTCTTCTAGATTCAACTGGAAAGTCGGATACTCGGGTTTGAATTTTGTTAAGCAGAACATGAAATATGGCAATATCTTTTATTTTCTTAAAATAATTGTTCAGAAATAATTCAGTCAGACCTGAATGGGGATTACAAGATCATTCTCTGCATTCTCTCTTTTGCAGCTTACGTAACACAAGTGACTTTAAGGGAAACCCCGTTTTAAAAAAGGGACATTCATATTATTTTATTGTTTCAGTCCAATAAAAACTAAGAACCTCTATGGTACCCAGGGCATTGAAAACCCAGTGTTTGATACCTATACTGGCTCAAGTGACGTAAGCATATATAGTTTCTAGTCAACCTTAACTCAAACCTTTTTTTTTCTTTCTCTGCCTTCGTAGGCCTCCTTCCAGAAAAGCTCGTTCAATTGGCATAGAAAATCCCTCATATGACATGCCAATGACGGATGTAAGTCTTACAGCTTGAAGCAGCCTGTGCTTTTTGGTAGCTTTAAGTAATTAGTTCAGAATATATAAGGATTACATCTTATTAATCTGAGGTTAAGGTTCTCTTAACCTGATGCTTAAATCCTGCTGTTTCCCTCTATGGATGATGGATATTTTTGCACATCGTTTATGACTAATATTAGTAAGTGATTTAGCAACAAATACACAACTTTTTTTCCATATTATCAAAATTTTAAAATAATTTCACTTCATTTACTTGTTGAAAATTTGAAATTTAAAATCATGCATTGAGTCTTATAATGACACATGAACTGGCATATACATCGAGACACCGTTTTGAAAGAATAACAGAGAAGTTGACAATGGAAAATTGTTAAAGTGCAATCAACTTTGCATTTTGGATTAAACATTCAACCTTAATGCCTGTAAAAATGCTTTTAACTTCGATAAGTTGATCTTCAAGTTTATAAAAAAATTTGTGTTATTTCAGTTTGCAATGAACGAGTTACAAGACATGAACGGAACTGGCCAGGTCAGCTAACAAAATTTACCTTATTGTTATTGTTGAAAAAATATCTAAATTGTTCCCAAGACTTGTTTTGTATTAAGTAAAAATTTTAAGGATAAATAACTGCATCCATTAATTTGTTGTTGCTGTTATTGAAATGATGCTAAGAGATGTTTAAACCTGTTTTTTACAGGGATCATTTGTAAATCCTATTTATGGAGATGTGAGTGAATCATAACAGGGACTTAACTGAACTCCCACTGCCAATTATCATACAACGACCAAACCTTAAAGAACATCTACCGACATTTAACGACTATTGACAGACAAAATCATAGAAAGAGGGAAATGACACTTTGTTTTATTTTTTTTCCTAAACAAACTTTACATAAAATGTGAAATGCAATGTTGTTAATTTGGCTGATTTTTTATTCATGACTTCGACAATATTATTATCAGTTTAAACTTACGCAATTTCCACAGTTTTTAAAAAACCCTTCAAGTATTGGTTTTTACATACCAGTATTTTACTTTTATTAATTTAAGTCCAATAAATCATATATGCAAACAGCGTTGTTGTTTCTCTTTATTTCATAGAGGTAAAATTCTGTCAACAGATGGGACACTGTTGGGAAGACGGTACATAATCAAAGGTGTCGATTTGCATGCACTACAGTTCACAATAATCCGATTTCGCTGTGACTCGCGTTTCTTTTCGACATAGATAGAGCTTTGATCAGGGAGTTTCTTTAAATTTTGGCAAAGTTAACGATACGATTAAAAAGCATTTTAGTCTCTGCTGTTTTAACGGCGGCTTCGAAGTTCGTAGATGTGTGTAAAGATGTCTTCATACATGTAGCAAAGAATCTTGACAGACTACATTTAATCAATTTTATTGACAACACAAAGACAAAATATTCTCTGCCTCCTTTTCACTATGATATACAACCAAAATGGAAGGAAAAAAGAAAAAAGGGTCAATTTTTTGAAAACCCGTGAATTGATGCATCTGCCTAATATGGCATTTAAAGTTTTGTGAAAAAAAGTCTTGCAGCAAAGAGACCATAGAGCGAAGAGTACTCCGTTTTCTTGATTCCAAATGATATATAATACTGATAATATTAATAGTTAAGAAAAACATTACAAATCTGCAGGCGCAACGTTTAAACAAGATGATAACATCACTGGATGTTTTAAATGCATAGATCTAGTGAGCTACAGATTTAAGATATCGACTGCAGGTTAACATAAGCTGGAAAGCTTTTAAACGATCCATCTATGAAACTGCGACTTCCTTATCCACTTAATAATGCTAAAACATGGCCATGTTTTTTTGTTTTTTTTTCATAATAAACTGCAGATTGCTGTTACAGTATATTGTGCCTTAACATAAATTGCCTTCTTTTTGGCACGATTACCTTCTATCTGGATATTAATATCGATTTGTTTACCGAGGGTTGGATATCAAATAAATGATTCAGAATGTGTTACATTTAGTCTTTTTCTAGAATAACTAGTACATTGACAATAGAAAAAAGGTGTTGCGCGTTAATAAAACAAAAGCTCATTTCCAAATATCTCATGAACAAATCTTTTGCATGAATTACCAAAATATGCAAAAACAAAACTAACAAATTGGTAATCATACACCTCAAAACCAGCCAATTAACTACCTTTGCGCAAAAAGTCACTATCTTTTTTACTTCTTTGCGTTGGGTCCAGTATTTAAAGCTATTCTCAAACACTCAAATCAGAAAAACAAATTACGAACTTAACAAAATTCAACTGTTCTTAAACTCTAGCACCCCCCCCCCACCCCCGACAAAAAAGTGGTACAATGTTGTCAGGAAGGTCTAACAGAAAATCAAATAATGTCTCAACTCCAAATATCGTTAACTCAATCGAACAAAAAACTGGGCAAACTTACAATATTTGCCCATGGGTGCAAAATCAGCATTAATACAGCTGTTAAATCGAAAACTGTAACCTATTGAAGCGCTGTACAATCACCAAGTACAGGAATAATGCAAAAATATTGAAAATAAGTCAGTCTTGTCTAGATATTTTTTCTATGCAATAAATAACGTGTACTCAATTAAAATGGCAAAAGTAGCCCGCATAAAACTTCTTTTGTATTTTTTAAGTGAAACAATAAGTGCTCTTGATTTTCTAATAAGATATAAACAAAATTTATCGTAAACCATCCGACCCAAGGTGCAAAGACCCCCTGCCTACCCAAACAGGACCTAAGAAGTGCTGGAAAGTTTAAATCTTGTTTACGATGTTAAAAAATACAATCAAAATTCAATAATAAAAGCCCTTACCTAAATCCCATTTCTTAGTGCAAATCACTTAAACACCGTTGCATTCGTAATAAAGATGTAAGTGAAAATATAATAGTTGAGTCTAACATAAAAGAGGTATTTATCCCAAAGACCATGATATCTATCGCTGCTCACCGAATACAATATATGCCGGAACACACTGTTAAATACAACTTAAAATACATTCTATCTTTAGGATTTTCCTTTTGCCTCTTAATGGAATGAGTCAAGTTTTTGTGTCTGCATGTATACTTTCAGCCCATTATACGGCATTTGGTTCTTCCGGGCTGGGCTTTTCGTCCACTGTTTCATTAGTAGCTGTCTCTGATACCGAAGCCTTCGATGAGCTCTGCAGATCGGTATTAGCGGTTGGGGGAACGACTGTGGGAGTTTTTTCCACAAAACAGCGTGCTGGTAGGCATGTCTTGAACAAACTGAGAAGCGTCCCCATGAAGCGTTTGTTGGTAAAGGAGTACAAGAAAAAATTCAAAGAGAGATTAAGGGTAATTGTCAAATCGGCAAAGAGACTGTACCTATGCAAGTCCAAATTCGTAAGCAGCGCAGCCTCATCATAGGAGTTAAACAAAAATATACACCTATAGAGCAATTTCCAAACTTGAGAAAATACAAACATGATATTGACAGCAATGATCATGAGAGTAATGCGATTTTGCTCTTTTTCTCTAGCATCCATTCCTGCCGAATTTTGAATGGCCATTTTGCGAGCATTTGCGGTGCTGGCTTTCAGAGCGATGATAAGTCGAATGCTGAAAAATATACTGAAAATCCAGGGCAGAAGGACGTTCACTAAGGATCGGACGTTTGTGAAGATTGCATTGTATTCCATGCTAAAGACAAACTCATCAGGGACTACTATAAGCTCTGTTACTTCGACACCGTCAACAACTCTGGTCTCATAAAAGGTTGAAAATGTGAAGAAGGTCGGTATATTAAAGAGTATGTTGTAAAGGACGATGCCAACGATCGCCCACTGGGCCCGACGCTCTGTACACAATTCACTCGCTTTCATTGGGAACACAACGGCAATAAATCTGAAAACGCTCACAGTGACAATGATCCAGTTGGAAGAGTGTGAAAACATTATACTCACATCTTCACATATAAAAGCGAATACTTGCCAAGCGCTGTTGAGACTTCTTACCTGAACAGGGAGATAATCTTTCTCGCTCAGTGAGTAAAATCGAATATCCCAAACAGCATCTAATAGCAGTTTTAGTGAATCTGTCACAGCAAGGCCCAGAAGGAGTATATGTGTGGCGTTCTTCATGTCTTTTCGGGAAAATATTATGATGTTTAAGGTATTTAACATCAGGCCCATGAAAGCAATCGCGGGCGTGACAACCCCCAAAATATAAAAGTGCGCCCTGACAAAGTCCCATGCCTCTGAAGTGAAGTTGGAAGTGTCATAGGGGTCGTAATAGTTGTACGAGGGATAATCACCTCCGCTGCCACCATCTACCGCACTGGAATTCATGGTCGTAAGTGGTGGTTCAGTCACATTTGCTGTGAAACTGGTGTCATTATATGCATGGGTCTCCGAACTGGTGTTGAGAACTGGTGATGAAATCGCTGAAATCGTAGTGGCATTGGGCTCTTCTGTAGTTTGACAAACGCATAGGATAGTCAAGGTAAGCACAAGCCACCATCTCCCAGATTTGTGCGCCATTGCCCAACAGCTGCACGTAGGCGATTTGCTAAATGGGCAGTTTGAGTTAAGAACTCGCGGTTTATATACATGCACATCTCATCTAAACTGAACCACCCACTGCTGCTGCATGTCTTAACACAGGATACGCTGAACTATGTTTGCTTCCTTTTTAGGGCGTGTCACCAACATGACACGAACTGTTTCGTGGTGGACAATAGGACGTCCTACGAAGTTGCGCTGTGTTTAAGTAATCTTCACCGTGTGGTGTCTAGCAAATCTGATGTGCCTAAAGAGACTTCAAAATGTCAAACAGGAAGCATGTTACATGTGTTATGTATTCTTTATGCATGGACTTCAGCTTTGGCTTCTGTTCACCTGTGTTACCCAGAGAGTTGCCCTTTTAAACTTCTATCGAACTTTGAAAAAAGGAACTTGCTTGCATGTCTTTTTAGGTTTATTCGGGTACACATAAACAGGTAAACGTACATTTACATTGGACTTTCCCTCATTTCCAATTTTTCGACGATGTTTCTTACTTTCGCAATAGAATGCTTCAAAGTGTGAATATTACTGTTAGATGCAACGTGGCTTTTATATCGTCTTTATCATCATGAATCACCGAGCTATTCCATACGAACCAACCGCAGTACATTTGATGTCAAGAGTAATCCCGTACTATGAACGTTACACTATTGTATAGCAAATAATGAATTTTCCTAGAAATTCCGACGATTTTCCCTTAACTATGGCATGTTCTCTCCAAACCGCCTTGAAAATTATTAACTAGGAACCATTTTTGAGATCAAAGTTTGTAATCATTAAGTCCGTCTTGCAATTAAGATTAAAGATGGTCTATTATTGGCTCGGATTAAAACTTTAAACTCGGAAAACGGATTTATAGATCGCAACTATGTAGAATATACTTGGGTGTTTATGGAAAAGTTGATAAAACGTCCATTAATTGTTCTATATGACGGTGTATTGCGCATTTTATGCCTTTCTACATGTGCATACACTGGGATGTAGTGAATTCAGTGTACCCAGACAATTTCGGTTCCATTACCAAAACAGCTCTGCTACTCCAGTGGTGCCGAAAAGTAAAAGCTATGAAGGAATATTATAATCGGCATTTTTTTCTTTATATTACATAAAGAACAAGATTCAATATCTCACCCGTATCACCAGTTTAAATTTGCCTACAAACAGTACATACAAACCCATACTCTGACAGTTTATTTAGGCTGTATTCTAGTGCTGATCACCGTGCTTGACTAATGTTCTTTTGGTTTTTCCTGTGAATAAGATGTCATTTGTGGTGTGTAGAAGTTCATGGCATAAAAAAAGGATTAATCAGACATAAAATAGATTAAGGAGAGAAGACCTCAACGGCATGTTTGTCTAATCCTACTGATTACATCCATCATTCAGAAGAATGTGGATTTTCTTTACTTTAGTTGCCGTGCTATTAAGATGCCATGATGTCTTAATGTCCATTAAACAAGAGACATCGCCGTCAATTGTCTAGAGACACAGAAGTATCTGAAGTATAAATATGAACATCGTGTCCTAGGCACAATACGGGCGTGGGTTCGTGTTTTCGAATCCATCTATTTTAGTGTCATCTCTGTGTACGGTTTTAACGTTCTTTTACAGTTACTTTGATCGATTTAGCGGAATACTCGATGTACATGTATGGGCTTTGCCGTGCGAGATGAATCGTCAGTGTTTTTTCTAAACTATTTCGCTATATATGATAGAAGCATTTCACATTTAGGATCAAATGTAACTTTTTAAAGAGATTTGGTTGTTAGAAATTTGGTTGTCATCCATCACCTATCCCCCCCCCCCACCCCCAAAATGGTATCTTTACTTATACTAGCGACAAAACTCAGATTGGCTCACTTCGCTGACTTAAAGATTGTCAAATTTTAAGATTGGTTCACTCTTTTATTTTTACCCTTTCCGTTTTAACTTTAAAATATTCCCAGTTCTAGACATGAGCTTGCGCCCTCTCCTCAGCTCCGTTCACCGTGTAGCCCCAGTAGGTCTGTCTTAGAAATGAAAAAGGCCCTTCCATTTTTGATAGGGTAAAATATTTGGAGTGTTATAAACCCCAAATGCCCCAAGTTATTACTTTGATGTTCGGTAACTTCCTATTCTTTGCCATTATGCCATGGCTTAAACACTAAGACTGGGATTTTTTATCCTATCAATGTGGTGAGTTGGCCACCTAAAAGAACTCTCTAGTGACCTTGACCGTTACTATCACAACAAAGCTAGAGAGTACTGCTCAGAAGTCAGTCCCTTCAAAAACGTCAAGGCCAAATTAGCCCTATTACTGACAATATAGGCCTTCCTATCGGTTAGAAGGTATAACTTGTTTCGAAAGGACAAAGAGTGCCCTTTTACTGACGACTTGCAAAAAATGGCTCATTTAGTGCGGTAAGTGGTCTTTAATATTTATTATTTGAGACTTCTTTAATCAAAATCTATAAACAAAAAATAATACAAATATAGAAACGGTTAACAATGATATTAAGGAATACCTAATAGACTACAGATGCTGTGATATCTATACACGTGTTTTAAAGAACGTGCTTAAAATCATGTTATAAAATAAATGGTAGAGGAAATTAACAACTAGCATTTTATTAAGAAACAAGACCTCTGCGGTCTAAGATATTTTACAATCAGCAAAATGTACAAGGAAGATACCTTTGACAATATACGTTATCTAGTTGTGTTTTCGAAACTAGTTTATTCTAAAAGTCTACTTATATATGTTGCTGAATGTAACATCTCAATGTTGTGATTGGTAGTTGGGCTGAAACATTATGATACAAAAACGGCTAATTTTTTTTATAGATTTCTAACAAAAATATACATATTCTATGTAAAAAAATCCACAGGATCAAAATAATAGTTGCAGGGCTGCATAAAAAAATGCATAAAAATATCTTAATTCTACGGTGACCCACTGATGAGTTCTTGCAATGGACATTGCACATAGTTTTAATGAAAATATTATTCACATCCTGCTGTTACATCATCTGAAAGATATGCAAATGAGCTTGCGACAGTGTAGTGCAAATTTCCCTGGAATATTCTGGACATACTTTCTTAAAAGTTCTTGATTTTGGCAAAAACCCAGAAAACATGTTTGGCATTGATCCTTTTTAAATAATTCTAAATGTACACCATTTGTGTGGAAGGTGGCCAGTTTGACTAGCCAAGTTATGGATGACTTCTAACTATTGCTTTGCATTTTCTTCAAAAGAGTCATGCTTTGGATGACTTCTTACTATTGCTCTACACATTCTATATATAAAATATGAATAAAAAAATAATATGTCTGATGTGCCTTTTTAAAAAAAACGAGTGAAACAGTACATTATGAATATTCTTTGGCTTTGGCAAAGGACGGAGATTCTCAGAAAATATACATTTGAGCAATTTAATGTTCAATTATATACAGGAAAGTGCATTATTGCTTTATACAACCAGGTTAATCTCTTTTGGTCAAAATACCACTGAGGTAATATGTTGTAAAATTGTGCAAAAACATTTGTATTCTTAGTCACCCAGACTAAGATACAGTTTTTTAAAATATACATGTATTTACATTATGTCCTGGGTGCAGAACAATATTATGGTGTTGCATAAATACTGCCTGGAACATTATCACAAAATATTTGCAAACTTTATTGAATTTTGGAAGCACGTCTTATAAATAACGTGGCACTTGGAGCAACGGAAAAATCTCTTTTATATTCTAATGTTTTGACTTCTTATCTCTTTTCTTTTCCTTTTCCTTGTCGCCTTTCTTTTTGCTCTTTTTATCCTTTTTATGAATTGGGTCTGATCCCATGTCCCCTAGTGCAGATTCTTCCAGCTTGTATTTGTCTTTTTTGTGTTTACTGCTATGTGATTTTTTCTTGTCTGTTTTATCCGACTTTTTCCCGGACTTGGAGCTGTGGCGATCAGAGCTATCGTTCATTACCGAAGCAATTTTAACAAATTTCTGCAAATCGGCCATTTTCAGCACGTCCTTCTTTTTCCTAGAGTAAATTAAAAGCACAATAATTGAGGTTAATTTATGTCAAAACTGAAAAAACCAGTTTATTTTTTTCATATATTAAACAAATGAATCATTCTACGAACTAAAGGCAAGTGACTGCAGTAAGAAATTAGAATAATAATTTGAAATCTGGCAGCATTGCTACGACACGCATTTTCCGTGTTGAATGTTGATTTACCTGTGTTTTTTGTGCTTCGTTTCATCTTCATTTACTACATATTGGCCTGTTGTTTTACTTCTTCTGCTACGTCCGTTAGCTTCGACTTTCCTGCAACACCAAAATTAATTATAAGAATTTATCTTACATGTGAAATTCCATAACTCCAATATTCTTTGAATGAAAAGGGCTCTCTATCAGCGAGGTTGCCTTAAACATTGTGTAGATCGCGTTATGCCGTACTAGTGAGAAATATGTCACTTACCCTATATCAGTGAACTCTGGTTTAACAGTAGGAGATGAACCCATCGGTCGAATTTCTGTAAAAAATATAATGATATTGTTACCTGTAAAGTTTTCAGACAATGTTTGAATAATCACACAATAAGTAGCGAGTGCCGAACCCATATGTATGAAACTTTGATTAATCAGCAATAAAGTGGTAATAACAAAATCAAAAATAAAAGCGTATCCAGTGCATGGAGATATTGACTCATGACAATATAAAGAACAATTTACTTTTGTTTTTCTGAGGTATCATGCATGATGCAAAGACCTGATGCCAGTATAATCTCGAAAATGAATTCTACCCACCTTCTTTGCAACGACGGCAGCAGGGGCAGCACCATATGGACAATACCACCAGAATGACAACAAGGATGAGGCCAACAACCAAGCCAACCACCAAGAAACCGATCTCCATGTTGCTCATCCCTTCAGTGGGCACATTGTTGTCTCGTGACCCAGTCGTCTGGAACGCCACGGTGTCATTAACGCTGATGCAGAACTGAGATAATACTCTGTTACTGTCCTTGGTGTCGCGACACCTGTAACAGCCCGCGTCGCTTTGGGTGATGCTTTGGAATTCCAAAAGGGTTCCATACGTTTTGCTTGTCATCAGCGTCTCCACTCCGGCGTTTAACCTGTACCATTGAAGACCGGTGACATCTTCGTTGGATGAACGGCAGTGGAAAATGTGATCCCCTCCTGTCTTGAATGTCAATTTCAAAGCATGTTCGATAGCTGGAATGACAAACGGTGGGTCATTTTACCATAATTGTCTCTCCAATATCCAGACAATTTTTAAAAAGACTACGATTAGCGTAAAGAAAAATAGAAATAAGATAGAAGAATAAAAACAAGGTCAAAATGGAGACCACGAAAACAAATGAAATGGACATTGTGACGGCAATTTTATAATTACTATGTACCTATACCTGAGACACGATATTATGATACTTACGCACTGCCGTTGCTGAGGTGATAGTTGTGACAGTGGTGGGAGGAGCAGTGGGCACAGCTGAAATGTATGATAATATTGATCGTTACTACAATAAATCATCTGATTATTTGATTGATTAATTTTTGCACGTTTTATTTGATTAAAAATGGATTTGCTAGAAATTCCCGAATAACTGATGATAAGCTCACATACTTGTTATGATTTGATAATTCATTGCGTCTGATGCTTGGATTGTGCTGCCATCGGGGGCCGTCAGTGTGAACGCATTTCTGTTCACGTCGTTATTCAAGGAAGTCATCACGGCACTTTGAGAAGGTTCGCTGCTACCTACCGGAGGGGGTAGGAGGTCGAAATCAACTATTATACTACCTAAAACATAAAAATGTATGCTTTTAAAATATGCAAAATCTAGATTATGCTGGGAAGAGGTCAAGGGCTCCTCCTAGCATGATTTCTGTTTTTAAAATAAGCTCGAAAAGGAGCACGCCTGTTATCAGAAAGCATGTTTTTGTTCTTATATTTAATCATCCTGTGCTGAAAAATATCCCTTGTCATAACTCTCAGTAATTTTTACAATAGGTATTGCCAGTTCAAATTCGGACGCATACCTTGTCTTAAGTCCATGTTTGCGATTCGTGATTCAGAGACACTCAGTTTTGATGCTATCTGTGGTTTGAGGACAGTAATGGCCGCTGCCTTGTCCACGCCGACCACGGTGTTGTAATCCCCTGGAAACCGCACCTCAACGTCCACACTGGCGTCATCTGGGATGATGATAGGGGCTGAAAGGAGACCCACAAAACGTGAAATACATGAAGATAGTAGGCGTGGTAAGGGTGATAAGGTGGTACAGTGTGAAGAGAGCTTTCTTGAATCACAAGCCTAACTTAGGCCTAACAAAAAATGAATGCTGGTAGCGGTTGTCACTTGTAAGAACGTCGCGGGCGCGTGCAATGCCGTTTTTGTCGATGTGGGAAGTTGTTGATGACTTGGTTGATGAGCTATAAGCGAAAGCAATGTGCTAGTTGAGATTCTCTGTGCCTTGGCTGAATTTAATACTCGCATGTATGAAGTACTGGTCCGTAGCCGGGGGGGTGGGGGTGGGGGGTGGTTCGAAAAACTGCCCCTTTTGCTGGGTAAAGGTCCACTCTGGGTAAAATTTGACCTAGGTACATGAAGTTTTTATGGCAAAAGGTCCACTTTTTCAGAAAAAGAACCCCCCTTTTGAAATTGCTGGCTACGGGCCTGAAGTACATGTCATACCATAACTGCACTGTTTGAAAACCAAACCTAATTTTAAGGAAAACCCCACACATTTAAACAAATAAAACACAACAAAAGAAAAAACACAACGACTACGGCTATGACACAACTGTAGTAAACAAACACTAATTTCTTTTGATTGAATGTTACTTTAGAATTAATACGATGATCTGATTAATTTCGATAGTGTGAAAGTTAGAAGGGATTATTTTTACCATAACTGCAAAGTAGTCGTTTTACAGGTAAAATCATTTTGTCTATGAAAGTGTTTTTAATTGCAATCTAGTCTTAAGAACAAAGCGGAGATCTCAGGAAACTCGTGGAACGAGAAAGGCAGCTGCAAAATATTCTTACCTGGGGTAGTGGTCGTAGGCGTCGTAGTAGTAATGGGTGTTGTAGTTGTTGTAAGGGCAGTTGTGGTCGAAGGGGTCGTCGTAGTTGTGGTGGTGGTGGTAGTCGTAGAAGTAGTGCTTGTCGTTGGTGCTGTCGTTGTTGTAGTGGCAGTCGTGGTGGTAGTAGGTGTCGTAGTAGTGGTTGTAGTTGTTGGGGTAGTTGTAGTTGGTGCTGTCGTTGTTGTAGTGGCAGTTGTGGTCGTAGGAGCCTCAGAGGTTGTTGTCAAGGGTGCAGGGGTTGTTGTCGCGCGTGTAGTTGCTGTGGTAGTTGTTAATGATTGCGTTGTTGTTGTACTTGGTAACTTGGTGGTTGTGGTTTCTGTTGTAGTAATTTGTGCTGTTGTTGTTGTAGGCGTGGTTGTAGTTGTTGGTGGTTCTGTTGGTGGTGGTGTAGTTATTGGTACTTCGGTGGTGGTAACTGGTGATTCAGTTGTGGTAAATGTGGGTAATTCAGTTGTAATTGTGGTAGGTGTAACTGTAGTGGTGGGTGTGGTTGTAGTGGTAGGTGTAACTGTAGTGGTGGGTGTGGTTGTAGTGATAGGGGTAGTCGTTGTTGTCGTTGTCGTCGGCGTAGTGGTTGCGGTCGTGGTAGGTACGGTGGTTGTCCCTGAATAAAGAAGGAAAACAAATTAGTAAAACTTCACAAGATCATCACTCCAAGCTGTGAAAATAAACTTGTAAAATATTAGAATAAGTTTATAGTTCCGACAAAATCCAAATTGTTTTCTTAATTTTATTCGCAAAATATAAGCAGATCTTACCAACGTTAATTTTCGCCTCCACGGAATGTCTGAATCGTCCAGGGGCGGAGTTGAACGTGTATTCATTTTTGAGTACCGGCCAAGGAAAAGGAGTACCAGTGTCAAGATTGTAGTAGTATTCTGTTGTGAAGGCGGAGCTATAATCAAAACTGATGACGTCAGCAACCAAGCTGTAGCCCCAACCATAGAAAGACCCCTCTTGGATCCAGGGTTTGGGATCCGTAACATTAAACTGAAATGTATTAAACTGAAGTGTAAAAACATGAACCCAGACACAAACGTCCATACATGCATATATCTATTAAGAAATATCATCTTTTTTTTTTTTTTTTTTTTGCAAACATATTACGAATTTCCATCAAAACTTGTAAACATCTAAACTGCCTGCTTGGCATATCTTTGTAAACGTACCGTTTGAAACCCTTTTTTGTTGGATAGTGTTACATCCAAGTAGTAGTCCAACCTAAACACGGTTCCACTTCCAATACGGCTCCATATGAAAAACCTGGCTGGAGTTTCTGTGTCTACGTCCTGATGAATGTAGACAATAAAACTCTCTAATATCCCTTGAGACAGCGGGAATGCAGTTTCTACAAATGCTTTCCGAGAACCTCCCTGGTTGTAATAGCGCCGCTCCTTAGCCTCGCCAAATGGTGTCAGCACAAAACCACCTAAAATAACATTGGGATTAAAAAAGTGAAAATGTCATGATGACGTACAAGAAACTACTGATACAAAAGGATATTAAGCACTTAAAAAACTGCACATCTAGCAACATAAATAAACACGCACTCGCTCACAGGTTGATATAACGTTGTATCATTAAATAGAAGTAAAATACATTGCTCAACTTACTTGATACTGTCGTAGTAGTAGTGGGTGTGGGAGTAGTTGTAGTGGTTGTGGTTGGTGTAGTGGTTGTAGTTGTTGGTGTAGTTGTAGTCGTTGGTGTGGTCGTAGTCGTGGTTGTTGGGGTAGTAGTTGCAGTCGTAGTCGAAACGGTTGTGGTTCCTTTAATAAAAGAAAAAAGATGGAGCGAATATTAGATGTCACTATTAGAACACGGAGTACTTAGAACCAATAATTAATGCCAAACATTTTTCACAAACATATTTCACAAAGTTTGATGTAAAATAAAATAATATGTCTTTTAATTAGAAATCTATTACTGACAAAGCATATTATCCTATAATTTAGTATTTTCTTTTCTTTTTTCTTACCGACGTTGATTTTGACTTCAACAGAATGTCTGAATCGTCCAGGGACGGAGTTGAACGTGTGCTCATTGTTGAGTACCGGCCAAGGAAAAGGAGTACCAGTGTCAAGATTGTAGTAGTATTCTGTTGTGAAGGCGGAGCTATAATCAAAACTGATGACGTCAGCAACCAAGCTGTAGCCCCAACCATAGAAAGACCCCTCTTGGATCCAGGGTTTGGGATCCGTAACATTAAACTGAAATGTATTAAACTGAAGTGTAAAAACATGAACCCAGACACAAACGTCCATACATGCATATATCTATTAAGAAATATCATCTTTTTTTTTTTTTTTTTTTTTGCAAACATATTACGAATTTCCATCAAAACTTGTAAACATCTAAACTGCCTGCTTGGCATATCTTTGTAAACGTACCGTTTGAAACCCTTTTTTGTTGGATAGTGTTACATCCAAGTAGTAGTCCAACCTAAACACGGTTCCACTTCCAATACGGCTCCATATGAAAAACCTGGCTGGAGTTTCTGTGTCTACGTCCTGATGAATGTAGACAATAAAACTCTCTAATATCCCTTGAGACAGCGGGAATGCAGTTTCTACAAATGCTTTCCGAGAACCTCCCTGGTTGTAATAGCGCCGCTCCTTAGCCTCGCCAAATGGTGTCAGCACAAAACCACCTAAAATAACATTGGGATTAAAAAAGTGAAAATGTCATGATGACGTACAAGAAACTACTGATACAAAAGGATATTAAGCACTTAAAAAACTGCACATCTAGCAACATAAATAAACACGCACTCGCTCACAGGTTGATATAACGTTGTATCATTAAATAGAAGTAAAATACATTGCTCAACTTACTTGATACTGTCGTAGTAGTAGTGGGTGTGGGAGTAGTTGTAGTGGTTGTGGTTGGTGTAGTGGTTGTAGTTGTTGGTGTAGTTGTAGTCGTTGGTGTGGTCGTAGTCGTGGTTGTTGGGGTAGTAGTTGCAGTCGTAGTCGAAACGGTTGTGGTTCCTTTAATAAAAGAAAAAAGATGGAGCGAATATTAGATGTCACTATTAGAACACGGAGTACTTAGAACCAATAATTAATGCCAAACATTTTTCACAAACATATTTCACAAAGTTTGATGTAAAATAAAATAATATGTCTTTTAATTAGAAATCTATTACTGACAAAGCATATTATCCTATAATTTAGTATTTTCTTTTCTTTTTTCTTACCGACGTTGATTTTGACTTCAACAGAATGTCTGAATCGTCCAGGGACGGAGTTGAACGTGTGCTCATTGTTGAGTACCGGCCAAGGAAAAGGAGTACCAGTGTCAAGATTGTAGTAGTATTCTGTTGTGAAGGCGGAGCTATAATCAAAACTGATGACGTCAGCAACCAAGCTGTAGCCCCAACCATAGAAAGACCCCTCTTGGATCCAGGGTTTGGGATCCGTAACATTAAACTGAAATGTATTAAACTGAAGTGTAAAAACATGAACCCAGACACAAACGTCCATACATGCATATATCTATTAAGAAATATCATTTTTTTTTTTTTTTTTTTTTTGCAAACATATTACGAATTTCCATCAAAACTTGTAAACATCTAAACTGCCTTCTTGGCATATCTTTGTAAACGTACCGTTTGAAACCCTTTTTTGTTGGATAGTGTTACATCCAAGTAGTAGTCCAACCTAAACACGGTTCCACTTCCAATACGGCTCCATATGAAAAACCTGGCTGGAGTTTCTGTGTCTACGTCCTGATGAATGTAGACAATAAAACTCTCTAATATCCCTTGAGACAGCGGGAATGCAGTTTCTACAAATGCTTTCCGAGAACCTCCCTGGTTGTAATAGCGCCGCTCCTTAGCTTCGCCAAATGATGTCAGCACAAAGTTACCTGACAAGTTTAAGAATGAGTTGTTTGAGGCTAACTGAGAACATAGGTGTAATATTTTCAAATAAAAGTAACGTGCGAAAGTACTTAATTTATTTTTTTAAACCGGAAATCATAATGACGCTAAGCCAGGTAATATAAATATATCTTACTCGGCTGGGTTGTAGTAGTTGTAGTCGGCGTGGTTGTAGTTGTCGGCGTTGTCGTCGTGGTGGGAGTGGTTGTCGTCGGTGTTGTGGGTGTGGTTGGAGTGGTTGTAGTTGTCAGCGTGGTAGTTGTGGTAGAGGGCGTGGACGTCGTAGTTGGTGCCGCAGTGGTTGTCGTTGTTGGTGCTGGGGTTGTAGCTGGAATATAGAATTATAAAAAAGTTAACATATATTAGGGTCATTTTACGAGTATCATTTACCTCAAATGATAAGTGGCATTTCATTTCGATTATATTTCTTAATGGATTAAGCTTTTACGAAACTAAAACTGGCATACATACCAACGTCAAGTGTCAACATAACAGAATGCCTGAACCTTCCTGGAGTCGAAACGAAAGTATAGGTCTGGCCCTTCTCTGGCCAAGGAAACGGCGTGCCAGTGTCAAGGTTGTAGTAGTATTCAGTGGTAAAGCCAGAGTTATAATCAAAGCTGATGACATCTGCTACCAAGCTGTAGCCCCAACCGAGAAATGAGCCGGCTGGTACCCAGGGTTTGGGGTCTGGCACGTCGAACTAAAAATAATACGATCACACATAGTCTTATTTGAAATCAATTTGCGAGATAAATGGTTTATAATTTTGATTTTGATTTGACTTGCGTTTCCTTTGAAGAAGAAATAACGATTTTATTGATTATTAACCGTTCATTAAACATGATTTTACTTTATCCATGTTAGTCTTTTGATTTTCTACAAATCAATTCGTGTCGCAATCGCTTGCATAAGAATTAGTAACTCTTGTTTTCTAGACTTGTCTCATTTCTGATTTATACTTGAATGAGAATTATGCTTAAGTCTTTCCTCTTACCTCTTCCAATCCTCTTGTTTTTGGCAAAGTAGCGTTTATATAGTATTCCAACCTGAAATTTGCCCCAGTCCCCACGCGCGTCCAAATGAAAAACCTTGCTGGAGTTTCACTTGCCACATCCTGATGAATAAACACCGTGAATTTTGTAACATACCCCTCCGACAATGGGAACGCGGTTTCAACAAACGCCTTGCGAGAGCCACCTTGGTTGTAGTAGCGCCGCGCTACAGCCGACCCGTAGTTTACAAGGGTAGCTGAAATATAATATGATATGTTTCATATAAGAAGCACTACTGTCTTCGTAATGTGTATGACATCAATTGTTAAAACTAAATATTCAATGACTGTTCATTCTTGATGGCAAGAAGTCAGCAGACACCTCATGTCAGTTAAAGTGAAAAAAAAAACAAGCAAAACGCAAACAAACAACGATTCTATAGTCGTGCTCGACAGTAAATTTATCTTCATCTATTTTATAAAAGTCTTCATGAGTCTTGCACATGCTGTTACCCCTGTAAGTTCCTCACCTGGTTTTGTGTCGTTGTTATTATTTTTTACATTTATTTCAGAGTCTTTCCATTTCAACAGATTGAAATTATTATCTCAAAGTGATATACTGAATCTAAAACCATCCCTTACCTTGTGACGCCACTTTAGATACTATGCCGATCAGAATAACAAGCAGTCCAAAGCAATCCATGATAAAATAGCTTTGTGTCCGGTGAATTATCCAGTGGTGTACACCTAGAATGCGAAAAAAATTTAGACAATTTTAGAATAGATGAAAAATTTTAAAAAAGCAATGATAAAAATTAACAGTACTGGTAACTGTTGACGTGAGCTTATTACTAAAGCATAATCTCAGATGGGCTGCCCTAAAGGTAGAGGCATACTACATCTAGTACATACATGTTCTAACGGTCCCTCATACTAACTAATACTTTTCTTTCGTATTTACTTTTAACGAGGTTGAATGCAAGTAGGCAACTACTCATGGGTCTTTTCTTTAGGATCGATATGTATCAACAAAACTCAGCTGGACTTCAACCTCTCTCCGTTTCCACTTAAATGTCAAGACCTCTTCTACATTGCAACCTCCCCTCTTATACTCCCACAGACCCTAACAACTTCGGCCATCTTTTGTCAAACCTTATGGCCTTATGGGCATATTTGTAATTATGGTCTTGGTTATACAAGTATAGCAACCAAAATAATCTTGGAAATATATAAGAATGCGAATAAATAATATTGCTTAACTTGCCTTACCTTTAATTAACGTCTGTCTTCAACGAGAGCCTTTTGTCCCGTTTCCATTTATCGCACTGCTCTCTAAATACAAAAGAAATGTTGTGAACTTGATCCGTGTTAAATGTCAGGCAAGAGTCCGATTTTCGTCTTTTTTGTAATTGTTCAATTTCTAGCACTTCTACAATCACTCTGCTTGTTACAGATCAATCCTTGTCACTCAGAGTTCTGGTACAAAACACTGTGTTTCTACTCAGTCTAGTAGCAACCCACCATATCACGTTGTTTAATGTTGGAAATAGGCTTCATCACTTTCCATACTTTACATAACAGCCACTGCACGTATTTGCTGTGGAGAAGTTACAACAATGCCGTGTAGCAACGGGACAATAGCCCCACTCGCGGTTAATGCATTTGTCGATCAGATGTAAACACACTGCTACAGTACAGCACAACTAACTGGAGTTCGAGCATGCGCGTTGGGCACGGGGTTATTAAGCATAAATCTTTTGTCAATCTTTTGAATACCTGACACAGCAGCAAATTACAAAGTCTTATGTTAATACATAGAAATAAAATTACATAGAAATAAAATTTGAGGTGCACTCTTGGGTTTTGACAATGAAGTTTTGAAGTTAGAATATTACAGGAGTACACTTGTGTGTGTGTGTGTGTGTGTATGTGTGTGTGTGTGCGTGTGTGTGGTGTGTGTGTGTGTGTGGGGGGGGTATTCCCACTGGTGGAAATCGTGTACAAAAAATTTCTTATCTGGATTAAATAAATATCAGCAATGGAGATCTTCATATCAGAAAGCGTTTCATCAATTATAAACAACGTTAAGTTTGCCTTTATTACATTGTCTATTGTGTGCACAATAGAGTCACTTTATCAGATGCACCCATTTTCTTCAGTTATTTAAAATTGCGGTAGATGATCAAGAACGCACTGCGCCACAATGTGTGAAACTAGTACACATCAGTTTAGACGTAAGGAAATACAGGCGAAAAAAACAGCAACAGCATAAAATAACACACCTTGAGGGCACACAAGGATATCATCATTAAAAAGAAAAAAGAAAATGATTAAAGACCGTAAACAGCGTTTTCATATCCACTGACCACGTGCCATCGATCACTTTCTCATGATAGGGCGATAAGAGACCAGTGCGTAGTTACCAATCCGATTTAGATCACAAAATCGGAATGAAGTCTAATGTAATGAATTAACTCCATGGTAACAGTTTAAACACAAGGACTAATCCTAAGTTTGTTCATGATCTTTCAGATTGAATGAACATACAGCTAAGGGTACATGCGTCTACATAGTGGACCTAACTCGAGGTAACCGGTAGGTAAGGTTTACCGTTCATTATTCTAAATGAAATGAAATAATATTTTAAGATTACTTTTTCAAAAGTGAAACTACTTTCACTACTCCTATGTCATATCTACCGGTACGTGTTATTTCTTGCTTCTTACCTATGTCCTTCGTTCAATATAATATTTGCTCTTGAGAAATATGATATACTGCTATCTAGATGCGTACATTGTTGCTTATAAAAGTACAATACAAAATTTCATACCGTTTAATCTTTGCCATCATCCCTAGTTAATTTTAATCATGTTACATATCTTTCATATTGGTTATTATCCATTTGTTTTCTTTGCATTTAAAATTTCGTTTCTCACATTTAAATTTAGGGGGTCCCAGTCAGAATACATTATACCTTATATTTATTTCCTTCCGTTAGGAATAATGGCGAGCAGCTTGCGATCATCTGTCCGACCTAAGAGATCAAAACAACCATGGGGAACCATTATAAAGCCTGAATACGGACTGGGTCATCAGCGGATGTCAGAGTATGAGGTCGAACAGGCTGTTACCAGGTTGTACACGGTGCCTATGAGAAGGGAGCCGGTCTTTGAAAGAAGGAATCCAAATCCCAACACCCATTTAGGCAAAGAAGAAATTGACAAGATGGTAAATGAAGAACGTCTCATACATTGTTATGGATGCTGACCCATTCTCTTTAAGTTTAAGGCACAAAACCTATTTCTGATCGTTAGTTTTCTCGTATGTCTTATGATTCGCACCCCCATATAATTTCACATATACTTTTTTCTGATGCAGAGAAATATATTTTACGTCGGTTTTTTTTAGCTGTTTAGCTTCAAACTGGGGGAATTCACCCCCTCTATCAACTGTAGGTACATTAATTGTCTTTTATCAATATTTAAACAATATAAAAAAATAGTTCCTTGTATTTTGACGTCTTCTGTTGCAGTAACAACAATTTCTACTCCCCGACTCCCCCGTCTCTCTCTCTCTCTCTCTCTCTCTTTCTCCCTCCCTCTTTCTCTGCGTGCGCGCGAGCGCTCACCAGTGCGTGTACAATGTATGTGTTTGTGAAACAGACATAGCATAACTATATAGCCAACAGGTAGAAGACTCCATCAATTGATTATTTCAGATTCAACGCCTAAACGAATCCGCCGCCAGAAAGCCAAATCCACGTCAAGACTTTGGGATCATTCAGTCGTACGCTTGGCGTGGATATAACTGACAACTGGTAGACGCAAATCAATCACTAGGGATAGACTTATAGGTCGTCTAAGTAATTATAGAAAAAGGTCACGCACTTGCTTTCTCGGTAGAATCCAGCGGAGACAGATTGAAACTATCTTGTTAATTATGTTCAGAGATATGTTTTCATTTCCTATTGATCAGTCTACATGATGTTTTGATACTTTGTATATATTGGGGATGTCACCTGTCGAAATTAATACATACATGTTTGTAACTGTGTGGAACTATTTTACAGAACTATGTTTTAATGCGGCAGCATTACATGGATTATTGAGTACGATAAAGACAGTATGCTGCATGTAAGAAGATGAACTTTTCCGCACGAGAACAATATGCTTATGGGAAATTAATTGAGTACGAACCACAAAGCATTGATGGATGTATAATTTAATACGAATACAGGTGTGCCAATCAATGAGATAAGAAGCCAAGTTTAATCTCTGTGAAAGCGAGATTTGCGGTCTCTCGAAAGCTTCATAGTTTCTCTGTATCAACAGACCATTTATACAGATATAAATAGCGTATATTTAGATTCACAAGATTGTAGTTTTTCAGCAAAATACGGAAAGAAAACAGGGGCAATTAGTTCATTTCCCCGAAGATGCCTACTGGGAGATAGACTAAACGTCTGAGTTCCAACCATCTGTATGTTACAGTGCCCACTACACTAGATGGTTTTTTTTCCATTCCGATACAATACCCATCTTTTAGTTTAACAAATAGGTGACTGGCGTACATCTCATTCATTTATTTATGTAAGTAATTGTAGATTCATTGCCATAAAAATTAGCAACGGCATTATCGTTTATTTTTTTACATGATATGGCTCGTTTCTCGAGCGGTTTCGTTGTTCGTGACATCTGACGAATTGTAGATGTCATCATCCGAAACCATTGGTCTTATTCTAAAATGTCTTTGCAGCGGTGCTTTTGAAACGGTCTCCTTCTTGGAGCAACTTTGATCCAGTGACTGAGTCTCTGCAATGTCTTTCTCTATGCCAATGCAGCTGAATACTTCACCTTCTATGGCTGCCACTTCTATTGGTCGACTGAGACCGAACGCGCTACGCCTACGCACGACGTACTCCTGGTCACTCGTAGTGCGTCTACTTGCCGTCGAAAAATGACGGACCGGAGTGATGACCAGTTCCTTCCTGCCAATGCCATGTTCCACGTAGTCGGCACCCAGTAGTTCTTCCTCTTCGGTCACTCTGAGCTTTATGGTAACGTCTATAACCTTGAAAAAAAAACGAATTCTTGGATCGTGTGTCTGTACTTCTACTACATTACGGCAAAACATTGTTTTCTATAAAGCGAATGTAAAAGTATTTAATTATTTTTTGAAAAATACTTTGATCGCATGTTTCAAAGAATTTAACCAGTATTTATATATATACAAGTGTTTGTGTAACTATATTCTTAACGGGAAACAAAAAGTAAAAACGTAAAAATCCAGAATAATAATTGTGATTATTGCTAGTACCTTCAAGAGAAGAAACGACGTTACGGCGCTCCAGACAATTATGACAACCGCTGCCAATGTTTGTACTCCAAGCAAATAAAAGCCGCCTCCACGGAAGGCACCTTTTCTCCCGTAAGTAAGGTTCTGGATATTATCCTTTGAAGAAACACAGATAATTAACCCAACAATCAAAATATAGTAAAGAGAACACCGAGTACATGTTCCACTACATACATAGTTGGGCGGCACGCATAAAAGAAACAGCGGCAGGTGACAATGAGAAGCATGCATGTTATTATAAAGAATAAAAGGAATACAGTACTGAACACAGTTGATTGAAAAATCCATGCGAATTGAATGCATAAAAATATTTAACGATCACACAAACCTGATCCACAAATAGTCCGACGCTAAGTAGTCCCCATACACCGCATACGCCATGGACGGACACTACACCGACGGGATCATCTATTTTCATCTTGTCCAAGGCTTTAGGCAACAGTACTGATATCCCACCGCCTAGCATGCCTATTATCAAACCCTCCCATGGGCGAGCAAGGCCACAAATAGCTGAAGATAACAAAATGTAGATTACATACTGTATAACAGTGTGTGTGTGTGTGTGTGTGTGTGTGTGTGTGTGTGTGTGACATGGACACAGAAGCTGGGGGGATGCCTACAATATTGACCACTGTAAACCACAGTTTAGTAGTTTGTGTTTAACCTGTATGTATCAATTTGTCTTTAAAAAATTAGATAACTTAAATGAGGAAAAGATTGCAGTGATATCCGACTTTCATGAAAATTGTGACGTAAGCAGTAAAAAAACTGCATTGCACACTGCCGTACATAAGGGGAAATAATCCTGTAACGGAATATTTGTTCAAAAAGAGTCTTGACAATCACATACCTGTCACTGACACTAACGCACCAAGCACAGAATTTACAAGATCGCCAATGTCAAGTTTACGTTGTCGAAAGATGTAGCTAAAAGTGAAGAAAACATCATCTTTACTTCTCTTGCATCGCACGCATTACCTTTAATGTCAGTTTAACGTATACATTCACAGTTCAGACCAAAGCAAGAACATGCTCCTTTGTCAAGTACTGGAATTAATACATGTAGTTTGGATATAGGCTTTGTGCTAGTCACACATTCCTGTATTGATTATTTGATTTGGAAAAGGCGGCGGTTATTGTTGAAATAATTGACGGCCACTGAAGATTCTTTTCACCAGAAGGCCTCAGTGAAAAATTTTAACTTAATGTCAATTTCTTAGACAATTTCAGTGTGTGAAATAGTGGTGAGAGTCTATTTTGGCCAATGGCAAACCTTTACAAAATATATGGCAGATTAATATAACTATGTAATCAATAGCAATATGACTAACAGCATTTATGAGCTTTATAGATATTTCTATTATAATAATCCCAAGAACTCCAAGAAAAAATTTCAAGAAAAGTAACAAAAAAAAAAGGCACGCGGATATTCAAGAAAACTTTGATGACGGCAAAAGGCATTTGTAAAATATCTAAATCAGTTTTTACTGAGACGGGCGACACACAATTGCAAAGGCTGCAAATAAAATTAATCATAGAATTTTCAGTACAAATTAATGTTAAATCAATGAAAATAAAGAAAAAAAGAATGTCAACAATGCGAGCTTTGTAATATTGCCAAAGAGAAAACAGTTATTCATTTTGGGAATATCCACAGACACATAAAAAACATCCGGAGCTGTGTTACAAATGCCGTGAGAGAATAAATAAATAGGTTTTAAAATGTCGTGAATTGAACGCTGGCTTAGGCTTAAATGACAATAGTATCGTTGTCGAGATATATTTGAATAATTGAATTTACAGGTTGATTGAATTAACCTTCTACATCAGGTATCAGGGAGCAACAAATATTACATTGGGATATGCTGTACTTGGTTTTAAATCGTTCATGGAATCTTTTACCAAAATATGATTTTTCTTACCTCAAAAAGATGCCCACTGCGCCCCCGCCTGCCGATCCATTGACAGTGACAACGGCAGACCTGACATCAAATATAGAAGATGACTTGGTTTTTCTGTTCGTGCAGAAAAGCCCAAAGCTAAGTACATGTTTATGTAGTATCTCTTATAGTCTACAATGTTTTGAACCTCGCACAAATTATTATACCATTAAGATCATTCTTATTTCTTATCATAGCATATGTTCTAACATCCTACGGTTTATTTTGTTAATCGTCATTAATTGCATAGTTTCCATCAAATATATATTTTCCCGCCTACCTTGCCGCTAGTTTCCATTTCCCACCTGATATACCGAAGGTACTGCCACAGTTGAAGCCTAACCAACCCCACCTAAAAGGAAACCAGGTTATACTTCAAGAAACCGCTGTAGCGTGATGTTTTGAGTTGTTTACGATTTGAACTATCCTAATCTGCAAAAGGAATAGCATTGAGAATGATTCATCCATTTTAAGACAAATTCATTAGTTGATTGCAACACTGTCACCATATTGCTATTTTTAAATTGGTCTAAAGAACGCTGTGTATCTATTGAGCGTACCAAAGCATGAACAAGCCAAGCAGTGCGTTTGTCGGATTAGCCATATCATTTTTGTAGTCTGGCTCATAACGCCCTATACGCGGTTTTAGCATGAGAGTTGCCACCAATCCGGTCGTTCCCCCTACCAAATGGACAACGCCAGAACCCGCGAAATCTATCGCGCCCAACTGCTGCAAGAAGCCCACAGGAGACCACAACCAGTGAGTCGGAAAACAGTAAATGAAGGTATTGAAAGTTGAAAACACAATGTACGAAAGCAGCTTGGTTCTTTCCGCCATGGCTCCGGAAACGATGGTTGTAGAGGTAGTCGCAAAAGACATCTGGAAAGTGAACCAGGCAAATGTCCACCCCATTTTGCTTTCATCCGAATCCACCAAGAAATATCCAATTCCACAGAATGGGTTTGCCCAGGGTCCATCGCCAAAGGCGAGTCCAAAGCCCACCATCCAAAATGTTATTCCGCCAAATATGACATCCACTGCATTTTTCACCATTATATTCACTTCATTCTTTCCATGAACTGCTCCCGACTCAAGCAACCCAAACCCTGAAATTATTAAATGCTGTCATATATCCATACGTACTGGAATTGCTAACAGAATATTGGGAATTTTAAAAAAATTATTAAAATACTTTTTATCAATAAGCACCAACCAATTCTAAATCTCTTTCTTCTTTTTTTTATATTGACCTCTAACCATATTATAGAAAACAATTTTAAGACTGCCGAACGAAAAGATGGTTTCGGTTTGAGCCGTACCTGACTGCATCGTGAAAATAATAAAGGAACTGGTGAGGATCCACGTAGCATCGTCCCAGGTGATTTGCTCAATTTCTTGTAAACTTCCTCTTCGAAAATATGACAGATTTTCGTCCGCTGCTAAGGTCTTGTTAAATCCCGCCATTTCTTCTTCACCATAATGAGGTTACATTATTGTTACCAAAGTCTGTGACACACGTTTCCACTTCAGCAAAATGAATTTATCGCATGATTGATCGAAGAAAGCTACACCCGGCGATTCTTGTGCCGTATTCTGATTTACGCATAATGGTTTCTCTTGTACGACAAATGTTATCTTTTACACGTTAGGGTGATGACGTCCAATATGACGAAAAGATGAAAGGTCATATCTTGCTTTCGATAATTACAGCCATGGTCTCACTTCAAAAATAATAACGGTGTTCTATTGGGGTGTTTGGCTTTTTTCCGTGTTTGCAAAAATTAACACCAAATTTTGAAATTTAGATAAATTACAGAAATATTTTCAGGTAAGCAACTCACACCACTCTACGATAAGGTAAAATAAAATGCTGTCCGTCTGTGACAGATTTTAAAAATTGGACTCTCTATGAAACTTCCTAATTTCTCATGGAACCAACGAAGAACGCAGTGATTTGTTACATAAAAGTAGGCGCAAATATGATGACATGGATTTCGTACCTGCGTTGACAGCATTGAGGTCAAAATATGTTCGTCGCACGATGTAGGCGACAGTGCTGTCAGTGCTTAATTAATTGCCTGATTGATTCTACCTGAAATCAATATTACAAGTTGAGTGTAATATTTGCTTCCTGAATACAGCACATCTATCTGGCTAATAGGAATAGTGACGGCCCTGTCGTATTCGCTTTGAACGCTTAGGTTAATCCTATACTCAAGAAAAAGGTATTTTTAAATGCAGGGCATTTTAAAAACAAGAATAGTATTTACTTATGCTGTTTGCTCACTCAAACAAAATTACCGTACAAAATATTTTATTTGTCCTAAATATCTCACGTTCTTGCATGTCACATTTAAACTTTGCTGGCTTTTACTTTAAACGAAAGCGTTAGAGTCGCTCTTCTACCTACTCATAATATGTACTGGTATTTGCTGATCTGTAGAACCGAGGCTCACGAAAACCATCAATTTTTTTAGAAAAAAATCTACATTATTTCTATTCCATGCATGACTAATGAAGAATATGTTAAGCAAGTAATAAAAAAAACAACAAAATATCAAATATACATGTATATTGTTAGGCCATGCAAAGTAATATAATCTTCAGCTTTCTAAATGTTTGATACAAGATTTTCAGTTGAGCTCCAACCCCTCTATAAAATGGACCTGCCCTCCTGCGTATTGATCTAAGACGAGGTACAATGCTTTATTAATGTAAACCTGATAGCGGTTATTCTGAAACTTGGTTATTTGCCATATATTCACGGCATCATCATAACAAGATATCCAAGACGAAACCCAAGATTCAGTTTCTGAAAGGTGAGACAAGTCAAGAGACGTCACGATATAAAAATAATGATATACATGTATCACCATGCAGAAGAAGTTTGTTATTGTAGGTAGTGATCTGAAGAATAGATTTCCTTCGAATATCCTATTTCTTTTAACACAGTAAGATGACAATTGATATATCGTTATTAATGTTATCATTATAATGTCAGTGGCATTTGTAAGGTACATGTACAACAGAAAGGCCACTGTGTCTTTGGGGCCACTTAAAGGGGGCACCTTTGTAAGTTTTTTAAAATCAATTTTGGGGAGTTGTAATTGTCATTTAATGCCATTTTTTGTAAATCAAACGATTAACGGCACCGAGGGTAAGCTATTTATTTAAATTAGGAGACCCAATTCTAATGCTTGCCCCGCGCACTACTTTCAGAGGACATCACCTATGTAATACCGATATAAATACAGCGAGTCTTTAAAATGTGAAAATAAGTTTTAAGTGCAAAATGTACCCTGGCTAAATTTGTGTAGTTTTTGTTACATGCATGATTGTCTTAGTCAATGCCCTTTCTTCAATCAGCGATGTGAATTTTGAAATTACAGCCTATTAGTCCAGTAACAGAAGAGACCGATTTTAACCGCTGTGAGGATGAACGATACTTCATTCTTAGATGATGAACTGTTGTCGGATTCGTCCCTGAACTCCACAGAGGCCTCGGAAAAAGACATGACTTGGGATGACGCCACATGGATTCTCACCAGTTCTTTCATCATTTTCACAATGCAGTCAGGTGCGTATTACTGTGCGTTAAATAGTTATATCTTACCTATTGATAAACTAGCAGCGGCGGGTTGTTAGATTTCGTAGGTCTTGGTATGCTCTGTTTATCTGTACTTTACATTGAAACTTAAGAAAACTGCATTACTGACCATTTATTAAGACACTGTAAATATAAATATCACTACCCTCTACCAAAGATAGTAAAATGACCGTCTATTTATTTACAGACTTACCTGTGAATATCTTGTGATAAATCAATCTGTGGCCCTGGTAAAGGGTATAATATCACTAATATATACATGTCAATTCCAAAACAAACGGCAACCATTTATGCAAGTGCCTCTCTCTCTCTCTCTCTCTCTCTCTCTCTCTCTCTCTCTCTTACCTGCAAAACACAACGAGCCATTTTAAACTAAACCAACCTTTGTAAATTCAATTAAAAGTCCAGTTAAAATGAAGAGATAGATAATAAATGATTCACGAGATCGAGAAATTATTTTTTCTAGGAAAATCCGTTTTGGCGGGTAAATCCCATGGAGTTGCTCATTAAAATTACATACGTCTGAAACAAATTTGCTTCCATAGCATTAAAAAGGCACATTTAAACTCACAATATTTAATATGAAATCTCTCTGAACAAAAACCCATATGCATAAGATTTAAAGAATCTTGTACGTCCATTATGTCAAAAGAATGAAAACACACACTTTGTGCACTAATGCACCTTAGTTGATTATACATGTATTTTGTCCTTAGTATTGCGAGTAAGCTCAGTCAAAGGTATCCTTTCCAAGAATTCTGCAGAATTTAATTCTCTTCTAAAACAGTTTATTCTTCAACTCAGTAATCGTTGCTAGATCCGCCACTGCACTTGGCTTTGATGTAGTATACCTTTTTCTATATAGTCAATTGAGTTCTAAATGACTGACCAGGCACTATGACCGCAAGACCTTCCTGGACATTTCAGAAGGAAATATCAACTTAAGAATTCGAAGGTAAAATCACACACAAGATTCTCAAAAATGAAAAAAAAAACTGTTTAAACATAATGTCTATCTTTTTAGAGTTGAGGCAACATTGTTTTTTTTTTCGGTCACTATTAGACATTTTCTGTAAACATTCAAGATCGGCACTTTGTAACCCCCCTCCCAATCCCAGCTCAGCCAGAAGGGTTGAGTGTGCAGAGAATTTACTTCTGTGGTCAAACGCATGCGTGCCTTCTGCTGGTTAGATCACCTTGAACCAATCTTATTTAATTATAACGTATAGGGCCAGTTTTAATAATGTCTGAATGGGGAATCTATGTTATCCCAACGTTTTCGGCGTTACCATTAATACGTGGCTCTGAAATGAGTGTCTAGTGTTTTGTTTCCTGGATTACGTAGCGGATGGTCAAATTTTGGTTATTGCTTATTACTGTGCTGAATGCAGCATTTCGTACTCGTACCTATCATAGATGAATGGATGAATTAAGCAAATAGATGGCATCCAAGAAGGGATCACTACTGGTTACGTTAATTGCTGTATTCATAACAAACTCAAGGGAACTTGGCGTATAAATAAAGACGCAAATTATAGGTAATCCTGGCATGTATCCATAAAGAATTAATTGAATTAACCAAGCAAAAAAGCAATTATTGACAAAAATAGGTGACAGGGAAAATTGAGTTAACCATTGGAATGGGATTGCATGATATCCGCATCCATAAGCGGTTTCTTCCCTCGCTCAAACGAGATGTCATATGTCATTTTTTTATGTATAGAAATGTGCCAAGCAAATCCAGAAACCTTTATTCCTACTCCTTTGGCCACTTCTGATGACTGTTATCGGCGAGTGATGTTCAAAATTCTATTCGAATGTTGCCATGCTGAGTACCCAACAAACCCCAGATATTTTATAACGTTACCATAACGTTGCCATAATGTTATTGGTCAAATAAACGTAACGTTTACATTACGTAATGGTAACGTTATAATAACGTTCTGTGTTGCCTGGGTACCCACCCCTGGATGCATGAGGACAAATGTTGAATTTCAGAGAAACTTGATTGATCCTTGTTGACTACCCCTGTAAATGACAAGATAGTATACCCATCAAGTAGCTGAAGCTCACTTTACGTAGCATTATTGATTTTACAAACACAAACGCAGTAAAAACACTGGACAATTTTTACAATGAAAAAAATCATCCAAGGCAAGGTAAAGGTTAATTTCCATTTCCATAAGATATGGGATATTCAGCTTACTGCATTTGTTTCAGTTTCCTCATTTCCTGATTTTAACGAGTTTTTCAACGACAATGGAAAGTAAAGTACGTTTGAGTTCATTTCATTTAGCATTTTTCCATTATTTAATTTTCAATTACCTTTGTAAGGTAACTTATCTATTGGAACTGGCATCTTATACAGAAAAGTAATTTAGCGCAAATCGTTTTTGTTACAATTATATCACAAAAAGTACTTATCCTAACGAATTGATTTACCTAAGTTTCTAAATACCCACCAATTAATTCGAAGTTGACATAGTTCGTCTCATTCATAACAACGGCATTTATATCTTATATTGTAAGTGAATAAACTTTTAGTCTAAATAAACCAAGTCAAATTTAACTGCCTTGTTTTGTAGGATTTGGCCTCCTCGAGTCTGGTGCTGTCTCCCACAAGAACGAAGTTAACATAATGGTTAAGAACACCATGGATGTTCTCTTCGGTGGCATAACATACTGGCTCTTCGGTTATGGCATAAGCTTTGGAGAAGCTCCAGGCTCCAATCCGTTCATGGGGGTTGGCTACTGGGCAGTCGATGTACCAGATGCCGAAATGGGCGTTGTTTACTCAAGCTACATTTTTCAGCTATCCTTCGCTACTACAGCCACGACAATTGTCTCTGGGGCAATGGCTGAACGAACCCGATTGACGGCGTATATATTGTTTAGTTTTCTCAACACGATTGTTTACAGCTTCCCAGCACACTGGATTTGGGGAAGAAATGGGTTTCTTAATACGTTGGGTGCTATTGATATAGCTGGTTCCGGGGTTGTGCACCTGTGTGGTGCTGTGACAGGTTTGGTGGCGGCCATTTTACTGAAACCACGGTCTGGAAGATACGACGACGGTCCCAACGAATTGCCTCTTGGTAATCCAACTAATGCCATAGTGGGCATGTTTATGTTATGGTGAGTGCATGTGTTTGTGTAACAGCGCTAGCCTTCTGAAGTCTGTGTATTGTTTTCATATTTATTTTGAGCTTCTTGACATTAGTTTTTTTTTATCTACAGGTGTATTTATAGTTATGACGTTTTGCAACACAAAGCTTTTATTATATGTATTCCTAGATAATTTCACGGTTTTAAACTAAGACATGAGGCAATTTTTGAAAAAAAAAGAAAGATTATTAGAAGAAAATCTGTTAGACTGCAACGTGATACTACTCTTTTTCTAAATGTCTTAGGTGGGGTTGGCTTGGTTTCAACTGTGGAAGCACGTTTGGTATTTCTGGAGGCAAGTGGAAACTGGCGGCAAAGTATGTAACTTTTATTGAATAACTAGATAAATGCCTTATAAATTTTTGGGTAAATGGCAATCGATGCATTGCTTACGGAAAAGGCGCAACAAGATCCGAAATTAGATAAATTGGTAAAATAATTAAGTAAATTAAATCAGACGTAATCATCTTAGACAGAATCGGTTGCTACAACACCGGAAATATCTGGTTTCGTCCGCGTCACCTCCCTTCACCTGTAATTACATTTGTTAGTATTTTTAGTTACTTCTGTCTTAGCCTCCTGAAAGCCACCAACTCCCTCCTGTGGCAATTGTTTTTAAATTGTTTTCAAATTCGCAACAAAACGTTTCAATTTGATTATTGAAGTTGTCAAATCCGACTCTTGAATAAGATATACGTGACACAAAAGCAGTGGAAATTTTGTCTATTCGATCCAATATTTTTTGTTCTACTCATCTACACATAAGCTAGTAAATACACCTGCGTTGTTTTCACACACACACACACACACACACACACACACACACATTAAAAGAAAGGAAAACAACACAGCTTGGCTTTTTTTATGAATGAATGATGAGTTCTTTGAAATTTCAGATCTGCTGCAACAACCATTAATGCTTCAATTGGGGGAGGCATTGCTGCCGTTATCTTTAGGTAAATTTACCGTGTTTGTCTATGAACAATTGAGTTGTTACTTCTTTTTTTTACTTTGAATATTTTCATCCGTTAAATTTTCTCTATGCAAATTCCTTTTTGCTTCTGCTGTGCTTTATTTTTCTTTGGCTCTCTTGAAAAAAAAAGATGGTATATTGGAATAACCATTCATCATTACGGTCCAGTTCATCGATATATTCTAATGTATTGCTTTTGTCATATTTGTAGCTACATAAAGAACAAACGGAAATATGGCGTCTCTGACTTAGTGAATGGAATCCTAGGCTCCTTGGTGTCAATAACTGGTATGTAGGCAGTCATGTTTTTGTATTTATTGCCAATACAAAATACTATTTCAAAAGAAAAAAATTGAGTGGATAACATATGATTAGTGTAATCTACCTGTATGTATATTGCTTCCATGGTTGACCGTTAAGTCATGGAACAGGAATTTTCCAATTGTTTCAAATTATATGCACTCATACCTTGTAACTACAGGTACAGCACTTGTCTGATACCATACCCTGCGAAAACCATGATAAAATATACTTCCAGCAAGCTGCATGGTTGTCCGACCTTGGGAAGCTATTGTAATTGGAACAGCGGGTTCCTTACTGGTCAATGCAGGCGTTTGTTTGATGAATAGACTGAAAATAGATGACCCTGTTGGTGCCGTGGCTGTGCATGGCATTGGTGGCACGTGGGTACGTACATGTGAACAGGAAACGGTGCTTTATCATTTCAGCCTCGTGCGCTGTGGTGCGTCCTTGGGAGGCTTTGGTTATAGGAGCTTTGGGGGGCGTTATAACCATAGCCACGGTGTCGCTTATGGACAGAATTAAAATCGATGATCCGGTGTCAACATTCGCAATCCATGGGAGCGCAGCTGTGTGGGTAGGTTTTGGTTTAATAGCAGGTATAAAATCGGTTTCCTTCTGTCAGTGACACTGTACCAGTAGGCCTACGTTTATTGGGCAGGTACGTGCACTGTCATCAATTGTAGAACTCGAGAACTTTTGGACTGCTAACATCACTGTATCAGCATCAGCAAATTTGTTTCGAAACAAACTAACATTAACAACTTTTGTGAATACCACTGTCTCGCTTTTTTGGTCAAGTGGCACCAGTTTGCTTGGACACTAGTTTTGGGTAATATCACAAAAGAGCATTTTTTTAACAAGGATACAAAACAAATTTTGATTGAAATTATAAATGTACTTAAAAAGTCATCTTAAATTTTATAAGTAGACGACGAGAGATGCATACCCATTTTAAAGTATTTCAGATTTTTGTGTGCGTGTCCTAAAAGAGCACTTGTAATATAAAACTAATCATTTCTAAAATACAAAAAGCTTGAAAACATGCCAAGATCAAGGTTATATATGTAAGCTTTGTATTACTTGCCACTTGACTTGAGTAGGTGATCCAGCCTTACAATTAGTAATATATTTTAACGTATTTTTAAAAACATAAACCCAAAATATTCAGTTAGGCAACTTAGCAAAATAGCCAAAGATCAAGAACAAGGTAAGGTTTAGCAACTTCACCTATAATATCCAACGTTGATGACATTTATTTCTTTTGTGTAAAGGCACCTAAACTTGATTACATAAAAAAACGACCGGGTAAATTGTGATCGCTGTAGTGGTGTTACATGTACTTCTTGATTTTTTATTTAAAAAAAAGGTTAAATTGTCTCATTTGCTTGGTTTCCTCTACAAAAGGTTGCAAATGCAACATTTATAGATATAAAGATATAGACTTTTGGTTATGTGCACATGTAATGTGAAACGCGTTGGTGAACAAGTACCCATTGACCCATAAACATGCACTGATTGACCCCATGATAATGATGAAAGAAGGGGACCCTCAATTGTAACTGTTCGCCTCACTAGGACTGCACAGGTCCTTCATTGTTTATGAAAACGAATGATGCCAGTATTATTTTAATTCGACAAACTGAATTCCCAATATAATACTCAAATATCACTCCAGAACAAGTCGGGGTTAATTTCTTTGTATATTACTTCCTGTTAAAGCATAAACCTACTCTGGGGGCTTAAACGTGATTGAAATAGTTAGTAGTCATGTAATGCAATACATTGACAACAAGACCGTCTTAACACTTGCAATCATGACAAATGACTCCTTTCACTGTATGACGTAAGGCCTGTCTGCCTGTATGGTCTAACAGACTGATCAATGATCACTTCTCAAATATGAAACATTAACACCCACCGTTCATTTCTGAACTCGTGATGCCACTTTCAGCTGCGACAGGTTTAGCTTTTCATTGTGTTTTTTTCTAATATGTTAAGACTTATATCAATAATGGATGAATAGAGAACCTGTACTGGGATTATTTCCGTTTGCGTCCATGTCGCTTACCAATAATTTTAATGGTAAATCATGAAGGGACAAGATAGGCACATGCATAACACGGGCTTCAAGGCATCATAGCAACCGTGCCATTCTTGTTTCAGGGGTTGCTGGCAGTTGGCCTTTTCGTGGAGATTGATTACCTGGAAGATATGACCAAGGGACATGCAGGACTGTTCAAGGGTGGAGGAATGTATCTGCTAGGCGTCCAATCACTGGCTGTCATTTGTATTATTGTGTGGTCAGCAGCATTGTCTGTGCTGATGCTTTATGTAAGTTCAATTGCGAGATGATGATTCCCATAGGAAACGATAAGTTATTACATTATATCAACCTATATGCATGTTTAGTATACATATATAATTGATAAAATCTAATAATAGCTTACATATATTTATATGTGGGGTCTTTTGTCGTGTAAATAATTGGCTATTTAAGTTTTTATTCATTTATTTTGCTTTCTGTCCGTCTTTATTTTCTGTTCTTTTGATTAAGGCATATGCTTTGACAATAGCCTTTATCCTTCCCCCTCTTTCTAAAGGCGATCCACAAAACCATTGGACTGCGGATGACACCTGAGGAGGAAATGCTTGGCGCCGACCTGGTAGAACACAACATTGGAAACTGGAACGACCCAGTTGTTTTCATGCGTTCTATTTCCGCCAGACCTTCTTTCCCGAGCGCCACCAGGCGGTCAGCAGTATTCCCACTTCCCCCGGAGGTGTCAGTAGTGAGTCTGGCCAGCGCTTTGGAACGTGAACCCAAGCGTGATAATGATCCTCGCGAACAAGCTGCGATCACAAGTAAATGATAATAACCTAACGGTACTCTTATTATAAGGTCTTGCGTGAGATTGAAAACATTTAACTGATAGCAAAATTAATGAAACTGTAATGTTGAACGCATGTCCACGACAAAGAAACAAACAATACAGCACTTTCCAGTAATAGCACCTTACTATGAAATTTTGCCCGTCTTCTTGTTCATAACAAGGGGCAAGGTGGGGTGCACATACTCTTTTCTCTCAATTCTTTTAATTGTGAACATTTGTAATACGTAGTATGGCTAATTTAAGAAGATCGAGCGCATCTTTTCTTGAGCTATGAGGTCATATTTCCATTTGATTTTGAATTTCTCGTGAATATATATATATATATATATACATATATATACATATATATATATATATATATATAGTTTGTTTGTTTGAGAAGGCGAAATGAAGCCAGTCTGAAATCTGCAGTTGTTAAGTTTTTATATCAAAACTGATGACAAATGACACTTGATGAATGTATAAAAATACAGATATCCTTTGCCAATATATATCCAGGACGAAGGTAAATGTAAATGATTTGGACAATGAATAAATTTTGTGCTGCGTGCCTGTGGAGCCGTGTTCCCTCTTCCTAATGTGCAAAAAGATTTCCAGTAACCGACCACATACATGCTCATTAGGCTCGTAGGGGGTGCATTAGGTATACATGCATTTACACACAACCACAGGGCAGATTAACTCAATGTGCCTTTTCGCAACTAACACATTCTGTGAAAGGTTTTCGTGAACCACTTCCTGTAATTCATTGGCTTGACCTACTCTCCTAACACAATAACAATCAACTGTGTTGTTAAGAGAATAAAAAATGACTTGTGTAATTCTCTACCCGTGTAGTGTAACAACCGTTTCTTTATTTTTACGGTTTTATGTAACAAGGCAAGTTTGGTTCGGATAGGGGGGTCCTACCCATTAACTGGGATCTCCAAAGTTGATTCTCCCCTTTTTTCAGACAAAACGAACCCCTATATGTCAGTGATGTTTCAGGAATCGCACTGCCACATTGTATGCTCACTCTACTACGGGCGTGGATTTGGACTTCACCTCTAACACACTGTGACAGCGAGGGTGTGGAGGCAGTGCTATGGACGTGCGGAGGAACAACCTTCATATGGCTTTGCGGGGGATGGGAATGGGGGGGGTCCAAAATACAACCAATTAAGTTCATCTGTATTTTAAAAGGCATACTTAAATATTTCATGCTTTGAATAAAACATGAAAAAAACGGGTTGTGCTAAAGGAATGACCAATGACGAGATCACGCACGGAGGCACATATAATGGCTAGACCAAAATTTACCTTGAAACCGTTTAACCCAGCCCTTAATGTTGAAAGTTATCAAAAGAGTGATAAAAGTGCTTTCAAATAGATTACCTCCAGCCAACGATTCGTGTACTATGCTTGTTGATAAAAATGTGCAAATGTGTTTTCTTTTTTTTATTTCTTTACACACGTATAAACACTCTTGGACTGTTCAATGTCACAACAAGCAATCCCGAAATACGTGAGCCCATGTCTTATAGTACTACGTGTTAATAAAATATCAATAAAGATGAGTACTTTTAAATTACCAAATGTTACAGTTGAACAGTGTGCTATTTTCATCGGATGCTTAAACTGCCATTTAGATGAAAATAGACGTTTTTGAATCATTTCAAGGCACTTATTTTCCAAGAATTTATATCTATCTTCATTTTACGTTTTTGGCAAATTTACAGCAGATCGTACAAAATGACATTGTAATGTTATTGAAACTGTATACGAAAAACACTCCTCCCAATAAATGCGGTGACGCAAGTGCAAAAAGACTACTGGGTGGGTATCACCGCATTCCCCGTGCTACTTGCGTTGACACGTTTCCTTGATTAATAAACCTGAACCCTCATAAACAGCTTTTCACTTTTAAAATGATTGGCGGTTGATAACTGTCGTCATTAATTGAAGAGCTAATTAACTATAATATGTAATTGGAAGACGGGAAAACGCACCCTGTCACCGTTCAGTTGACGTCTTCACCTCCCACCGTCCTTAACTTCTGGTGGGTGACCCTTCCTTTCATCTCTCCGCAAAGTCGATACCTGTAATTTACATAGTTATTGAGACAGGCGAATCTATTACTTTTCCCAATAAAAATATTTGTATATCAAGTGTCGTATTTATCACTCTTTATAAAGTCATAGCGCTGTTCGAGGACAATGGCTGAAAGCTGGGATTATTCGCCTTGCTGCGCCCATTCCTTGCTTTCTAAATGCACCCGGTGTTTACTAAATTGACATCCCGCAGTTAACACAGGTGCGCAGAGGCTCACTTACGCACCCCGAATGCGACAACGTGCTTCTGGTGGCGAGATTGGGAAATTTCTATTCACGGCATTCTTTGCTTGATAATTGTTATCTTGCGTGAAGAAAAGATGAGTTAAGTTGACCAAGTGCGGGGTTGAAAATGAGCGATCAAGGAAACCTTACACTCGTCCTCCCCAGCTTAATTGTTTTTTTTTTTCGCCTCTGAAACTTTTTAACGGAAACAGGTGTGAATAAACAGTGTTTTATTGATTTTGAAAAATGGTTGAACAACGGGTTTCTTTTATGCTAACTACTGTGATTGAATCAAACTTGACAAAATATTCAATAAGGGCAATCTTGGGGTTTTTAAATGGACTTTCAAATATACAATTTTGCGTTGAAATTTTTCAAATATTTTTCAGATCATTGGGTGTTGAGTCAGAACACACGAGCACCAACTGGGGATTAGGGATTTTTTCCATTCAAAGGAGGACTATTTCCAAATGAATAAAATGCCATCAGTCGGTATGGAACAACGAACTATATAAACATATAATTGCTTATAATTTCTGTAGTTTATTTTCCACCTTTTAATTAAAATTGTTCCTTCGGGTACGTGTACTGTCTGAAAAACTTAGTTCGTAACTTCGATGAACACTCATATGACTGTACAATAAGTTATGACTACATATTTTGACTGTAGATCTATATGGGAGCCATGCTAACGTGACACTGTTAGAAAATTCTTTCACTCTATCAAAAGCGGTCAGAGCAATGAGAAGCAGTGGCATCAACGGACAGAGCTTCGGGAGCAAATCTACGTAATTGTTTATAGTGATAAACATACACGAGATGACAGAGCAGATAGATGATTTCACAGGGACGTCTGAAAAGTAACGTAATGTGTGGTCGGTTTGTCTCGCCTTAATATAGCGAACAGCCTCATCATTCTTAACTTTCTGTTGTCTAATCAGCCCATTCAGCAGTTTCAATGACTTTATTGGCCTTCCTTTTCTTCGTTTATTTCCCGCTGTCCATTACATTACGAGAAATGTATAGAATTTCTGCAGCGAGTGAAAAACCAAGTGTCAGCTTAAACCAACCCCGGATAGTTAATGTCCATTTGCTTGTCTCCTAAGCACCCATTAGCCGGGTTGTGTTTGATCAAGAGTCAACTGGAGATGAACGCGCTCGAGACTGTGTCATTCATTGGCACGCACATACACACATACATCTAGTCCAGTCAATTCTCGGGGTGCTAGCGTCTGTTTTTCTCCTTTGGACTTAAAATTTTTCTCATTTAATTTCTTGATGAGTTCTTTTGTTGGTTATCTGTACCTGAAAGTTTCGTGCGACATTAACATTAAGATTATTATAGCGATATCTTTTACGGTTGGGAGATCGGGAGTGTTACAAAGTGGCTAGATGGAAAGATGAAACAAGTAGACCTAAAACGCAAAAGGGGGCGTTTTATTTATTTTTTCCATACAAAGGTGATAGATCACGATCGCGCGCCCGCACACACACACACACACACACACACACACACACACCTGGCCACTAGAGTTCGAAAATTGAAAAAAAATTTCATGTGATCTCCTAATATTTTACAAAAACAAATAATTGCAGATCAAACCTGTGTCTTTATCGAATTTAATCTAGTTTGTGTTATGAAAGTGACATTTAACTACGAAAAGCTCAAATAACAAATATGAATCAGTTTTTTTTGTAGAATTCGTATTGTCATCTGCGGTAAAATCTCTCTCTCTATATATTTTTTCTCTCTCACACTCACACACAAATGCACGCACACATGTCAATAATATTAGATGCCTCATATTTTCTCATGTTTCTGTATTAAGTGTTCAGTTATGCTCACTTTGTTTGTTTACTCTGACATCAAAAGAAAATACAAATCAAACAACCAAGCGATATGATCAAACTCGACTTATGTTCTATTAAAATAATTTCTTGCCTGGCGGTCGCGGCCCGCCTGTCACTGCAGTGGGTTACGTCGTCACATCAATGTCAAATGGCAGTCCTAGCCTCGGTTAATGGGCCGCTACAACAAACGACTATCGCTACATCAAATTAATTGAATGTTCCCTTGATCCTAAAACCTATATCGAAATATCTCATCCGGGCGAGATTTCCTACTCTCTGTGGCTTTGTATCAAAGGAATGTACTGGCACTTTGCTTGTTAATATTTTCATGTGTATCGCTAGACAAAGCTCAACCCAGGCGGAGTTCCATTACGTTTCCAAACCTACTAATGTATTTGCCTCTTATTGAAAGTCTGGTCGGGTAACAAGGGTATATCCTGTGTGCCCTGATCTATCGCCCGCATCAAAAGCGATCAACGTATCAGTACTCAGGCCTGTCACCGCGACGTGCTTTTACCAATCAAACTTTAATTAAACAAAGCTCTAATCATCTTGTTTTCCTTAATGAAAAAATTGCATGTCGAGAGATAAAGGAATTAAAGTGACACCACTGTGGTTTGAGAGCCGTGGCTGTGTCAGATTAAAGGTGCGTTCTGCGGTTTCATAATACCCCTAGAGTTGCTTCAAAGAAAAGGGTTTGTTATAGGCTACAATTCATCCATAGGGTGGGCTCTCTCTAAATATTTGTCTTCCTTTTCTACGACCTGTTAGCTTGGCTCGTTGTTCGTAAGGCTCTCCTTAATAAAACTCAGGAAACTCAGCAGGCAGCTGGTGAATGAATCTTCTAGTACGTCATTTACTCATCATAATTCTACAACAATCTTCATGCAGCTATTATTGCTTAAAACAGCGAAAGAAAAAAATGAGAAAAAATCGAAATGAAAATGACATCCGCTCTTCTCTCAGTGACACGTCATTCAGCGTAAAGTCTGTAATTTGAAATGAATATAGTAAAATTGATCACGACTGTAGAAATTTCCCACAGGATGTGAGTGAATTAGAAAGATACAACCCCCACGCGGGCAGTCTATTTGCGCTGAGCTGATTCAATTTATATTTTTCATTATGTCGAGCCACGGTAAAACAAATACGATAAATCAGGGAGTAAATGCTGTAAGGTAAATATTATTATTGTACTGATATTGGATTTACCATCACATCAGTTTATAGTGATCAGTCCAGGTCAAATTGGACAAGAACTGACCGTTACCGCCGCCCATTCACTGCTTAAACAACTGTGCTGTCATCACACCATTCACCCATCACGATGGCTGCGATGATCGCTATACACTTTCCTAGAAATTAATGAGCACATCATCTTCAATGTATCAACAATCAAATAGACCCCGCAACGCTCCATAACACACAGAAAATCTAGCCATCGATCGGTTCGGCGTTCTCTTGAAAGGAAAGTGTCGCGTTGTGTCACCTTCCGTCCCTAACTCCGCTGACTTATTCAAATTTAACCATGACTCGACGGGCGACGCATTAGAATAAAGACAACACAGAATTACACACACAAATAAAAATCAATCTAACGCCATTAACTTTGTCGCCCGTATTCATTACAATTCCAGCCTGGACAGCCATGAAATTTAATTACACAGTTTGGCCAATACAAAGGAAGTTGTTTGCCTAGAATTGAGCCAAGAAGTGTTAGTATGTTTTATGCCGTTTATTTCTATATCTCAATGTCAATTCACAATATTTACAAATCGTGCGAGTTTCCCGCAGAATGTTTCGAGTGAAAGAATGGTTTTGATTCAGCTAAATGCTGTATTCAATCATAACTATTGAAAAATATTTTTAAGACAAAAAAAAAAAAAAAGAAAAAAATTAACATCGTGTACAAGAAGAAGCAAATATTGTCCTCCTGTTTTCATCTGTTATTTTTAAGATCCCGCTCGTGTGAAGTAGGCCATCTCTCGAGAAAATAAAGTGCTCCTATTTCGATAAGACGATCTACAACAAAAGCAAGATTGGTAACTGTCAGCTCAAATTAGTTTTGTGAATGCTAAACTTTTTGATGCCTTGATTATGCGACTTATTTCCTTCTTAATGAAATTATTGTTCACTTTGTTGTGGGTATAGATCTCCCAACTCCAGTGTCTCATTATCAAAGAAAGGTCTTTTCATTTTTTTAATTATGATACCTCATTTACAATTCATTAGACTCCTTACAAGCGATGACTTTATCGACGTGGCTAACATTGGGAACAAACCTTTTACTTTAGATCTTGATTGAATATACTTTTGTGATTTCTTTTTGTTAAATATTGTGTGTTTTCTCTTTTTTTCGTTTCATATATTTTATAAATGTTGGAGTTTCAGTCCACTTCTCTCCTTTTTTCATGAGCAGTTTCTGAACTTATTCATTTGTTAATTTAGACTTCCTAAAATTTTGCACACCTTTTGCAGTGTGTTGGAGTCAATAAATGACTTCACTCGCTATTAATATTCCTTGCTTTTTTCCACAAAAATAGATATATCACAACGCCATTTCATTTTGGGTTTTGTCAACACAATCATTTATTCATTTTTGTGAAAATAAATATATTTGTTCTTTTTAAGAGAGTGAAAAGTGGCGGCTATTAAAAACTTATCTTTTGAATAATGGCAATTGTTTCTGCTTTATACATATATAAAAATTGTTAGAAAATTGGTTAAAAATTAATTGCATTAATCAGTACGGTTAAAGTCCTCGCATAGTATTGATCAAACACTATTAAATTCGCACAAAGTTAAACGTAAGAACAAAATCGCTCTGTATTTCAGGTATCACGGTCGTTTTAAAAAAAATTTGTCAGACTTTTTACATAGACATTTGCTTTTAAAGAATGCATAATGTCAACATTTTAAAACAATTAGCAAAGTCAACACTTCGGTATCATGTTCGCCAAGATGTTTTACAGTTCCGCCTCATGAAAAAGTATTTATTTAAAGAATATTGACCATGACGGCGTTTACTGAGTGTCATTGGAGTTGAACCAAAGCTATTACAAGCAATAAAACGTTAACAGAATGTCAAATTCATTGATTGTGTCAACAGCCAAGTTCTTATTGCGTGGTGACTAATCCGTTTTTGATTGTTACTTCAATTCAGAAAACAATTTTGAATTAGTTGCAATAACATACTGCATTGCTACAAACGTGTAAAAACGTTCCTGTATCTCTTTCTGTATCTCGCACATTAATATGTTGAAAATCCGCAAGGCAATTGGATAGATAGTAAAATAATTTGCCACCAGTACTTTTCATATTTCAAACATTAATTTTTAAATCTAGCTATAAATTTCTGACACAATCATGTTCACTACCTTGACTTTTTAAATATTAGGAAACAACTTTTTACCTGACTTCTTATATAAAAAGAAGTCAGGTGAAAAAGTTGCTTCTTATTATGTTTTTTTTTAGTTCCGATGTTGAAAAGTGTGGATTTTATCTTTCAGGGGTACAAAAAATGCAGTTTGTTTCATTCATAATTTAATGACGCCAACAAAATATTATTAAACATTTAGATTGAGGTAAGGGGCATTTCACAATTATCTCCAAGAAAAGCATATTAAAGTCGATCACAAATACAAAAACCTTTCAAGGCCAAAATGAGCAAAGCAAAAATTGCAATATTTTTGGCAGATGAAATTAAAACTAAATTAAAATACACATATAATTAAAACATTTTGAACATTTTATACCAGCCCTGTTTGTTGCATATTTGTCTAAAACGCTATCCACTGGAGAAGTGCACCAACAAGAATTTAACTCAATTCAAATAAATTTATTTCTTTGTTTAAAATCAATGTAAATAACAGATTGAACATTTACCCGTTATGCAAACAGGTTTTTTTTCTTTTAAACAAAATCAATGGACATTGATGTCAACATATTCTCAGACTTAATCTGATTTACATGTAAAACATTCATGACATTGATGTTACACTCACTAAAGGAGTGGACAATGATCTGCCAAAAATAATTTCTAACAACGCCGGAAAGCTATTATTTACAAGATGCATACAACGAGCTTTTTAGAAAGATCAATTATTTCTTATTTCAACACGACTACAGCAACCCCATTTATTTTTTTCTCATATTGCAAATATAATCACCAAATTAAACAATAACAAAAAAATGGAAAATTCTACTATGACATTTTGGATTTGAGAAGTTCCTGGTGCACTTTGCGGCATTTATTTGGAAACTGCAGGCCTACCACTACCGGTTAATGTTGCTTTTGAAAGTTATTGTATGATTGTTGAAGTGTCACAAAAGTACACATTTTAACGGTGTTCACCTGAAACTGCAGATTTACCACACAAATTATCTACTACCTTTTGACGACGGTGGTGAGTGGGTTGACAGATTCAAGGCCACTTCCGCTGATCTCGGCGTAGCTGTTGACGAGAACGCGAGCCCGCTCGTTCTTGGCGGCAGAATGGCAAGAGGAAAGCTAGAGATTGGCGTTGGCTTGATCGGCAGGGGCACCGAGGGTCCTGTGACGTCTCGTGGAGTAGTTTGACTCTTAAGAAGTCGAAGCTCCTCATTTAGCTGATTAACAGAATACGCAAGCCCCTCTTTGTGGACTGAAACTCGACAGGAGTTGCAGAGCATGTTCCCAGCGTTGCCACTTTCGCCGCAAGAAGGGCAAGTATTTATCGATGGGCTCAGTCCGAAAGGAGCCACCAGTGCCCTTGGGATTGCGATGCCCGGGGGAAGTAAAGTGTGGGGTGCCATGAAAGTTGGTCGCTTATAATCTGGAGCCATAAGGTGCTCTATGGTGAAAGGATGCTTCATTGGTTGGTTTAGAAAAGGTGCCAGGTGTGCCGCGGCGTAGGGATGTATTCCATATTTTGGGTGGTGTGGTAGAAACAAGGCTTGCTCCATTCGATGCTTCATTTGTTCCTGTTCGGCCGACCCCGCCTGCGCAGCTAACCCGGCTAGCTGCCTTAGCTGAAGTTTGAACCTCTTTCTCCTACGTAGAAAGCTCCCGTTTTCGAACATATCTCCGCACATTGGATGTAGAGCCCAGTAACTCCCCTTGCCCGGGCGATCCGGCCGGCGTGGGATTTTGATGAAGCAGTCATTGAACGACAAATTATGTCTTAAGGAGTTCTGCCATCTTTGAGTGTTCTCCCGATAAAATGGGAATTTGTCCATGATGAATTTGTAGATATCGCTCAGAGGAAGCATTTTCTCGGCAGAGCTCTGTATTGCCATGGCAGTGAGGGCAATGTAGGAATACGGCGGCTTTTGATCGCTGTAACTGTTTCTTCCTGGCCGAGGCATCTTTTCTTAGCTTATAGTTCGAATTTTTTTTCAAATTGTGAAAAGCAGTCAGCAATGCGGTTGAACTAGAAATGATCCTTAATTTACAACTCACCCTTTTCCCCTTTTCGGTATTTTTTCTGCTTCACTCTACGTATCTTCGCTTAGGTTGTGCACACCTTGAAAAACGTACAAATTTTATTATAAAAAATAGTCTTATATGTCAAAGTACAAAAATGTTGAATTATCTCATTCACACGACATGTTCACTGAATAATAAATAAATACATGTAATGAATTGTACAATTATCAAAACGGTGTAAAAAATATGATAAATAATCATGCAATTTATGATACTTTTCAATGAAGATTTAAAAAAAGAAAAAAGTAAACAAAATGTAATCTTTAAAGTTTTGTAAAAGGAAATGAAATTACCATTATTCCTTACCTATTGTAAATGGTCCTCTTTCCTTTTCAGCTGCACGGTCTCACTAACAAGCATTCCACTTCAGGAAATCTAACACACTATTAAGTCAGTTGGTATGGGACCATTAAGAATTAAACTGTCCTTGCAGCAACTCTTTCTCCCTGGAAACTGTGGAGACAATTCTAATGTTAGTGGTCTGACTGCACCAGGCCCCAGACGAAATGTTACAGCCCCGTTAGAAATCTGTACAGGAGTTAACTGTCAACGCTCTATAATCCCCAACCATAACTGCAGACTTCATTACCGGCCGTCATCAATGCGTGTCGTTTCTGCTGTTGACAGAGCACCATACTTGTGTATATCTCGCCGCGATCCGGAGCCGCACGAATTGTGTATCTAGTCAGCGTGGAAAAAAAGGCAGAGGCCTTCACACGTCACAAACACGCGGCTTCATTTGATCGTGACAGGTACGTAAATAACAAATGCAAATCTTCAAATGCATGATAAAAACAGCTCACAGTCGGTTCACTGAGAAGTGCTACTTTAAAATACAGCAAGCATACGATCTTCTCATTCTTTAGTTCAGTCTCCTTATAGTATTTGATCGCGAGTAGAGTAGTAACGCTCCCATGGGGCCGGTGACTTAAACTGATTAACAGCTGTCAATCAAACGGACGGGGCGGCACGGTTGGATCGGATTAATTAGAACTCAGCCATATTTTTTATTCTCGTTTACATTAAGGCTTTTCTGCGCGCACAAATACACCTCAGTGATAAATCTTAGGAGGAAGATAAATTTGCTGACTGAAAGCTTGGTTGTTGAAAGTCGTGTGAGTGTGTATCTGTGTGTGTGTGTGTGTGTGTGTGTGGTGTAGGTCCGGGCGTAATTCTCACAGAAACAATGCCTTCCAGTTACTAGAAGATCACAGTATCAATATTAGTCAAGTTACAAGTTCCGCAGGCGATGTATTGACACAAGTGGTGCGCTGCACATCCGAGGGCCACAATAGACAGAAGGCACAATGTGCCCGCGTCTGGTGCTCATTCATTTAAAGTTCGTTTTCGTGCCGTCATACAGGTTTGCGTCTCATATGAGTATTGTATCCAATAAACCCCTAATCTCTTCCAAGTCAAATAGATCAGAAGAAGTCCTTTGTTAGCCCATTCATCATGGGTTTGTATGTAGCGACCGAACCCGCTATTTTGATTTAATTTCGGGGTAAAGTAAAAGGATATAGATACAGCGCAAACAACTCTTTCCAGAAACACGTGCATCGGAGCATCCGAATTACAATACTGTTTTACAGCGGCCGGCAAACAGCGGTGTTGAGGCATGAGCACACCTTTCAGTGAAACCACCCGGACATAAAAATTCATTTTACCTCCACAAAGACTTGATAAAGAAATCAATGGCGGGATTTTAATCGTAGGGGACTTGATAGTTCACAGGTGTTAAAGATTTCTTGAAGTTCTTGTTGCATTCCCGACTTAAAGCAGGTCCTTTTTCGGTCAATTTCTCTTCTTTCTGTCATATCGAGGTAGGGCGGCAGAAAAATAGTTGATGACTCACGTGGGAAACATTGTGAAACAGGATGGTGTTTCAAATAGTCTTAGATTTGTAATAAAACATACATTGAAATATCACTCACTGACAAAAGACAGAAAAAAATCTTTTATTAGCTTGGAGTTTAAGAATGATAATAAGAAAATACTCATCCGTTTGATTTTGTTCAATCAGGTACTTAAGGTAGAATTAACGTTTAACTTTTTTTGCGTGTGTATGAACAGTGTCAATATTTTAGCCAAATGGCAGTAACTAAAATTTTTGATCAAGGCAACAGGTTACTGTTAATTTATTTTCATTTTTTTTTAAATCCAAAGCCTGACTAACACTTTACATCAACTTGACTAAATATGTCTCCCACTTTGAAAACATTACTACTACTTGAAGCCGCATTGATGATGATGTAGTTCATTTACAGTTATCTAGGTACTTATGAAAAAGTTTGAATAACTTTGAAGTTGTCTTAGAATTACTGACGCAACTGAAGGAAATGAAATTGACGAGCCGATTTGTTTCAGTGGTCGTGCTACCACATTAATGCCGTAAATGACCCGAGACTGTGAAGCGCTTGACACGAAGAAGTTTTATCGCGCGGTTTTGATTGACAATCGTACAGAAATATGACAGAGGTTACAAAGTGAATAGAAAGCTGGTCTCTCCGTTACACTATTTGCTCTATCATTCCTGTGGCCAATTTATTTCAATATTGATTTTTCAGCATGCGGGATATTAAAAAACTAAATTATCTGATTCTTTTGTCATTCGCACAAGCAACTTGATGTTGTAAGAAAACGATAACACATCGATCGGAGATCCACTTGCCAGTTGCCGCCGTTTCATGTGAGTAAAGTGAGTCTCGGAATGAAAGAAATAAGACGAAGCTCTTTGATGAAGGGGTCTCAATATACGCGATGAGTATCTCTTAAGAATTCTTTAATTTTTTTCGTAAATGAAATTACAATCGAAAATTAGTCCCAGATATATATCCGCCGCTGCTTATTAATAGCACTTCAAAAAGGAGATCAACATCATTCTTTTGACTCGAATACTATAATTACAAAGGGACTTTTGCAAATCTCAATTTGTCAGCAAAAGCAAGTATCACATGCAGCTTTGTTATAATCGCTCATTATTTTTCCTTTAGATGAACACAATTCACCTTTTTTCCAGACAGCACAATTAGCATCACTGATTCCAAAATGCAGGCCACCAGATAAATCTTAGTCAAAGCTACCGCATGAAATAAGAAAATCATGAGCGCTGAGGACAAAATAAGGACCGATCTGTCCAATTCCCAGAGAGACAAGACGGGGGAAAAATAAGCAGAATCTACTCCACTGAGCATTAATCAATACGGGACCACGGCGTGTCACTAAACACACGCGGAGTTGATCTTTTTCAATCTCCCCACGAATAGAAAATCAAATCGTACAACGGCAGTGATCCGACTGTGAACTTCAAAGTAAATTAAAGCTACGATCCTCTATAATTCACTGGTAGTCAAGATTGGATCTTACTATGCGTGTGTTCGTAGTAATTTCTTTTACGCTAACGTAGTATCGGTAGTAAGACTGGGAAGAAATTCGATGAAATCTTACTATCTCGATTCGTTCAGATTTATAGTAGATTCACGCACCGTGACGAAGCGGATTGTTCGCTTGTTCAGCTCCACAATAAAAAGGAATATTGAAAAGACCACATTAGGGCGATTTCAGCTAGGATGATGCCTTTGCCAATTTTGGTAAGAAATTTAATAAAGAGGCTTTCAAAGAATTAGAATTAAGTAAGACAAGTAAACACACACATGTGCACACACACACGCGCGCAAGAAGGCAAACGAACTCCAACGCGTCCACACGTGTAAATAACAATCAATGAGGAAAGGTGTACGAGTTGATGATTTATCTTCAGTAATATACATCGCTGATGGATAAAGGATCCCTATAACAGAGTAAGTAGCCTCGGGTTAAAATGAAGAGACGTCTTCAAAGTGAAACAGAGCCCCACTATACTAAATAGAGCATCTTCACAATAAGACCAGATCAAACATATCCTATATCTCAAACCAATGAATTTCGGAAGCCGCCGTAACAATAGTTGTATATAAGACATCTACGGTTAGCGCAGCGTTTTCTCTCATTCGGCCCTTTCAAAGTTTCTCGGTTGTAAAAAAATCGAGAGTTCTGTTGGAGCTGTACGGAGTTTCATGAATGAGCACTCGGCAGTCCTGCAGCGTCAAAAATTGCAAGGCCTGCTGTGTGTTTGCAATATCAATCAAGGCTAGTTTATTTAACTCCAAGGCATAATTATGAGTTTGATGTGTGACGATCGGAGCGCTAATGACGAGCTAGAGCGCTGGATAAATACCCGTTGCCCTGTAATTTCAGTCTTAGACTTATAATGATAATGTCATGTAATTATATTTTGCGTCAATTAGAAAAAAATCAAATATTCACATAATTCGTAATCAATGTCATTATGATTTCTGATATGATAAGCTTAGACGTGCTTTGCTTTACACTTAAGAATTATTTCATGATTTTAATGCACACAACTCCTTCAAGTTAACAATAAAACCCCGTTTGCATAATATAGGGTATGTAAATATTGAATTTAATTAAGGTTTTTAGCTAGGACACTCCAAACAGGATCCTAGTTTTCTAGTTAAAGGAAGATTTTTCGGCAGATGGAATGCATATATAATACATGACAACCTTAACTAAAAATGAACCCTACGGCAATTGGTGGCTAGATGCCTGAGCGTTTGAGTAAACAAAATGGTTTTAGAAATAAATAGGTAAATATCAATCATTAGATTAATCAAATAACAAAAATTTCCCGATTGTGTCTCATAGGAGAAAGTTATTACTAGGCACGTAATTTAATGAGAATTATCAACATTCACAGTGAAATATATAAGAACGACATTTTTTGTAAAATGAAATTATGATTGAGCGATATGTCCATTTCCTTTTTCCTTTTTATAAATTTTTGCATAGGAATACATCCCTTAACTACTTTTAAAGTCTCATACAAAGAATTGATGCATAATTTCTACCATTAAGTTATAAATTTGTCAGTGACACAGCCTAGCAGATCTGGTGATAGACATAGAATAGTTCCAAATACCATGTGGTATTGATAACTGAGGTGAGCATGAAACGAGTGGGGACACTAAATAATGCTACAAACAATAGCAAAAAGCGCTGCACAAAATCATCATATTATTTTAATGAAATCTTTTGAAAAGATGAATATTGTGCAACAAAAAGACCGAAAAGCAAAATTGCCTAAATTAGGAAATTAAAAAGACCGTAAATAAGAATAAAATAAACACAGATTACCACATTAAAAAGAACGGGACAAAGGATCATTACCACAACTGGGAGACCAAGACAAAAAACACAAGCCGTTAACCTTTTGTCCTTTCCTACAATCTCGGAAACAATACCGCTTTTCCTATCCTGTTGAATTTAATTAAGTTAATAAAATAATATTGTTGTCTGGTGGGTTTTAGGTAGAATGCAGTGTGTTTCTGACTTGCGTTTGATTAACTCATTAGACCGAAAGACGCTATGACTAGATTTAAGCTTGTCAACACATCATTAACTTTCATGCCTTAAAAAAGTTATTTTTCATCTCACTTCATTGATCAATTAATGTCACTACAATAGACAGCAAGTGCGTGGTAGGTTCATGATATGGTAGGTGCAATATAAACTTGCACCTGGTGAAAATTGTATGCTTTTATAAAATGAAATTAGCTGCAGCCGAAAGTCCCATATGCAATACAAAATATGGAGCATACTTCCCAAGTCTATCTCTCTCTCTCTCTCTTTTTCCTTTTTTTCGAAGATCGTCATGAGCGGCGACGATATGGTGTCATTATTAAATACATTAAAATGACTGTGTGATTATGTTTTTCAATCTTTTGATTTATCAAAAACTTCATTACCACAGGCAAGTGCTTTATGAAGAACACAGCGTGACTTTGACTTGTTGCCCAAAACAATCTGGGTTGCTATTTAAACTTTTAAATGCTAGTGTCAAAGGAAATAATACAAGTTAGTTGTCAGGTACATCAACGAAGATAGTGATTCCCTACTTACTCGATTAATCTTCTTTTGAAATGAGACATGTTTTTATACACAGCCGGCGGACTTCTTTTTTTCTTTGGCAACACAGTACAATACGCTACAAATCGAATATTTGAAAAGACAACGCAGACGCGATCATGTTACATCAAAATGGCTTTTTTCCTCCCATAGACATGATAATGCATATGTAAATCTTTCCCCTTTCCGTTTCCTGCTAATAACGATTTCAGGAACTGATATTTACATGGTAAATTTTAGGCCCCAACGCTGTCCCAGTTTTGAATTGCCTCGTACAACCGATTTTTAAGCTTAGACGGAAGGAAATACTGAATGGGAGCAAGTATTAAGTTGAAAATAAATCCGTTTGCTTTTGTTGTCGGGTTTCGTGCTTACACATAACAATTTTCCACGCCTAACGAGCATTAATCAAATGAGCGTCTCATGTAATGAAGGTCGAGAAAAGCCCTATGTGTTGCAGATTGTTCAATATTTACCATAAAACGGATACAGAACTCGCTCCCTGATGCCAGAAATGAAGAATACGAACAAGAAGCGCTACTTTAACCACACCAAAGGAGAAACAACAATTACGTAGTGTTGCAAAAATTCGCTGTCTTTTAATGACGTTCAGTTTTATCGCATATGAGAGTTTCTATTCATCTGAAAGCCACAAAAGCTGGATAGGTTTCTTTGTCAGTGGTGACATTTACAATTAACAGATCGCTTGGTGTATTTTAGTGATAACCTGGTCATTTAGATGTTTAGATATTCGCGCGTTTTCTCTCTCTCTCTCTCTCTCTCTCTCTCTCTCTCTGTATTCGGTTGTCAGTGATCTTTAACATAACTAATATTGTTTATCCATTCATTCATCATTGGACGAATAAAACGGTTTGTCGTCCAAGATTTGTCAAAGGCTGTAATTGATCATTTATAGACAATTTTTTGGAAAAAACATTTTTATTCTAGGATTGTATTCTATGGAGCATATATTCAGGGATATCAACTCACTTAATGGAAGCGCACGGTGGTAGACATCAAGTTTTGTAATCCCTCTGTATATCACCCAGCTCGTCAGGACATGCGCGTTACTGTAATTAAATCGCCAACATTTGTCAAATTCATTGCAGCAGAACGTGCGATCTCAATGGAGCTTGTTGACAAAGTTATCTTTTTATTGGATTACTCACCAAAATTTATGTATTACTTCGTATAGTTTACTTTGGCTTTTCTTTAGTGCATCGTCGTGCCATTGCCTTTGGTGGTCTTGTGGTCGAAAACACGAGAAAAAAGAAAATTTCTGTTCTTTATTTCCCCTCCTTTTAGTTAATAGAATAATATGCACTTCAAGCCCCCCCCACCCCACCCTATTTATGTTATTTTACTCCATTTTTAATCTGTCTTATCAGATATTTGAATAAACAAAAATGAATAGTTATAAGGGTAAGAATATTGTCAATATGTGTCATTTCTGGAATTTTTCTTTTCGGTTTTATTCAGTTATTTCTTCATTTTGATTATTTGATTTATGAATTCTCTTATTTCCGCTTTCACTGAAGTGTCCTGCACATGCTTCTTTCAATACTATTTTAATTCTTTTTTCATATAAAGAAAGAGATAAAGTGACAAATAACGTTTATTTTTTTATCACCGTGCTTATATAGAGTAGTATGTGTAAACGTTAAGTTAATATCAAGTAGATATATACAAATCGCCCTACATGGGCATACATATGTATAAGTTTTCTTATTTAATCAGTTTTCAAGTCCAGAATTAAGATTATAACTAGAACATAAAACTACTTTAGAATTAGTTGACAGACTTTTTTTTTGCAATCAAACGGATATTATATATTATTGGGAGGTCAAACATTATGAACATTAAAATATATCTACTTGTTTTAGTATTTTAGTACGAAGCTATTTCATCCCGGATAAAATATTGGCCGCTTTCGTGATCGTTTCAGGAAACGATCGAAAAAGTAAAGACTAAAACGTCGAAGTAAGTCATCAAACGGGAAAACAGTAAAATGAACTATCCAAAGCTATCAGAGAGAAAAAAGTGGTGCTTTTCCTGGAAATTTTTAGCTCGTGAGAGCGAAAAATACAATGTGACACAGTTGAAAATGGATCTAGTTTCAAAGCACCTTCAGCTCTCTATTAAAAACGCTCAAATAACATGATCTCAGCTCTAAGCGCATCACTCATCACAGGCCGTAATTTCTTCAAACACATCAAATTTATCACTTATTCTTTTCAATACTTCTCCGTAAATCCAATGTTAACTGTACAGGATTCAATAAACATTTGCCTTTTTATTTGTGAGAAAATGTCTCTGGCTGGAAATGACATTTTGAGTACTCGCACCTGCACCGTCTATTAAAGGAAGCAGCCGTCAATTGATCATGTTTCAATATGCGCTGTCATCTCAAAAAGAGGCACGGGAAGACACGGTGCCGATATTTATCAATTAGAAGAGTTGAGAGGTCATCTATGGTGTTTTAAAATTGAGTAAATATAGCATATTAATTGCAGTAATTGTTTTAAAAATGGAATTCTATTTTAGGGTATATTCAAAGATCAAAGATATAATACGAAGAGGTACTATTTGACGTTTGTCTCGTACCCATTTGCAAATACTTAACAATATTTCTTAATTAGACGAGAGTTAAGTACACTACATATTGTTTCACCCACACACACATACACCTATCGTAATCATTGCAAAGACAAATGCCGCTGACATAGACATCAGCATATCGCGTTTTCTAAAGGAACTAAGATGGATTTGCCTCGTTATGTGGAGCCTCCAGCAAGAATAATCACCGTATTTCCGGGATGAAAGATGAATACACATCAGTATACAATCTCTAAGAATGGAAAAATCATACAAAAATAACCTTGACGATTGCTAAATGATCAGCAAACACGAGAAAAATCGTTACAATGTAAATGTGAGAGCAAAGACGAGACAGACCACTAATTAACACAACACTGACAATATAACTGATTACAGACCTAGTGACACATATCGTATATAAGATATGAGTCTCGAAAGAGCAACCTGTATAGACGTAGGTATTTGGTCCTTAATTTGTCCATTTGTTGCTGTTATTTGCAACATAACATGTCCTTCATATATAGGGTATTGCAGGTGGGGCACTTTACCATTTGAATGGGTCGTCACTGAGAGATTTTTATACATCTTTTAGCATGTTTTACCATATTTTCTTTATCAGAGGTTTTATTAAATTGACTTGCAATTCATGACATGATACTATGGATAAGTAATTATTAAAAAACGGGTGCCATGTGTTTTGACTGAAGCGCAGCAGTTTTAAGTTCTGTCCGAGTTTTCTTCTTCCCAAATACAGACCCCTGGTAAGCGTAGCACACTGAAAATTCTCTCTCTCTTTTTCACTCTCACACACACAACCTTTTCCTATTCTAACACTTTTTTCCTTTAAATAATAATAATAATAATAATAAACATTTTTGAAAAAAGGAGGCTCAGTAGATAGGGCTTACATTTGTGTTACGTTATTTAGATATAATGTAGTACCTACTCCAATACCACAGCGGGTTAATTCATCATTTGTACAAATTTCAGGTAGCTTACATCTATCATGATTAGGAGAAAATATTAACATGAAATCCTCCAATTATTGCGTTGTGATTGTTATGTTCTTATTTATTCTCTTGATTCGGTAACGATGTTAGAAGATTGAGATTTTGATATGTACACATGTACTTACTATTAACCCGAGCAATGACTTAGAACCAAAACATTCATTAAGTTGATATCATGCCCACTCTGATCACAGACATAATAATTTCATTTTCCCGGGTTTATTTTACCTTTGAGTGGTAGTTATAGGCAAAGTTATTGTCGTCCCATGAGAGCCAAGTCGACTATTTCCGTTTCTGGTTTAGCCGAATGATCATGTACCAACAAGAGAAATACAAATAGCCATTTCTAGTTCTTATTTAAAAGTAATTAGGCCATTATTGCGATCTTACCAGCTAGGAATTGCGGGGACTCGAAAATCGTTGTAGACGTGGCAGCAAGCTGCTCAACCCCACGTGTACCCTAGTATGCATAAAAGGTATTACTAACATGAAACAGATTAAGCGATCTCCACTCCGTTTTTCTCATTTTATTTTAGGAAATCGGCAAAAAATGCCGTTCCTATGGCTTTTCCTCCACCTTCCTAGCTCCTAACGTAAATTTTAGTTTATCTAATCTTGCACTAAATATCCTAACGTTATATTATTTTTATATATTTTTTTCACAGAATGCTTTGTATATGAAATTGATTTGTTTGAGACTTAAGATGTAATTTTATGTTAGCGTAATCTATCCTTACGATTAAACATGATGACTTTCTGTTTCACAGCCATCTAATGTTCTCACTTGGTTTTTAGCGCCCTCTATCACACACTACGCATGCGCAATGATTATTGTGTAAGCTGTTTGCAAGCTGGCCAGATCCAGTTCTTGTAGAAACGATGTTTTCTGCTGCAGTTATATCAAGGAGCTCTAAATTGCACCAATTGGTAAGTGATATCAGTTAACGTCAGCCCGTAGGACCCAAAAATTAGATGATAATATGTAAATTGTGCTTCAACTCTCAATATCATCGATTGTGGTTTACCCCCCCTCCCCATCAAAGTAATATTATCCTATATTATATCCATTGGAAGCTCTGTTATAATCGGTATCAACAAATAATATATACTCTTACCATGTTTTCCATCATGTTGTATAATTCCCGATGTCTTGGAGTGTTTTATTTTATTAGAGCGTTGTTTATGTATTTTGTGTATAAAATGGAGAATCTCTGTCAATAAAATTAAAAAAAACTGATAAGTGATTTTAAAATTGTTTATATTTGTAGGGTTCGCTTCTTCGCCGTTTTCAAAGTACACTAGTGGTTGCTGAGCATGACAATGAATCCCTGTACCCAATCACACTGAATGCTGTGAGTGCAGCTAAACAGATAGGGGAAGATGTATCATGTCTGGTTGCTGGAACACAGTGTGCCAAGGTAGTGTAATCATCTATGGTCTTTTTAAGCTGTTTTCTTATGTGTAACTGGTTTGGGTGTGCATCACTTGCATCCAGATTAGGAGATCATGAGATGACTACATTGGCAGTTCAGAAGCATATTGCTAATTGGTTTTTAAGTCAGTAACTTAAATACTTAGCATGGGCAGCTTTCTTAGGAACTACAAAAGGATAATCTTCCCCCCAAAAAAAGAGACGTAGGTTTATAACTTATGTAAGGACCTCAGAAACTTGTGAATAGCATCCAACTTTTCACAAGATGATTTGCCACTTTAACCTTTTACAGAAAAAGATATTTGTGTTTATTTTTTAGGTGGCAGAAGAAGTGAGCAAGATAGCAGGTGTGAAAAAGGTATTAGTGGCAGACCATGATGCATTCAAAGGATATATGCCAGGTAAGTGACATTCTAAATGTGATGTAGATCAACGTTCTTCATTATTACATTGAAACATTAATTAATTTAAATTTAATACCTTGGTCTCTTTTAAGATAAAAACATTTTTCTGAAGTCATTTATTTTTGATTTTGAAACAAAGCTAATATTTTTTATGAGATCAATAAAGACAAGTAACTAATGCAACAACAATAGCTCAAATACTTGATTATGTTACTCAGAGCTTGTATATTGAATTTCAGAGGCTCTTACTCCCCTACTCTTGTCTACACAACAGCAGTTTAACTTCACACATATTTTAGCTGGAGCCACAGCTTTTGGTAAAGTAAGTATAATAAGATGCAATCTGAGAACAATACTGTGAATAACATTCAGTAATTCCTGAAGGTTCTTTACATCTTGCCTGTTTTTCATCTGAACAAGCATATTCATCTTTGACAAAGACTTCAACTTACTGGTATGAAAGATGGAACCAGTTGTATCCTTTCAGCTTGAAACATATTTTATTTATTTCTTATTTTATATTTGTACCACCAGCGTAGGCGCTGGCGGTACACATGGTTTTAGTCCCGACCCGTATGTTCCGCCGGCTCCGCCGCCAAGTCACCATTACCGCTTCTCCTCCTAGACGGTAATGGCCTCCATACCCATCTCTTGGATTTAGGTCACCTATAATCTCAACTCGTTCCACGTAAAATTTGGGCTTTGTCGGTATTGGGGTCTAGGTGTGGCACTCATTGCAATGCACCCTTGTCCAAAAATGGCAAAATTAAATGCTAATTATCTCCCCTACGGAAGGAATTATGGGAAAAATTTCTACAGACAGCTTTCCAAAAGTCATATGTGTAGATTTCAAATATGCCCTTGGATTTGACCTTTGACCTTTATTTCAAGGTCAAACGGGCCAAAATTTTCAAAAAAACAAAATTTTTGCCGAAAAAAAA